GGAGGGCTTAAAAGCTAGCTGCCATTTTCAGCAGCCCTGAAATGTACTCTTACTATTTTTTTTCTTTTTTTTTTCCTTGTAAAAGCCTTTCAAGACTGACTTGTAAATTGTAATGTTAGTAAAAGACTCTTAGAAAGCCTCCGAAGAAACTGGGGCGGATTTTATTGAAGCAATGTACTCTGAATGATTATCTCAAATCAGTATGATTCATGACTGTCGAATTGCACATTTCAATAAAACCAGTATCGGTAAGATATTTTTACGATTAAATCACCGCTATAAAATACTGAATATAAGATGTGGACATTACAATACTGTTTCTGTGTAATGTTCGATGAGATAAAACCAGTGTCAAATGTTGATAAATTTGTGACTCATGAGGCGTTTGGAAGTTGCGATTGTTAAATAGATGTATTGTTGAGAATGCATGTATAATATTATACATGTATTGTCGAATTTGATGCATTGTAGAATACAACGTTTGGTATGTGTACGTCGCATCAGCTAAAAGCTGAGATAAAACAATCTCAACTCAACTATCTCAACAATCACAATTAAAAGTTGAGATATAACAATCACTCAAAATGAGTGATAATTTCTGTCACATCACAGAAACAATCCATGTATTATTTCTCCAAAAAAACAAAAAGCGATGCATTACAAACAATTCATGTATAATGACTATCTCAACAAAACAATCGCAACTTTTAAACGTAGCACTCGGTAACTGAAAAGGCAGAATAAGCACGGTAAACCAAATTCAGGCGCAGACAGAAAATGAGAGACCATACCAACAGCAGGGCGCCCACAACCGCAAAATCAGCGCTAACGAACCAATGAAACACTTCCACCGGAAGAAAAAAAAAATCAAAATCAACGCGAGAAAAAGGGCAATACACAACTGGGGAATCTCATCTCCGCCCGCGCTCGTTCCCGCCGTCGCCATCGGAAATCGGCCATGGCATCTTCCTCCGCCGGTGCTACTCCTTCACCGGCCGATGCAGCTCCTTCCGCCAGCAGTCGTTTCAATTTCTCGCCCGATCCACCGCCTCTACCTACTCTCACTCCCGAGCAGCGCAGCTACTGCTCCGAGGCGCTCCAAATTCTCAGAGAGAAGCTCCGAACTCCGCAGCGGATCGCTCAAGAGTTCTCTCATTTGCAGGTTCCAGATCACGATCTTCTCTCAAACTGATAATTTCTGAGTAGTTCGATTCTGGAGTTTTGTGTCTGGAGCTTCAGTGATGTTTGGCTTTTCGGGGATGCCATTGGAGATTGCGGCGTTTAGTTAGTCAGTGAATGCATTGCGAAGTCGAGAAGAAATGTTTTTTTTTTTCTAGAGGCATTTTCTCTGGAATTACGGTATAGGTTTTCAGAAATCTCTGGTGTTTCTTGGTGGATTTGGGAACTAAGTCAACTAACTAAGGAGCAGCAGAAATGCTTCAACCTTGGATGACTTGCTTAAGTTTTATGCCTTTATGACTGGGAAGCTCAGTCCTGAGATTAATTGGAAACATGGTAGTGTTTTGTTAGAGACTCTAGTTCTTCCGATCCTTTGGCTATTAGGGCTAGATAGCTTCCCTGTCTGTTGAACTCGGTCTATTTTCTTGTGAATCCAGGCAAATAGGATGACGGCATCCCAAGTGGCCAGAAGCTGCAAGGTGGCTCTTAACAATGCCAACTCAGAGAAGAATCGTTATATGGATGTCATACCATGTAAAAACAATTGTTTGGAACTCTCTTCTATCTGTTCATTTAAGCCTATATTAGTCTCTAAGGTTACACTCCGATGAATTTTTGTGTTTTCTGTTGATTCCAGTTGACCAAAACCGGGTTGTTCTTGATGCTTGCAAAGACTATAGACCAGAAGCCAAGGGATACGTCAATGCAAGCTTCATAGAGGTAGGGCTGCTCTTTCCTCTCTGATATGTTTGTTTCCTTATTGCTTTGATGTTTTAAGTGAATCCTAAATAAGCCTATCTCTTATGCAGGCAGCCCCTTCCGAAACTGTTTCACGATTTATAGCCACTCAGGGACCACTATCACACACTTATGAGGACTTCTGGGCAATGGTGATTCAGTACAATTGCCCTGCTATTGTCATGTTGACTCGTTTGGTGGACAACTACAAGGTACTTCGCTACTTGCCATTGTAAATTTGAAGGTAGTGGCGTTTAGTCTATGTTGTATCTTTCAACAATTTCAGATAAGATGCAGTATTTCAGCTGTATAATGTGAAGTTTCTCCAGACTTCTCTCAGTTAGAATACTCAAATGTTTCAACGCGCGGTTCATTGGTTTTTCTGAGTTGTCTGGCTCTTGATAGTCTAATACATGGAGCTCAATCTATATTGAAAATGTTGCTAAATGTATAAGTACTTAATACCTGTTCTTGCATTCTCTGGCTGAGAGACATCTGTTGCAAACCCGTTCCATTTCTATCGGATATCTTATGTGAACCTCAGTGTCCATGCATCTCTGTCTGTCTAGATATATATGCCTACTATGAACTCCTGAAAAACACAGACATGGTCATCAAATAGCTGATGAAAATCACTAGAGAGAAGAGACTGAGTAGTTCTGCTCGTTACTTCCCAGTTTCACTTCATTTATTATAGTGTGGAGCATTTATTTGATTTCATCTACCAGACTGCTAAATGTGGAGATTACTTTCAAGCAGAAGATGGTCCTAGAGACATTGGAAATGTTTCCATCACGTCGAGGTGGACTTCGAATACTGCAACCTCATTAGTGTTGCGAAACTTAGAAGTTGGTGATAAAGTGGTAAGTTCTTTTCCCGGATATATTATGTTTTAAATTCTATGCATTACATGCATGGTTCAATGAATAACAAGGTTTTCCAGTTCTGCAAGTACTTCTTTTCTGTAAGGTAACTCGGTCTGTTGAGGGAAGTATAGAAGTTTGGTTCATGTGTATTTTCATCTTCACAAACAGGTTCTTGCAAAGTGTGGTGTCTTTTTCTTTTTTGGCGCTATCTTGCTAAGCACTTGGCAGTTTGCTTTAGACCAGTTCTGCCCTTGGAGATGGTTAGCCTTTTACATCAAAATATAATTTAGGTTTAGTCATTGATGAACTGTAGTGTTATGGCACTTGAGTGGTGGTTTTGCGGATAAGCTGAGAAAAGATGGCTTTTCGAGAAACGAGGGATTAGTTGACCAGGCAAGCTTAGCAGGTGAGTTAAGCATAATGGATAACTGTGCGACTAACAAGACAGAGTGGCGATATTTTAGGTCGTAGCTTTTAAGTAGCAAGTTAGGGGCTCAATTTACATTACATGGTTTGTGGGTGCTTTCTCGTTCCATAGATGTGTTCCTTAACTTATTATAGAGGGAAAGGGCCTCAGTTATCTAACATGACTATCTATCTAATTGGTAGTCAGAAGAACCACCCATGTCAGTTTTGCACATTCAGTATCCTGAATGGCCTGACCATGGAGTTCCCAATGATACAACTGCAGTGCGTGAAATTTTCAGAAGATTATACCACGTGCCTCCTCAACTTGGCCCAATAGTTGTTCACTGCAGGTTCACCCATCAACCTTTCTATTTCCATGTCCCCCTGCAGATCTAGTGAGCTCTTGATCCATACTGAACATTTGATGTGTTTCTCATGCTTCAGTGCGGGTATTGGTAGAACAGGCACATACTGCACCATCCACAATACAATCCAGAGAATCATTGCTGGAGACAAGTCTGCCACCGATCTTGCTAATACTGTAACAGTGTTTAGGTCCCAACGCATTGGGATGGTTCAAACCATGGTATACTCCTCATCCGAATATTTGTTTTGGTTTACATGATTACCAATCGACACTAGTTTGTTTTCTATATAGACCTTGTAATTTAACCAGTAAATCAAGAAAAAAGTAGGCAAGAGAAGGCAGTTTGAACTTGGAAAAAGAATGGGAGAGATGTAGAGGAGAAATGAAAATTAAGCAAGTAAATACATCAAGAATGAAATTCCATTCTTCCAATGTAATTTGTTACGTGGTGCAAAGATGTGCAATTTGCAGAGTGTGTGCTATTTGTGTTAATAATAAGTGATCTTAGCTCCAACCAATTTGAAATTTTTAGATAGGATATAGGATTTAGGTTCCTGACCCTTATGCCGGTGTAGTCTATAAGCTGCCAGCTGCTAATGAACTTGAGACTTAACTCTTAAGAGAGAGCTGGTAAAAGGGGAGTGCTGACTCATGGAGACAAGCTCTCACTGATAACTAGGTATAATAGAAACTTAGATAACTCATCCGAAACAGATACCCAATCGTCAACAATCAACAGGCTCAACCCGGATGATGAATCCGTTGGCCTGGTAAATATCAACTACAAGCATATATTTCCTAACATGATAGTTAAGTGTTACAGTTGACTACAATGTTGATGATTTGATGGTTTGATTGTGTCATTTGTGTGGGCTGTGGATCATGCCTCTGCTTTGTACTTCTGACTCAACTTTTTTCTGTTCTGCAGGAGCAATATATCTTCTGCTACGAAGCTATCATCGACGAACTGGAAAGCCTCACCTCAGAATTGGAACCCTTTAGATAGAACTCCGTCGTGTTGGAAGTTCCTTAAGCTTCTCTGCAACTGTGCCAAATTATCTTTTACACCAAGACCAAAGGCGTTAACACAACTAACGTGATCCTGTGCAGCCGTCTGTTAACACCTTAAGACGACCAGTCACCTTCACATTATCGATCTGTTTGCTTTAGCTACAACCTCAAGAAACAGGACAGGTTGTCCAGGGACGTGTGGAAAATGAAGATACAACCGTTCATTCAAACTGCTCTTTCCTTCTGTCATTGTTGTGCAGAATCTGTTTGACGACGACTTTTGGCAATTGCCTAGAAGCTGCCTGCCTGCTGCCTGCTAGCTACCGTTTGACCCTACTGTTTTCTTGGCTATTCAAATTTTTTTTTTCCCAGTCTAAGATGGTTGGTTGCTTCCGGTCAAACAATCAATTTGGTGATGTTCTCCAGATGATAATTTACTCGACTCTTTATATTTGACTCAAAGCCGAGTCTCAAGTCAACTCAACCGACTTTGAATGTTCCACTCCACAATCCACATAATCAATATCTGATGCAATCAAAGTCACGCAGCTTTGATACCACTTGATGCAATCAAAGTCACGCAGCTTTCACTCGAACAAGAACAAGGATAAAGATGGACTCCAATCGGACAGAACATGCTTGTGAAAAGGGGCAATTGGTATGTCAAACCAATCGGACAATCCCAGCTAGAAGTAAAGAGCAATTGGAAGGGGTAGAACTCGCCACAATCAAAGTGGATATCCGATTGATAAGAGTTTGCTCTAGCTCTCTCCAGAATTCGCTCAATGGAAGAAAGTAGGGCTAGAAACCTCAAAGGAGGACTTGGCAAAAGCCTTGAATAAATCAGAAGTTTGGTGATAATTGTCTAAGGGCAAACCAACGTGTTCAGCCCTTTAAATAGGCAAAGTACAACCCAAATCCGACTCCAACATGGAAAAACAATCATAAACCGACTTTAAAACAAGGAAACTCGGAAACATCCCAGCAAACCCGTTAAGCCCAAACCCGTTAAGGTTGGACCCGTTAAGCAAACCCGTTAAGGATGCTTCTTGCAATCTGCCTTCTCTTTAGCACTTCCTTCTTCTTCCACGACTTGAATCATCATACATGCTTTGGACTTCAGCAACTCCACATCCATGTCTCAAAAATAGCACTCCAAATAAGTAGCAAACTTGTCTTTGAATGCCTTAGCCTTAGCTCGAGTGATTGGCCCATTGATTTCCTCATCAATATCAACATTTGTGAAACTGTACCCGATTCAATAATATGTTAGACAATCAGTACCAAAGACTTGTATGTTTGATTTTATCATGATATTATAACTCAATCTAGATTTTGTTATTCTACCTGGAGGCTAGAAGTAAGGGTGTGCAAAACTAAACCGACGCTTAGACCAGACAATACTTAATAGAACATAACGTGTTCCAATTTTTGATCCTATGAATTTTATGAATACTCGAGAGAAATGGACCAAATTAACATTCATATTGAATCAAATCAAATATAATGGCGATTTGATAATTGATCTTCATATGTCTTCAAATGGGCTATCTAGACAGTACAGAGGAAGAAGAAACAAATGTTTACATAAAAATTGTCAAGACATGTACTAAACGATTCTTACTGATATTCCAATGTTCATAAGAACCAGGGCTCAGGTCACCTAAACTCATCTCATTCCCCTACCCATCCAACAAAACTTTGCAGTACCTTCCCCAACTCCCAAGGCACCTACAAATTTTCTGGAGCCAAACCACCCCAGTAAAGATGAATATGTACAGCTGAGACGAACCTAAACCTAAACCTAAACAACACTCTTCCCACACGTTTATTCATGTTTATTCATGTCGATATTGATCTACCACCGAAGAGTTTTACGTTCCCTATCAACACCCACAGAACAGCAATCAAGATTCCCAACAATGATAACACCACCAGGCCTTTGTTCGTCCCTGACTTCCTTACATTTGCAGTGCCACCACCAGCATTGCCAGCTTGAGCAGCTGCTAAGTTAGGGTTTACGATGTTCATCCGCAACCTTCGTAGGCTTGACATCCGTAGCAGAGCCTTATTTACCAGAGGCTTCTCTGCAGCTGATGCAGGTTCGAAAGGTATTGAGTCGACAAAGGACCACAGCCCGGAAGAGAACCAGCCAGAAGTATCATCCTTATTAGTAGTCCTGGCTTGATTTTGATTTACTCCGGGATAATGTTCGGTAGAATCACAAATCATACCTGAAAATGAACCCAAACCACAAGTCACGTCCATGTCAATCTATACAAACCCCTGAATAAGAACATATAACAACAAAAGGACGATACTTGTCCGGGAAGAGCTCATCAATCTGGCTCTGGTTTCCCGATATTGGCAGAGGGCATTTAGCCTTGCTCCATAGCACTCCAAGGAATGACTAAGGAGAACAATATCATTTGAAAACCCAGCTCAGAGATGAAGAACACTGAGGAAAAACAAATGTGGATTGGATTTTCGAGTTCAACTTCATCTATGTACCTGAAGTTTGTTGCAAGTTAGCTCCATAATTCGTTCCACCAATGGTCTTCAGATCACTCCCTTGAAGATTATTGTTGACGTAGAGTCCATTACATGATTGTGTTTGCAGGCTCTGGTCTACTTCATTCATAGTATATTCGGGTTGCCAAGAGTAATCAAACTGAAGCTGTGCTTCATAATTTATCTGGTTTACTGCAGAATGCTGATACTGGTAACCCACTTCATCAACCACATTGCCTCCTCGAGATTGTGACATTGTATCCTGACCAAGAGGCCCCATGTCTCTTAGAAACATGGCAGCATCATGATATAGCTCTAAAGAAGATAATCCGTCCAGACCATCAAACAGCAAATTCTCAGCAGGCTCCTCCACATTGGAACCAACAGCTGGCAGTGGATTTCCGGAGTTAGATTCTGAAGGTTCTGGCCCAAGTAGATCATCCATTTCCAGGAAATCCCCTTCGCTCAACAGAAGAAGCTGTTCAGGGTTGTTAGCTGCAGAAGTGACTTCAGGAGTCTCATGCTGTTCCAACTTGGAAATATCTGACCATTCAAAGTCAAGGCCAGAGTGATTCTCATACTGCTGACCATTTCCAGAAGAAGCTTCTATGAGCTTGGGGATGGTGAAATCTCTTGTCGACGAATTGACCACTGTGCTCTCTGCTCCTCCTTCAGCATCAACCTGAACATTGCATGAAACATTAGTTAGGCACTCAATACTTGAACAAACAGCAGAATAGCAATTATATGTCCTGAACGAGTTACTATCTCGAATAGTAATAAGGAGCGTTGTTAGGATCATAGGTAATGCATTGTACTAGTAATGTTGAGAAATACTAAACTATCCTTAACTTTTAGTTTTTGCAACAACAGACAGGGATAGAAATAGAAAAGAAGATATATTGTCAAACACAACATTGCAACAATGCACCCTCTTTTCATTATCATTTCCAAACGGTGCATTGTGTGCAAGATCTACCAAACCATATGCACATTCCAAGTGAATGTTAAGTTCTGTAAGAAGCTAAAGGACGAACAAAGAAATTAATAGACACTGTCTGGGGCAAACCTGGAATAGCGGACAGGATTCCGTGACTACTGGTCGTGGGTCACGCATGGGTTCCTCGACAATATCCCTAATTAGGTCAAACAGATCATCTGACGATGGCTCGACTGGACAAACAGCTTTCTCATTGCAAACAGGAAGAGGTAACTTGTTGTTTCTCTTGCTCGCAGGAACTTCTGGAACAGAGACAACAGCTTTCTCATTGCATACAGGAGGAGGAAGATGAAACTTGTTGTTTCCCTTGCTAGCAGGAACTTCTGGAACAGAGACGACAGCTTTCTCATCATCTACCCAGTCTTCCTCTCTGAATGGAGCTCCATACTGCTCACCGTTTTTGGGACCAGGTCCACTTTTCTTGTAAACTTTGTAAAGTGCGTAGTAGTCCTGAGGCCGAGACAAGAGAAAAATATCTCCAGTTAGTCGGAGTAGAAAAGCTAGCTGAAAAAGATGAGCAAAACAACAAACAAAGTACAAACCTTGACATTAGGACATCTCTTGAGTTCCTCCTCATCTAAAGTGTACTCGTGCATGACCCAATCGGTTCGCTCACCAGTAGGAGCACGACCTCGATAGAAAACTAGGGTCTTCTTCACCCCAACATTCCGGGAATTGCATGTGATGACACGATCTTTCCCAGTGGCTTTCCAGTATCCATGTGCAGTTCCTCTATTTGCTCTTCCTCCATTAGGGTATTTGTGGTCTCTAGGACTGAAGAAGAACCACTGCCTATCTCCGGTTTTTAATAGCGACAGCCCTGATATCATTATCAATTGTTCGGTAAGAGAATTGGGAATATGCAATTTGAATAACTGATGCTTATTTCAGTAAATCATGTTACAAAAAAGAAAAAACTTGATTGATTCGTATAATATTTAAAGAGCGTAATTAAACTAACGAATATGGAATTAACTCCCAATTACAGTTTTGTGATTGTGTTTGTCAAATCTTGTTTGCCCTCTGAACTAACACTGTAAAGAAAGGAACATCAGTCCAAACCAAAACATCCATCGAGAAGAAAAATAGAAACCAGCATAATAAACAAAGATTAGCATCCCCCTCCAACACGCGCTCAAGACAGGTAGCTAAACCAGCAAATGCATGAACTTCTTAATCATTTGTTTAGTATCATGGAAGAATCTACCTGTTCAAATCTCCAAACAATAACAACTCTAATCATCCTAAGCAAACTGAATATCGAGCATTCAGTAACCCAAGGAAATCGCAACCTCGAAGATGATGTTCTATCTTATAGTTCAAAATGAAAGAAAAGCTCTCTACTGAGCTAACCAAACGCTACTGAATCAAAGAGATCAAAACAAATACCAAGCAATTCAGAATTCACATCCAAGTCAACGTCCTCAATTCAACAAGGAGCCAAAAAAAATAGCTGTCCACCAATCCATAGCCTATCCAAACCTAAACCCAGAAACCAGAATTCACCAGTAACGATAACCAAAACAACAAGAACATCATCATGCAACCCTCATAAACACCCAAAAATCCCAACTCAGAACAGTAAAACGAAATCAAACCCGAAATCAACCAGTCAACGCAGCCATCACCAAACCTAACTCGTCCTTGAACAGGAAAAAAAAAAAGAGCACAGAATGAAAATCGAAAAGGGGAACTCAGAAAATTCCAATCAAAACATACCAGGCAAATCCTCAGGATCCCACTTGTAAACATCGAGTTCAGAGATGACATTAAGCCTCAGCTTCCTCCTACAGATCTTCCTCTTCAAGTAATAAAGAATCATCTCCTCGTCTGTCGGATGGAACCTGAACCCGGGCGGCCACTTGAAATCGCCGGCGCCAACACCTCCGACGAGATCCGAACCCGCCGCCTTCACCAACATCTCGATCGACCCAGATAAAGAGAAGAAAAAAACCCTCCTTCAAACCCCCTCCCTCCCTCCCGCCTTCTGATCAGCGAAACCCACCTGGGATTTTTATCCAAGACGGGACTTTTACCCCAGGAGTTGTGATGGGGTTTCTGAAAAAAAATTCCTGCTGGGGCTTTAACGGAGAAAGAATGGAGAGAAAGAGAGAGGTAAGAAAACCCCGGAAAACTGATGGGTGCGATATGGTGGCTGTTGTGGGGATAGAGGAGTTGGGCTTTGTGTGTTGGTCAAGAAACTTACTGAATGGATATTTTGGCGAGTAGAAAAAGAGGAGCCGTAGTGGCGCGTTTGGCGGAATTTTTTTTTCCATTTGTAATCTAAGCGTTTTTCTTTTTTTTTTTTTTTTCCTGTGAGGAACTGAAAAAGCATTTGGAGGCGAACTTTCGCAGAAGCTATCGGCTTTGGGACAATTGTAATTTTTCCTTATTAGTTATTTTCCTAATAATTATCTTATTAGGTTATGCTTAAGATGGTGTTTGTTTGGAGAGATCAATTAAAGTTTTCGAAAGGGAACTCTGAAATGTTGGGTGCCAAAAATATTAATAGATAGCCATTTCATGTGAAACTAATAAGTAATTGTGTAATTAAATTTGGTAAGTCCCTGTTGATTGTATAATTATTAACTAAACTAAGGGGTCGTTTGGATGTGCAAATGTAATGCAGTAATTGGACCCAATTACTACATAATGTAGTAATTGGGTTAAAAATCCACGTTTGGGAGAGCAAAAATGGTATTGGAATTGGCTTCAATTACCACATTCATGGTATCATTGAGAATACTACACCTCCCCCTAATAATTTGACATTACCACGTTTTCTTACTTCTTTTTTCAAATTCCACACCATCCATTCCTACAAAACTAAACCCTATCCAAACGTGAATTTTTTTTTCAATTTCCACAAGTCAATTCCTTGGTTTGTAAAACATGGAAATTCAGACAAATTTCAACATTTTAAAATTTCCACATCCAAACGAACCTTTAAGTATGAGATTTATTGTAATTTATCAAGTTGATATCAACTAAGCCATACTAGCTTTGTGGCTTCAGCAAAAAAATTAGTGGAATTTTGGGAAGTATTATATCTCACTTAGATTAGTACTGCAAATTGCGAAATACATTGAAATATATGGTTTCATATACCATATATATGCAAGAAATACTGTGAATTTCAGGAAAGACTGAGTCAGAATCACCAAACGGCCCCTACTCCTAGTCGATTTATTTATAAATTTGTTTTTAACAATTAATATTAGTTTTTTAGAAATGTCGACTACTATTTCCGTTTTCTTTTTTATTTTCTGATAAGGAATAAACAATTCTAGCAAATCTCGTAACAAAAGGGGGAAGAAGGAGGAAACCGAAAACCAATTCCGCCGCCGTCGCCGTCGTCGTTTGTGGCTGCCCGCACCGTCGCGGCGAAAATCCGACACCATTCATTGCCACTGCTCTTCAAAGTTCAAATCAATTCTCCGATTCTCTCTCTCGTTTCGCCCCTTTGTTCGTGCGGCACCACGGCCGTGACAAAACGCTCTCGCCGACACCGTCATCGGCCGCTAAATTCAAATCGTAGTTATATACGGAGAGAGAGGGAGATAGAGTTGGCTCGGCTTCACCAGGGTAGCTCGGTGAGCTCGATGTATGGCTGGTTTCACGAATTAAGCTGAAGCAGGAGCCGGGAAAGCGACAGAAGAACCTCATTTGAAGGAGGAGGAGGAGGAGGAGGAGGAAGATGGAGCAGCAACTTGGCTTCTCCTTCTTCTCTTTCTGTTGAGATTGAGTCTTTTGGGGTGAAAATTCATGGCGGCCTCTGCCCAACACCGCTGCGTTTTTGGTACTCTCTCGCTCTCTGTTCATCCATCTCTTTCAGATTGATTTGCTGGGGGAACTTGGATGAATCTCTGATTGAACTTTACTGTGGTGTTTGGTATTTGGGCTGGCAGTTGGGAACATACCCTATGATGCAACTGAAGAGCAACTAATAGAAATCTGCAGAGAGGTTGGGCCGGTTGTGTCTTTCAGGTTAGTCTGATGGTGGAGCTATCTTCTTTCATTTTGCAGTGAAGTTTGAACCTTTACTACCTCTGCATCCTGCTGGCCTTTGAAGTTCGTTAGCTTGGTATTTGAATTATGCTTATTCTGAAGCATAATCCGTGGCTACTTGGCGTGTTCTTTGCCAATCGTTCCAAGTTTCATGGAAGCTTGTATGCGGCATGTGAAACTGTTACTGTAGCAATACCTGTATTTACACATGAAGATAATATAATTTGCTCTGTAGTTTAAGTGTCGTGCAATGCTAATTATCTTCAATTTGCTTCTGCTGTACCTTTTTAAAGAGGATATAACGTTTGACTTCTGCAGATTAGTTGTTGACAGAGAAACTGGAAAACCGAAGGGTTACGGGTTCTGTGAGTATAAGGATGAAGAGACAGCTCTCAGTGCTCGCCGTAACCTACAGGGTTATGAGATCAATGGTCGGCAATTGCGTGTAGATTTTGCAGAGAACGACAAAAATACTGATAGAAACAAGGAACAGGTGCTGTACTGCCTTATCAACAAAACTGTAAATCTTGTTAGCTTCTTTTCATACTAATCAAGATGAGTAAAGTGACGTAAATTGTAATATCAAGTGAGCTTTGATGAATGTTGGACAAAAAATAGTATTATGTGCCTGATGGAATCAGGAGGTAGGCGTAATTGAGTTGGTCATTGATTGTAATATTGATGGAAGTTTATATTTAGATTTGATCTTCAATTTTATGTTGAGAACCTTGTTGGCTTATTCTTTTCCCCCTTATATAGAGAGTGGAGTATTTAAAGGTTGAGGTCATCAGTGGCTTCTTTGACTATAGGATATCCATTCTCATTCAGCAAAGTTGTTAAATCTTAGGCTCAAACTAGGTTCCTCAGGGTTTTGATTGTACAATGGATGTCTAAGTTCCAAAAAAATCTTGGTCGTTGTATATCTTTCTTGTTAACCTTCAAAGAGATAGTGAAGAGGAGAGATATATACCAGAAGCAGAATTGTTTTGACATCATCGATTTGGTGAGGCAGTTATGTGTACCAATTCCAAAATCCTTATTGCTGAACATGCTTAACTCCTACTCTGATACACTACTTCTGCCCCTAGGCGACCATCATACTGAAAGGAAGTTTCTTCGTGATCTGTTTTATATCTGGAGTTCCCCGATTAGTGTAAATGGTGTGGCTCCTGTGAAAATATTGCATTCCAAATCAAAATCTGGTCTTTAGGGGAAAGGTTAATGGAGAATATGACTCTGTCATAACACACGAGAGTCCTGATTACCTGTTTCACATCCATTGAAAATTTGAGGTGTCGGCTTATAATTGTTTCAGTTGTACAGCTGTGGTAGAGTCATCAAGAAACCATTTCTTTCTGTAATGTTAAGTCCCCGTAGACAATTTCTTCCACACTTAGACATCTGAATGAGTGTTTCCCCCTCTCTTCAAGAGCATAATTTTATGAAATACCTGTCATTCAGAGTGCAGTTCCTAACATTGCTTTTATTAACTTTCAGGGTCGACAAGCTTCTAATACTGGTGAGTTTTCTTCAAATCCTCTCTTTTACCTATTGAATGTAATATATATTCAAGCTGTTTGCCATGTTGCACCTTTCAGATCCTAGGAGACATGGAGGACCCCCTGCAAACATTGCAGATGCTACACAGCATCAGCCAATAGGTCTCCACATAGCCATGACCGCTGCCACTGTCATGACTGGAGCTTTAGGTGCTACTCAGACAGCAGTGCAGTCGAATCAGGCTGCTTTCCAGGGTCAGTCGGCATTAACAAGTGACCCCTTGACACTTCATTTGGCAAAAATGTCTAGGAGTCAATTGAACGAAGTTATGACTGAGCTGAAGGTATTCATAGAAAGAGCTTTTGCATTTTCCTGACTTACTTGGATTAGTTATGTTTCTGCTACATCTCTTGTGCTAATAGGTAATGGCAACACAAAACAGGGAAGCAGCTCGTCAACTGTTGCTTGAGAGGCCTCAATTGCCAAAAGCACTTTTTCAGGTTCCCAGTGCTTATGCTAATACATTCTCTGACTTCACTCGTGCTATTTCCCTTATTCTCTGCAAAAATTGGGCAATATTGAAGTCCGACTATAATAATCAAGACTTAAGTTAATTTTAGGCTTTTCCTACTGATAAAGCAGTACATCGGAGAGAAATTAGTTGGGACTTATTTTTCTGAGAAGTATTTGTTTATTGTTGTTTTGGGATTTTATTCTGTAGGTTTAAGCTCACAAATGTTGTCCCCATGCTTTCGCAGGCACAAATAATGCTAGGAATGGTCACCCCAGAAGTGGTTTGTCTCATCTTCCACAGTGGCAATTCTTCTCATACATACCCTCCTTGTGAACATAACTATGTAAGACGGTGTCCCTAAATACCTACTTTATGTTTTGCAGCTGCAAATGCCAAATATAAGAGCACCTTCAAGTCAATTGGCATTACCACCATTGCAAGACACTCAGCAGGGTAAACATGCCCTTCAGACATTGGCAGGGTCAGCCCTTCCTTCCCAGGGGACATACCCTAGTTTGGTGACTCAAGTACCAGGTGGTCGCTCATCTGTAGTGCCTCTCAATCCTTCAGTACAAGACCAGGTTTCTACATCCCCAATGCATCCTCCAAACAAGACCCATGTTCTTCCGCAAGCTCTATTACCCGGGAAATCTGTAGTCCCAATACCTCTTCCTGCGCAACCCATTACTAGACCACCAAATCAGGCGACAGTAGATTCGTCGCTCTTAACCCAACAAATTCAACAATCCATTGTACAGAACCCAGGACAGTCTGGAGGTGGAAATTACGGCTATAAATCCCAAATCAGTCTTCGTCCATTTGTGTCAGAAACATCAACAAAGGTATAAAAAAATTCTACCTCTTTCTTATCCAATGTATGAAGAATGAAGATGAACTAAGGATTGTTTGCTAATAGTTGTCGAAGGTCGTGAGCAAATGAACCAACTTCATTCTTCATGTTGATATCTTAAGGGTGATACATGTGGGTATGGATAATAGTTGGATTGCTTTCAAATGTGGTTTTTTTTTTTGTACCCCCACTGTCATCTTACTCTTCGCATATTTACAGCCTGAGCCGCTGATGTCATCAGGCATTTCAGATCCTGGTAGCATGGATGCCCGTCCTGCTATTCAGGTTCCCGATGAAGCTACAAGGTATAACCGGAACATGGCTTACAGGCAAGCAAACACCTTTCAGGATCCCAGTGAACCAAGTCATCGCCCTACAAAGCTTCTGAAGTTGGACGAAGGCAGGAACACGTCTTCCTCAATTGGGGATCGTAACATGGCCAACAACACCGGATTTGGTCCAAGCCAAACGGTCCCAGTTATTTCAGTGCCTACGAAGCCACTCCCCAAGCCAGAAGAGAAACAAGCACCTCAGGTAACGGGAAAAAGTCAAAAACCACTGCTTGAAGCTGAAATAATTAACCGTCTTCTGTAGAACCAATCCTAATTGATCATCAAGCAGACTTTTAATGATGGCCTCAACCGACTTGTGCTTCCACTTGTTATCATTTAATGGTAATTATGAGCATACTTCAAAATAATGATTGTGTTTTCCTCGCACATTGCAGCTTGCACCAGATGTGGAATCTGCCCTGCTCCAGCAGGTGCTAAGCCTTACGCCGGAGCAGTTGAGTTCATTGCCACCGGAGCAGCAGCAACAGGTGATTCAGCTCCAGCAAGCACTTAGACGAGACCAGATGCAGCCGTCATAGCAGCTGGTAGTTGTCGTTTGCCCACCACGCTCCTACTGGAGAGAATAGCCTGCTGCTGCCATATCAGCTCTGTAACCTATTCTTATGTATGATGAACTCTCGTTTCAGCGAGAACCTGCAGTTTTGTTTTTATTTCACATAGGGGAGAAGAGAAGGAAAAAACCTATCTTGTATCCTCAAGGTAGAGTCCCAAATTTCAGCACCATAGATAAGGGGGGTTTCCTTGTAGAAGGAGTTTTACCTTTTGTACCATTATTGTTCAGTAGGGGTTTTATAAATATTTGTTCTGCAACTTTTTTGGTGTTGGGTTTTGGAATGGAAGTAATAATAGGTGATCGTTGCTTCGATCTAGTTTGATTGTTGCAACTCTATTCCAAAATCGAAAAGAAGACTAGCGATATTCGTTTCATCAGAATCCAAAATTTGGAATCGATAATGAATTCTTTCGTATTGCAAGCACAATTTTCAAAATGAATCATAATTAACTTATGGAGTTCATTTCCTCACATTCCATCTTACAAGAGAACGAAGATAAATAGAACAATAGGGTCACCTTGGACCAGATAACTCGACTGCATGTAGATTTTGCGTTGAATCCGGTATCCAATCCGAACTACGATGATGACGGCCTAGTTCTTCCACCTCATGATGATCACCTTCTTTTCCCACCATCATTTCCCATTCATCCCATCTCTCACCCAAACCCTCTCCTTCTTCCAGCATTCTCACCACTTCACACATCTTTGGCCGGCCCATCGGGGAGCCTTGTGTACAAAGAAGAGCAACCTGGATTAGCTGCTCCACTTCAGAACTTGCTAGGTAATAACTGCTCACGAGATCAGGATCCACCAGCATCTCTAACTTCCCCTCCTTCAGATGCCCTTTCACCTGACAATGACATACATCACATTGTTGTTACAACAGTTAGAGTAGAAGAGAAGAGAACAGAACAGAAGTAGTTAAGTGTTCATTCATCAAGCCTCAAATTGCTAACAGTCTCGTCGACCACGCGATATGGACTTGAATGTAGTTTGAAGAGAGGGAGTAGAAGCATCATTACCCAATCAAGCATCATCACATCATCGTCATTTGCAAGCCCTGCAAGATCAAATGCCTTCTTCCCGGTGATCAGTTCCAGCAGCATGATACCATATCCAAAAACATCAGTCTTTTCAGACGATCTGCCTGTGGAGAAATACTCAGGAGGGATATGGCCAACTGTGCCACAGACAGCAGTAGTGACATGAGAATCGTTGATGTTCATCAGTTTGGCTAACCCGAAGTCTCCAACAACAGCCTCGAATTCCTCGTCTAACAATATGTTGGCAGCTTTTACATCACGATGAATGACCTTTGGTTCGCAATGATCATGCAAGTAGGACAAGCCCTTAGCAGACCCCAGCGCTATTCGCTTTCGAGTTGGCCAATCGAGAGGAGGTCGAGATGGAGGACGTCCTACAAACAGAATAAGAACATAGTTCAATGGAATTTTTGCTCCCTGAACTCTATGTAGCTGTTGTTGTACCATACTTAATGAGTAGAAGGATGTAGACCGCTTACCTCGCAAGCATGAGGCAACACTTCCATTTGCCATGTAGGGATACACAAGCAATCTTTCAGTAGGTGTCATGCAAAAGCCATGCAACTGAAGAAGATTCCGATGCACAGCCATGCTTATCATCTGCAACTCCATTTGGAACTGCAACTCTCCTCCACTCGTGCGCCCTTCTTTCAGTCTTTTCACTGCCACCAATGAGCCGTCTGCCAGACGACCTTTGTAGACCTTACCAAATCCTCCTCGACCAAGAATGCTCTTGGTGCTAAAGTTATCAGTTGCAACTAGCAGTTCACGCAACGAAAACCTCTTGAGCTGCGATAGATGGACTTCGGCATCATCATCTTCCGCTGTAAAATGTACCAACTTTTCAGACTCTCTGAGTCATGAAGAAGGCCCCAAAAGTTTGATGCAGTCAATAAGAGACTAACCAGGTACGTCAACAAATAAGTCTCGACGTTTTCTTTGAAGCCACCAAGCAAAATATATCGCGGGAAAAGCAAAGAGCAATGCTGCACCAGCAGCAACTCCACCAGCTATTGCTCTGATGGCGCCATTCCCTCCTAAAAAGTATCAACATACACTTGTAAAACAAAAGATTTTGCTTGCAATTGACAATAAAGATCACTTCATGGACTCAAACTCTTTGTAGATCACATACAAGACAACCCTTGAAGGTTGAACACAAGTATAATTAGTGGTAAATGTCGATGATGATTAACATGGACTCAGCAGTACATAATAGACCATCAACCATTTTGTTAAGTAGAAAAATGGGAATTCAAAATGTAAAAGCCAAAACAAGATTTTGCATCAACCACTATTGCACCATGAAATGACGAACAAATTAAACGAGACTTTACTTGGTTGAGAAGTTGGTGAAGCAAATGGAGGAGGTGGAGAAAATGGAGGAGAACCAGGGCAAAGATAGCCAGTAACTGGTCCACAAAGATCCAAGTTGTTAGCAAAACTGCAGAAAGGAAAGAAGGAACTTGCACTCGTGACTTTCGCGTTCAAATAATCATTCAAAAGGTTAAGGGAAATTTTCCAAACAAACTGCCAACCTTATGGGAGTGAATTGAGTTAAGGAACCCTTATCTGGAACCAACCCGGAAAGGCGGTTGTTTGAAAGATCCCTGCATTCCAGTGTACAGAAATTAGTAAGCACTAAGCATGGCACTTTTGCATTAAAACCATATGACTGCTTCTATGAGACCCAAAAGTAAGAGAAACTTACAGCACTTCTAGTGACGAAATGTTAGCCAATGATGCAGGAATTGAACCAGCCAAGCTGTTGTTATTGAGCCTCCTATCCTTCGCAAAAACAAGGGAAGGAAAATAATTCCATTTTGTTGAAAGTTGAAACACCAAACTCGCATGTGAGACTATACATTACTGATAAAACAGAGGAAGTAGGTCTCACAGGTATCTCAACTTCGACAGCTTGCCCAAAGATTCTGGTATCTGGCCACTGAAACTATTCAAGTAAAGATCCAAGCTTACCAAGTTTGTCAAGTTCCCTAGGGAACTTGGAATTGCACCAGTAAAGTTGTTATTGAAGAGCTCCCTGTCAGAAAACAAAACAGAAACAAAACTGTTAATATTTCAGAGAAGAACTTGGACAGAAGCAGATGTTCTAGGATGAATTGCAATGATGACGAGGAAGAACATCAAAATTTCCAAGTCAGGCTTTGGGTGACTTACAAGTACTCCAAATTCTTAAGCAGGCCAAGTTGTGAGACAAGCTGACCAGACAAAGCAGCATTTCCAAGATCCCTGAAATAGATTGATAAGAAGATAAATACTTCAGCAGAGGCACATACTTGATAATACTATCTGAAAATAGAAGAGAGACTTACAATCTAGTGATGCTGTCGTCATCGTTGCACGTTAGATGAAACCATGTACATTTGGAACCAAGATTTTCATCCCAACTCTGCAGAACATTGTTCGGGTCAACCAAGTTGGTCCTTAGACTGCGTAAAGCATCGCCTGCTCCAAAAATCATGAAATGGAAAGAAATTAGGTGCTGCTGAGTGCTGATTACCATAATTGAAGAGGAGGAAGAGGCTGCAACATTCCAGCAAATTCAGAAAACAATCTCTTTTGCTGCGAAACAAATTAACACCCTAAAAAAAACTGAAAAGGGAGTCGACTTTAGAGCATAAATGCAGCTGCATTAGGAACCCATCACTCATCAGAGTCCCAAATCACTATAACTAGTAGCAAAGCAACCACCATAATCAGTTCATGAAACTGAATGGCTTTTACAGATCTTTCATAAGGAACCAGTAAAGATCAATACCAAGACTGGCCAATTTAGCAGAAACCCAGTTGCAGGAATAGAAATCTCATTCAGCAGTACCAAGATCAAGTCATCCAACCATATCATTAGCTTGTAACCATAATCAGAAGGGGGGACAAAGACAAACCAGCACAGTTATAAGTACCTTCGATATCACCCAAAGACAGCAGCCATAGAAATGGGTGCAGCAACAAGAGGATCAACAAAACAGGAATTCCCAAGGTACAAACTTTCGTCTCCATTACAACCTACAATCATTGAGAGACATCAACCAAACTTAAATAAGTCACCTCAGATCCAAACAGACAAAACAAGAAACTAATCCCAATAAGAAGAAGAAAAAGAAGAAAAACTTATCTTCTTCGAACCCCACCCCCAACATTAGATTTCATTATCCAAGTTCCACACGTTTTGCACATGGCAATAATTGTTGTTATTCTAATATGATGGTTCTCGTCCTCTTCCGAGTTCCGCAGCATAGTTTTCAAAAGGCATTCACACTTACAATCATGCACCAATATCATACGAATAGATAGCACGAAAGCTGAGAAATTCTAGGATGTTATGTTACTTACGGTTACGGAGACACCGACGTCGGATCTCAGCTTCCCTCAAGAACCGGCGGTCACGTACCGCCGCCATTTACTGATTTTTCCATTGCATGCGAAATCAAAAGATGAACCCAGAAACAGCTTAAAAATTGATTGACGATGCAGCGTCAAAGTTTGCTACTGGGACGAGGAAGGTTGGCATGTTGCAAATTCATTTAGGGTGCTTTTTCATATAAGTACTAGCATTTGGAATCTTGGGATATTCAGTAAATTCTGGTTCATGCCATGCTCACTGGGAAGCAATTCTTTCATAACTCAGCCGCCAATAGATATAATTGAACTACATTCTGATCACCAGTTGAAAGAAGAGAGCATATAAACACGAGTCCTCGAAATCAATCATATCATGCAGAGCCAGAAGCTAGTTACAACGCCAAAACAACAAAGATACAGCAACTGAAAGGTCCATCGAATGTAGCGCGATAATACGAAAAAAATGAAACTAGCTCCCAACTTTTGCCCTCACAGAAACTGCTCTGGGTTTAACAATAATCAAGGCTGCAGTAATCAAACACTGATTTCACAATTCGAGAGCTTCAGAGCTCTCATAACACAATGCTCCTAAGTTAGATTAGATATATAGATAGAAAAGGCCTCATGGATGGACGACACAATGATATGAACCTCTCAACAAACTGACTGATGATTCATATGCACAAAAATGAATACAAATTCAGAAGGAACGGATCTTTGCAATGGCCCGCCGGAATCAGGATTACGTTCATTCACCATGGGAAGCAATATATGATCAGAAAAAATGAAAGGATTAAGAATAAAGAAAAAGCATTTTCATTTCTTTCCTCCCCTTTTTTTTTAACTTGTAAGTGTGCCAATGGGGTGGTCGTCAACAATCTATCACCTCGGACCAGACAGCTCAACTGCATGTAGATTCTCTGTTGAATCGACGATCCAATCTGAGTTCGGGTGAGGGGCAAGCTCCACCTCTTGCCGCAGAACTTCTACCTTTTGCCATTCGTCCCATCTCTCGGCCAGGCCATCGCCTTCGAGCATCCTCACCACGTCGGACATCTTCGGCCTGTCCATAGGGGAACCTTGCGTGCAAAGAAGAGCAACCTGGATGAGCTGCTCCACTTCGGAATCAACGTAGTTGTTCTGAAGATCAGGGTCCACCAGCATCTCTAGCTTCTTCTCCTTCAGAAGTCCTTTTACCTGTACGACATTTTTTTCGTTGCAACAGTTAGATGATGCGTACTCTTACATTGCCTTGACCAAAAAAGAAATGGAGGACATGGCTGAATGTGAATTAATGATGGTTTACATGCACAAGAAGGAAAATGATGAATGTAGTAGTAAGCATACCCAATCGAGCAACATGACATCGTCGTCATTTGCAAGCCGAGCAAGATCGAATGCCCTTTGTCCAGTAATTAGCTCAAGGAGCATGATCCCATACCCAAAAACGTCAGTTTTCTCTGATGATTTTCCGGTGGAGAGGTATTCTGGAGCAATGTGGCCTATCGTACCCCGGACAGCAGTAGTGACATGAGTATCCTTGTAGTCCATCAATTTAGCCAACCCAAAGTCCCCAACAACTGCCTCGAATTCCTCATCTAGTAATATATTGGCGGCTTTTACATCACGATGAATGATCTTTGGATCACAATGATCATGCAAATAAGATAGGCCCCTAGCAGATCCCAGTGCAATTCGCTTCCGGGTTGGCCAGTCAAGAGGAGGTTGTGATGGTGGGCGTTCTACAATCACAAGTCCGTAGAGAAGAAAACTTAAGCATAAACAACCAAAAATAGTAATGCAGCTTTTAGGAGACCGTTAGAAAGATAAAAGAACTCTTCAAAAAGCTTTTACCTCTCAAGCACGAGGCAACACTCCCATTTGCCATGTAGGGATAAACAAGCAATCTCTCAGTTGGTGTCATGCAAAAGCCACGTAATCTCAGGAGATTTCGGTGCACAGCCATGCTAATCATCTCAACCTCTGTTTGAAACTGCAGCTCTCCTCCAGGCGTCCGCTCCTCCTTCAGCCTTTTAACTGCCACCAATGAGCCATCTGCTAGGCGACCTTTGTACACCTTACCAAATCCTCCTCTACCCAGAATGTTTTTGTTGCTGAAGGTGTCTGTCGCGACTTGCAATTCTCGCAACGAAAACCTCTTCAGCTGCCCCAGATGAACTTCAGGATCCTCTTCCGCTGCAAAATAGAGATAACCATTGGAGACCCGAGGCATTGAAAGAGCTCAAAGGATTTGATCTTTCAGCAAGAGGCTTACCAGGTACATCAAAGAATAAGTCCTGCGGTTTCCTTCGACGCCACCACGCGAATGCTATTGCAGGGGCAGCAAACAACAAAGCCGCACCAGCAGCAACCCCGCCAGCTATTGCTCCAGTAGCACTATTCCCTCCTAAAACGTGCATCAGCAGATCAGTGAATCTCTAAAAGCACTTAGCAGTGCCAGTGCAATTGTCCAAAGAAAAGCAATTAGACAAGCAAAGTGAGTTCAAGAAGTTTCTAGAGCATTCATTACCTGGAACCGAAATTGGTGGAGGTGGAACAAACGGAGGCGGAGGTGAAAATGGAGGGGAACCCGGACAAGGATGACCAGTAACTGGCCCACAGAGGTCCAAGTTGTTAGCAAAACTGCAGAGCAAAAAGAATGCTCAGATGGGTTTCGATTACTAGTAACTCATGGTTGGAGGAATTCCAACAAAATTGCCAACCTTATAGGAGTGAACAGTGAGAAAGAACCATTGTCTGGAACCACCCCGGAAAGACGATTGTTTGAGAGATCCCTGCATTCCATGATATAGTAAGTGCACATGGCATTTTTGCATCAAACTTTTCCGTATCCAAGATTATGGGACTGTTCATGACATATAGTTAGTATATGAGAACTTACAGCACTTGTAACGACGAGATGTTAGTCAAAGACATGGGAATTGGACCAGCCAAGCTGTTGTTGTTAAGCCGCCTACCCTTGCAGAAACAGGGCAAACAATATTGTATTAAACAGAGAGGTCAGGGGAAATATGCAGCTTAGCTGCAGAAATTTTATATTTTCGAATACTTGGTTCCATTAGTTGATAAACTCGGAGATTTGCTGAATACAGCAGATAAGGGGAATATGAGAAAGTAGACTTACAGGAATCTTAGCTTCGATAGCTTGCCTAAAGATTCTGGTATGGGGCCATTGAAACTATTCAAGTAAAGATCCAAGCTGACCAAGTTGGTCAAATTCCCAAGATCACTTGGAATTGGACCACTTATGTTGTTACTGTATAGCTCCCTGTCAAAGAAGAAAGGAAGGTGATTCGTACAGAACAAACAGTCAACCGAATAAGCAAAAGCATCTTAAATATGCTGACGACAAAGAACAACAAATACTTGAACGTAAAATTGAAGTCCAGCAGCATGACTTACAAATACTGCAAGTTCTTAAGCAGGCCGAGTTGGGGAACAAGCTGACCAGACAATGCCGCATTCCCGAGATCCCTGAAAGATAGGCAAATTCATTAGCTGAACTGTTTGGTAATCAAATACTGCAAAATGCAGGCGTCTTATTGGTGAACACGAGACTCACACTCTGATGACACTGTTATCATTGTTGCATGTTACATGGAACCATGTGCAGGGGTTCACAAGGGTAGGATCCCAACTCTGCAGAACGTTGTTCGGATCAAACAAGTTGGTCCGTAGGCTGTGCAAAGCATCACCTGTTCCAGAAGCAGGAAATACAACGAATTAGGTACTGTGGATTCCCCATCATCAAAGAAGCAAAGCTATATCTCTCCAGCGAGTTGCTAGCAATCAATGACTAGTCTAGTCAAACAATTCAACTCGATGTGTGAACTATAAGCATCAACAGTACACCATAAACTTGATCAGTCGAGAATGGCTACCAATGCAGCAATAAGATAATCAATTTCACTAAACCGGGAAATCGTCATTCATCAGAGAGCTAAGACTTCAAAGTGCATCCCAAATCACTGAAGATGTCCCCACAAGTCTAAATCACAATATATAAGCACTAAACCAAAATGCAAATAGACCAGCTTTAAAAAGGAGAAATGGAAATGATAATGGAGAGAAAGGGCCCAAAAAAACAGAGAAAAGGGAAGGCAGCTGCCGTAGATATAAACTCAAAATCAACAAGCAGCCAGGATCATCAAGGCTAGCCAATCCAGATTATGAGATGAAACCAACCAAAGGGAAGTTCAACAACACAGTTACCAAGACCCTCAATCCTAAGAACTATTGTAGAATAAAAAGAGATGAATCACATTTGCAGGAATCAACTCATTAACCAGAAATGAAAGATCAGAATTTCCTTCCCAGCTAGAGGAACCAAAGATCACAAGAAGAAAGCAACAATGCAAATGCTTAACAAACCACTTCCAGCAAGGGCACAAAGAAACCCCAGCAATATACCTTCCATATTACCAAGGACCAGCCATGATGGTTGCAGTACCAGCAGCAAGAAGATCAACCAAACAGGAACAATAGCAGAAACTTCCCTCCCCATTACTACCACCGCCAGAGCTCTTCAGACATCAACCACTAAATCTCCTCCTCAGATCCAAACTCCAACCCACCATTCCCCAGAAAAGACGCTCCAGGGGGGAGCAGCAAACCCACCAACAACAAAACGGAAGAAATGAAAAAAAACCTAGAAAGTTTCCATGCTTAATCTTCAAAACCCAAACATTATCTCAAATCACCAACTTCGCAAACACCAAATACAGACCCAGAAAAAAATCTCAGCACCCTTTTCCTTCCTTCCCACTTTCTTTCTCTCTCCCTCTCTCCGGTTCCTTACTCTGCCTTGCTCATTTCCTCGCCCAACCCCAAAAGGGAACAGGCAGTTAAAAAATAAAAGGGGATAAAACCAGCAGGAAAGGAGAACTCAGGAAAAAAAATTCACTGCCATTTCCCTTTTATGGGATTCAAGAAGAAGAAGAAGCTGAACAAGCAGAAGAAGAAAAAAAATATTTTTTCTAGCTTTCTAGCTGCTGCAACTGCAACACTTTAGCTGAGAGAGAGAGGAGTAGGAAGTAAAGAAGTGTGCCAGCAAGCCAAGCTGAAATTTTTATAACAAAAAGAAAAGCGGGGAACAGAAATATAAATAAAATTATGAATTATCTTTATTTGTTCGTTTCTATATTTGTGAACAATAAATTAAATTTTGTGACAGCTGCCCGGACGGAGCTGCTGCTGCCCGAACGCAGTGAAAAAATAAAACAGACAAAGAGATAAAAACGAATTTTTTTCCTGTAGTTGTACCATATATATGTAAATAAATTTATGAAATTTAAAAGAGTTGTCAATATTTTTTTTTTAGAAATAAAATAAATATTGAAAGAGATAAAATCTGGAGAAAAATAATACTGACAATGTTTCTTCATTTTCCATTCCTTTGTTCTAATAACATAAGTTATGTTAAAATAAAGCTTTAAACTTTATTGGATGGTCTGGTTGTAAATGCTAACACTCATTGTGACTCGAGATCGAATTTTGGGATAAAAAATATAATAAAACAAGTTAAGATTTGAAATTAATCCATTATAAAAAATAATCATTTCAATCAAATTGTTTACATTGATAATCACATCAATCTCATAGTTATTCAAAGAAACTCGATATGAACAATCAACTAGTTTACCTTCCTAAAAATAAGCTAGTTAACCAATATAACCTCAGTTTAAATTTAAAGAAAAACTCATTATGCTATCATAGGCTACAACCCAAAAAAATGTTGCTTCAAGTAAATTTGAGTTCACTGTCTCATCATCAGGTGTACCTGGATTATGATTATTTGAAATACGAGAACGATACAGCATTATGCACATATAACAAATGTCGGTTATCCTACCAGTTATAATAATCCAATTGATCAATTACACGTGAGTAATTACCACAACTTTTTTAATAGTTGACGTGGTAGACGAGGCTACACTCATGATCGTTGATATTCCTTCCGTCATTGCTATCATTAATATCATTCAATAATGTAACTAACTCTAACTAAAATCAATTGAGGTGAAATTGTATAAAGTTAAAATAGCTACTTCCACTACACTGCTATGATCAGACTAGTTATTCTGCTAACTTGAAGATTCGTTAGTATATACTAACTAATATCCAAAATATATGAACTAATATCTAAGTCTGTTAAATATCTAGATAGCACAAACCAGTATTCAAAACATCATAAACTAGTATCCAGATAGCATGTACCAACTAATATCCACAATTAACCAACTAGTATTCAATATGTGCATAGTCTTATGAGTTATCTGGATACTAATTATGTGTTGTTTGGATACTATTCTGTGTTGTCTAGATATTAGTTTGTGAATTTGGGATAATAGTTGATTCATGGTGGATATTAGTTAGCAAACTTTGAATACTAATATGTGCTCTCTATATACTTTAGTACTTTGATATAAGTTCATGTATTTTAGATATCAGTTAGTATCTACTAACGATCTTCAAATTAGCATATTAATTTTTGCACTATAATACCCATCTAAAAAAATGTTGATCTGGTTTTTATTTTTCGCAAAACAGAAAATGTTTATTGGGTTTGTAAGAAGGAGAAAGGGACGTGACGTGAAGCTAGGCGGGCAGGGGCGGGCAGCACCGTTTCATCGCCAGGCTTCTCTCTCCGGTCAAAACGTCGATGGCTCAAAGTGGGGCCCACCGTTTGGCCATGTCAGATACGGTCCCCAAAATCTGTGATGATAATGGCGTTTTGGGTTTGGGAGGTGGGGAGTTGGGCCCACGCTGTTTTGATTAATGCTGCTTCTCAATCTCAAGCGTGTGTGTTGCTTTATTTTTAATTTAAAATTTTAACCAATTATAATTAACAGCTTAATTTATTGTAATATTGACTAATAAAGCAATCGAGTCCTTGTAAAAAAAAAATCAATTGAGTCAAATGGTCTCCTAACGCTATTAAATAAGGGAATTTGGTTCAATTGTCAAATGAAACGACTGGGTAAATTGTGCCGTTTGCAAATACAAAATGGGAATATATCAATTTGACCAAAACAATTTCAATTGTCTCGTTTTGTATCAATTTGAATTGACAGGAGGAGAGATAAGTATCTTCAAATGATATATTAACAGTGAGATGAGTCTATTTTTGAAATAACTTGGTCAAATTATCTTTATTACCATTATTCAAACAATCCATATAAACAGTAGAGAAGGCATTCTGCTCATATTATTTAATTTTGGATATTGCAAAAGATAGTACATCATTTGTGAATTGTCACATTTGGTCAATTAGACTCTTAGTCATGAAACTTTAAAGTGGTCTCGATGATAGGATGTGTAGAGATGGATATGAGAAGAGAAACTAAATAAATTTTGCGCCAAACTATTTACTTATAGTATGTGTTTAACTGTTTATATAAAAAAATTATGATGTTTTTCTATTAATGTTTACTAAAAGAATTCCCGATAGACATAACATAAAAAAAAAATTCGAAATAAACAAGTTTGGATAAAGATTATTGCAGTGTCCAACAATTTAGGTACTAGATCGCTGGATACCAAAGCGATTTACCCGAATTGCTATCATGTGCGCGATTTGATTAATCTCTGGAGGCTCTAGCGATATTCATCTAATAATTTACATTGAAACTTCAGCTTTCGTCTCCAAGTAAGGTCGTTTACTGCCTCAATTGAATCATTTTGTGAGTTTGCTAAACTCTAAACTGGAATAATTTTGTGCTCCACAGTCCGATCATTGTAATGTTTTATTGTGCATTAATTTGCAAAGAATACAACTTTTACTAGGGACATGCATATCTTCAAAAAAATTATTAGAAATATATTTATAAAAGGGTTGCTAAAGTTTTACCCCCAAAAAAAAAATGTTGCTAAAGTGCGAGAGCATGCGTAACAGCTACACTAAATCTCAGTCTCAATGGATAATCCTCCCTTAATTGCCTAGTATTTTAAGTTATTAAAAATCATATATCAATATTCAAATTGTGTTGTGTTTCTTTATTAGTGTGGCTGGTGAAAAGACTGGTACGGTTTGTTCCATTCCAACAAGAGAAATTTGAAAGGGACGGGACGCATATGTGTATGTACATAATAATTTTGTTTGGTTTGGTGGTCAATCTCTCTTCCCTTTTCAATCTTTTGTTCCTTTGCTTTTTGTCGTTTAATTACCTAATTAACTAATTAACAATAATCAAGATGGATTTGTTCACCCCAAACACACTTTGGAATTGAAGAATTCATATTAACAATCATTAAGCCTAGTAATAATGTGGAATGAGAGTGTGCATCATACTTTAAGTTCGACAATTGAAGTCAATAACCAACAAAAAAAAAGACTTAAAATTTAAGAACTCCCACATTTGATTAGTTGCCCCGTGTTTCAAGCAAATGAATTCAAACAGTATTTGGTGTACTAAGAAGCAAAATTATATTATCATGAAGCATTGGCGTAGCGAGAAATTTTGTTAAGGTGGGTCAAACTACAATATAGATCGTTGTGAACGGCTAGCATCAAACATCAGTCGACAAGCTCAGATGTTAGGGAACGCTATCACGTCATATGCGGCATTTTCAAGAAACAAGATGAGGGTTTTTTACGTTAAAAAGGTGGTGAATACGCTTGGGAACGATGAACGACAACATACAAACCGAGCAACTAGCAGTTGACGGCTGGCATTGATTATTAGATAGAGGTTGTGGCTTGTAGAGATTCGGTAATCCTGGTCGGTTAACAGAAGACAATAGATTGTTGATCATTTGAGAGAGATCGTATTAGGAATTGTGATAGGTAATAAAAGACAGGTGTAGTCGTGTTTCTTGGTTTGATGTAAAAGATACTAATGAATCAAGAAATTAGATGTTAAAACATAAAAATAAAATGACTTGCAACTGAGCAATTTTAATACGTTATAGTGAAAGGGAGGTTGGCATTTCGATAACTCTTATAAAAGTGATATAGGTTTTGCTTTTTTCGTGGTTAGATACTACTTAAGGGCTACTATTAATAATATTTGTTTGTGTGTTGAGCCAAGGTGGTGCAGCCGACCCACCTTGGGCCAACCTGACTCCGCCACTGGCATGAAGGATGGTTGTACATACTTAAAAAAAAAAATATTCGATTTGAGAAGGGATTTTACAATTTCTCAATACCACATTTTAGAGATTCATATTAACCTCACGATTCATGTCATCAACAAGGATTACAATTGAGTTTGATTTCTTGATTAGTACACTTTGATAGGCATTTTACTTCTTAAAACAAATCTAAGAAGTGAAAATTTGGAGCGAAATTATTTTCCTTCGACAAAAAATTAAAGTAGCCTCTCTTGCTAAGAAGCCAAATTATTTAGTCAAATACAAATATATAAGAAACTTAGTCAAATACATCAAGTAGGGCTGGAGGTTCGGTTATCAGTTGTCGATTAACCCGATAATCGGCGATTATCGGTCAACCGACTAATCGAAAAAGGATCTCGCGGTCGGTGTCCGGTAGGGGATTGGTTGTGACGATGAACCGGCTAACCGACACAACCAACCCCCTCATTTTCCACAATACGCCCCCTCCCCCCAATTCTTCAGCCCTAACCCTAATTCCCCTTCCCCGACCCCAATTCCCCAATTCCCCTTCCCTTCTCTGCATCGCGACGCCCAGTCCCTCCCTCCCGAGCTGCGATTGCGAATGGCGACTCCCATTCCCTCGGCCTCCATCTCGTTCTCTCTTCTTCACAGGCCCCAGCCGCGACCAGAGCGACGCCGCGACTAGAGTGTCCCCTGATCCGCCATCTCCCTCGCCGACACGCGCCCCTGCTCCGCCATCTCCTCCCCGACCAGCTTCCCGACTCGCCGCAAGCCACAATCCCCCGCCGGCCGCTGTTGTTCCTCCGCCGCCAACCACAGTCCCCACCGCTCCGCCGCCAACCATAGTCCCCCGCCGCATTTAGGTGGCCATCAAGGAAAGAAAGAACTCAGAAAATGTCTCTACTTCTCTCTCTTCTCTCGAACCACTCCCAGTCTCCTCTGCTCCTCTCTCTTTTTCTCGAACCATCGCCAAAATTTTCTGATTTGTGCGGTTATCTCGGTTAACCGAGCAATTAACCGGTAACCGACCGGTCGGTTGTCGGATAACCGAAGGGATCCGTCGGGCGGTTGGCGGTAGGAGTGTCTGGTTTCGCGGTTAACCGGTAACCGATATTTCGGTTATCGGTTATAACAGAAAATCCAGCCCTAACATCAAGTGTAGGTTGAATACGAGTCATTGTCTAGTCTTCAATCTTTTTGGATTAGCATAATTTATTAGTTGTATATAGTTATGCATTAGGAGTTATAACCATTGGCATCATCATGACAATAAATAAGGAAAGTTCAACCTTTGGTCAAAAGAGAAGTACCCCATTCTAAATTCCAGATGACAAAATCAAAGGTAATGAATGTTAGTTAAGGTTCTCTTGTGAGTGATGCCCAAATAGGCAATTGCTGAAAAATTATCTAATATGCTTTGAGTTTATCTTAACATTGATAAAAGGATCTCCTTCGTTATTATAGTATAAAAAAGTAAATTTGTTGACCTTTCAAAAAAGCACCCTCAATTTTTTTAATTTAATAGTTTTTTTTTCCGGGGCAATTAACCTTAAAATCCTCAAGGAAAATCACATCCTCGCTCTCTAGGCTCTGCTCATATGCAAAAGATTCATCGCCCCATATTTTATCCACCGTATTTGATGCTAGTTATCTCTCATTATGTGAATCCAGTTGTTGATAAGATGTTAACCCAATGAAACAAAAGAAGTAACAAGCATTTAAAAAGGAGTGGGAAAGCAAGTATTAAATCCTAAACTTTATTTTTGCACTTTCACTGCTCCTTTTCCATTAAACTTATAATAATCTTTATGGTAGAAGAGTAATTGGTGTCCATCATTATGATAAAGTCAGAGGTAGTGGCAAAATTTGCAATCATCCATTGCGCATGCCTAATGTAAAAAAGAGCCATTCCCTTTTGGAAAAACCTTTGCCAAATTGGCTCAAATGGGATGTGATCCATTGGCCATCCAATTTCTACTGTTCCAATAATTGAAACTTGAAACACCAAAATTTCTACTAGTGGCTAGCTGTAGAATGATGGAAAACAAGGAACCATGATTATATTTCTCTTTTCAAACCGTTTACCTATCTCAAAACAACTAAACGCATGACAAAATTAATGAACTAGTAGCATTGTGACATATCATTTGTGTCGATATCATGCATGACGATGGTGGAGTGCCTCCTTAAACTCATTTGCCAAAACAGATTAGGCCATTATCCTGTAAGTCTGTAACTATTCATGTAAACCCAATTCCTTTTTGGGTTAGTTCATTTTACCATCTTCCGTCATACCGACGACTATTATGAAAGTAACTGACACTCTTTGTTTCCAAAATTACCATTGGGTGAAGTACTACTGATCAATTACCAATTTGGCACGTGTAAGTACCCCCATCAAGTTTGTGAGGAATGTATGCAAATGGGATGAAGAACTTGAAAAATGTTGGGGAAATTAGGTTTAGAATTAGACTGATTTTCTCCTTAAAATTAGGCTTGAACTTTGTAAACAGGGGAATTAACACAAGTGGCTGTTTTTGACTGTTGGACTCATGAATGAGTTGGGCTGTCGGTACAACAGAGACCGGCTAGGTTGTCCTACAATGATCCTATTCCTATCCTAATAACATATATATTCTATAGGCCCAACCCAAAAGAGTCTGAATTATTGGTAGCAATAGCAAACAGATATTCATAATAGAGTTTCAAACATTTGTAGATATTCATATTATTAACTAACTTTTTGATTATGTTGATATTGTACAAGTGAAAAAGGCAAAGGTGGGCACTGGGCAGTGGGGTGAGTGGATTACGGAGTCTCAAATTGACCCACCCGTTTATTGACGAGTTAGTATAATTGTGATATGCTATTCACCTGCATTCTTTTTCGGGTTGCGGGTTAACCTGCAAAACAGTTCTCTCACTAGCCATTAGACAAGTTGACTAGCATTTTACAATAAAATTTCCACAAATTAGAAAGTCTTTTTTTTTAATTGCTAATACCAAATTTTCATTCTGCCACTTTAAATGAAGTATCCGTTGACAAAGAAAACAAATTAACGAACCACACATTTCTAAAGACCAAGACTATTTACGTGTGTGGATTTCACTTCTTAGACAGAGATATGAAATCTTATAAATTGTTTCATTATCTATTCTTATTCTTGTAAGAGCATTACTCCAAAAAAGCTAGATTCTTGTCTTATAAAAACTATTATTATTATTATAATTTATAATAATAATAATAATTATTGACTTCAAATTGTCAAATACAAAAATCCATTGATGAAAGAAATTTGTCCAAACGGTCTAACTAAGGAGACCACTCAGACCAGAAAAGAATTCCAAAACAAAATGATAAATGGATAATAGATAGACGGCTCAGGAAAACGCCGTCGACTATTTTTAGAGCCCCCACTTTCCGCCGCCCTTAACTTTTCTCTGCCTTAAACGCCCCGACGAAACAGTTCCGCCCACAAAAACGCCGCCTCCGCCGTAACCGTCCGCCGCCGCCCTACTCCTCTGCCACTTCCCCTGTGCTCCTCCAGCATCTTGATTTCGCGCCTGAATTTCGAAAAGCGAAAAGGGAGTTCGCAGAAGAGAAATGTCACTGTCCTTCGTTTCTTCCCCTTCCTTCCGTCCCTTCTCCACAGCTCGTCCTCCCGTCAAATTTCCAACGCCCGGGAAACTCCGCCCGCCTCGCCCGCCCGCCGCCGCCTTGCGAGCGAGCTCTACTCGCGGCGAATCGGACGGGTTCACGCAGAAGTCCGGGTACTTGTTCGAGCTCAGTACCAGCGACGCCAACGCGCTGGTCGATTACAACATCAAGAGGATCGCGGCGATATACAGGAGGAAGCCGTTGATTGTCGTTCGGAGGTTGGTTCAGCTCGCCGTCACTTTTGGCCGGTGGTTCGGTGCTCGGTTTGTGGATGAGCTGACTGAGAAGTCTGATGAAATGTTCGAGGTCCGATTGCTTATTCTGGTTTTGGTTCATTTTGGGGACAATGATCGAATATCTTGGTAGCAGAGATTCTGATGTTCTTGATTGGTTTGTTGCAGGTCAGAGCTGCGGAGCTTAGGAGGATACTCCAGGAACTTGGCCCTGTACGCTTCCTTTTTCCTTTCCGTGAACGTTTATGACTGATTGATTCATACCATTTTTGCTTTCGAGTTTTGGGACTTCTAGTGTAAGAATTTCATGGCTTACTGAAAACGAGGCTTATACGTATGTATCATTTCTCATTTCCAGGCTTACGTCAAAATTGCTCAGGCTGTTTCTTCCCGATCCGTAAGTCTTTTGATTCTTAGCTACGAGAAGACCATGTTCAGTGAACATGGTGCTTCTTAGTTTCTGCGCAAGAGAATGGATTATAACTGGGTTTGCGAATGCTTTATCCATGCATCTTTTTCCTCTGTAGGATTTGATACCGCCATCATATCTTGATCAGCTCTCGTTATTGCAAGATCGGATAGCTCCTTTTTCCACAGATGTTGCTTTGAAGACAATAGAAAAGGAGCTTGGACTACCCATCGACTTGGTATTTTCTGAGATATCTCCGGAGCCTATAGCTGCAGCTTCACTTGGACAGGTCTGTGTTTGCTCCATGACGTCTAGTTATCTTCTAGAATTGTTTGGTACACCAGCCGTTTATCGAACAATGTTGGTGTTGTACTCAATCTGAAACTTCTTGAGTGGCAACTAGAACCCAAACAACTTGGGGCTATTGTTTTATTCATGTGCTGGTCTCTCCCAAAATAGGTCTATCAAGCAAGGCTTCGCAGCAGTGGTCAGCTTGTTGCTGTGAAAGTGCAGAGGCCAGGGGTTCAAGCTGCCATTTCCCTGGACATATTGATCCTTCGTTATGTTGCTGGGATAATAAAGATACTTGGGAAATTCAACTCTGATCTTCAGGTCTTGCTTCTATCGTGCTAAGATGAGGAGTAGGCAGTTTCATTCATTATGTTCATTATTATTAATGCTGTTCATAACTAAATTCATGAGCTCTAATGTGCAGGCAGTTATTGATGAGTGGGCATCAAGTCTTTTTCGGGTATGTTTTAACTAAGTGTTGACCATCAGAACTACATTTCCAAATACCTCTCTTCTGCCTGCACTTTTCTGTGGATTCTGCCATCTCTTTCAGTGTAGTAGTACCTGTTCTCAATCTGATGATCCAAAACTGCTTCATGCAAACGATTAATAGGTCTCACAGATAGTGGTTTTGCTCTTGCAGCATTGCTGTCGTACTTGATTGATTTTATCTTAGCTTGTTCGAGGAGTTTTCTTAGAGCTTCATATTGAATACAGGTAAATCACATTGAATGCAGGAGATGGACTACGTGAATGAGGCGAGAAATGGAATCAAGTTTAGGTAAGAACGTCATAAATAATAGGGTTTGGCTCACAATTTGTAAATCTTCATGTTGCTAATTCTAGACTGATATACAGGTAAACGACGGTTTCCAAAATCAAACGTATATGTTAAAAGGAGTGCCATATTGTTTTTGTTAGGTGGCGTATATGACAGTGACAGGTTCTCTTCTTTAACCTTGATGGTAAAGAGAAACTAAAAAGATGCACAGACAAGCTGAATATGTGTGACGATTAAGTTTAGCTAGCTTCTCAGCTTAATGAAGTTCACATGCTATGGAACTAGTAGTCAGGCGATGACATTTCAATTTGCAGCAAATTCTGCTTGTCTGATGTCAAGACAAAGAACTGCTTTACGAGATCTGGAATTCCTGTGAAAATACCACTAAAAGCACTATGGATTTATCTTTTCTATGTTGACCTGTATATAGCATTCTGGGATGTCAGATTGATCCCGTGTCTTGTGCTTAAACAGAGAGCTATATGGTGACATAAAAGACGTTGTCGTTCCAGAAATGTATCAGGAGTACACAACTCGCAAAGTGATTGTGATGGAATGGATTGAGGTGCTCACTGACTCATTGCTTCTGTGTACTTCTGTTTCTTGCCAAGCTTTTCTGGTTTGAAACTATTTAAGTGTTTATCCCTGTCTTGCAGTGGCTGCCCTTTTGCAGTATCTTTTAATCTATCGTACATAAACTTTTTGGGCTTCTGTTTTGCGTGATGTCATTGTATGTAAACACAATTTCAGCATCTTATTCATACAGTAGCGAATATTCTTTTGTTCATCTCTTTTTCCATTCTCTCAGATTCTTATACTTGTTATTTGAACTGTACAGGGGCAGAAATTGGTTGAAGTGAAAGATTTATACTTGGTTGAGGTTTGTAAAATCAAGTCCTCAATATTGCTCTTGCACCATTGTTTATGTAAATGATTTGGATGGTTCTCTTGGTGTTGACTAGGTGGGAGTTTACTGTTCATTCAGGCAACTTTTGGAGTGTGGATTTTATCATGCTGATCCGCATCCTGGAAACCTCCTCCGTACAGATGATGGGAAACTTGCTTATCTAGGTAATATTTTGACTCTTGAGCGAGACTACACTTAGGTATTTAGATGATTTTTCTGACTATCTTTTCACTGCCTGCTTTGACTGGATTCTTTCTTCATGCTCTCGTTGTCATGGGGTATATGTCTACTGTGTTCCGTATCCAGATTTCGGTATGATGGGTGAATTCAGAAAAGAACTCCAGCTTGGATTTATTGAAGCTTGCCTCCATCTTGTTAATCGCGATTATGATGCATTGTCCGAGGACTTTGTCACCCTGGGGTACTTTCACAATTTCTCTTTTCTGTGAAAGGGGTAAAGAATTTTCGGCGTTAAACTGAGAAAGCTAATCCAACTTGTAGGTTTCTTCCACCAACTGCAGACAGGGAGGCTGTTACAAATGCCTTAACAGGTTCAGTTAAATTGTATTAGTGGTTTGAATGTATATGGGTTATGGAATTTGCAATGTCTCACTTGATCATCCATATTCTGCAATATTCTGTTTTCCTGCAGGTGTCTTCAAGGATGCCATCGCCAAAGGAATTCGTAATATAAGTTTTGGAGATCTTTCAGGAAATTTGGGGTTTACGATGTGAGTATTTCTTCCTTAGTCTGTTTGTATGATTTTTTCATATGGGCGAACCATCCATTCTTTAGGATTATGTGTGTCCTATGTGTTAATTGAGTCTCTTCTAAGGCTGAAGAGATCGATCAATTGGACTAGATTCATTTTATGAACTTAACATTGAGTATCACACGCCCACTAGAACTGATCTTCCAATTAGTTCAAAAGATCTAGTAAAATTGATTCTGCGGGTGCATTTCTAAGCCCTTAAAATGCTAGAATTATTGGAATTCCTACTTGTTTGTACTATGTGGTGTTTTCATGTGTTTGCTTTATACTTCTTTGTCACTTCCAAAATCACATTTGTATCTCTCAGTGTTCTTATTGTTGTTGTCTTCAATTTGTGTGGTGAGATTTCTGAGATATTCCACTTTTACACAGGTACAAGTTCAAGTTTCAGATACCTTCATATTTTTCGCTTGTTATTCGGAGGTAATGATCTTCTCATTAAATTACCCTGAACATGAAGCTCGTGTCATCACTAGCATTGTGGCACCAAAACTTTGGATGTTCTAAGTTGGCAATTCTATTCATCCATAGAAATATTGACCAACTTTCTTTATGCCATCTTCTCTGGTTCCTAGTCTTGCAGTTTTGGAGGGAATTGCTATCAGTTTTGACCCCAATTACAAAGTGTTGGGTAGCACGTATCCATGGATTGCTAGAAAAGTACTAACTGATAGCTCGCCTGAGTTGAAGTCTTCCTTGATATCTGTTCTGTACAAGGTTGATAATACACTCTATCTAAGTTGATACTTACACACCATTTTCAAAAGGAAAAGGAAGGAAAGAATGTTCTTTTTCCATGCATGCTTGCTATCTATTCTCCGAGGTCTGTCAACTTATGTTTACTGGATTGCCTCTTCTCAGGATGGTGTCTTCAGAATAGATCGATTGGAATCTCTAATTTCAGAGGTGGGGTTCTCTGTTTTGGTTTGAGTTTGACTTTAGATGTATGCAATCATCTTAAAGGGATACTGGCCCACTGCATAATAATGACGCACTGCACCTAGATCATCTATATGCTTGCCTGTCCGCCTATACAACCTTAAGTGCATTGTGATGCTTAGAAACCGTATTTCAGGTTGTGCATTCGGCTGATAAGCTGCTTAGACCAAGCATTCATTATTTAAGGGGATATATTTTTGGTACTTCCAATTTGGAATTAAATTTTTCTAAAGTTATCAAGTCTATCATTCATCTTGAAGGATTCTACCGTTTACTAGGTTTGTGTTTGCATATTGTCTTTAGTCTTCATCCAATAAGTTAAGACTAAGATTTATCATATGAACTGAAGAGTGAAGACCAACTAAACTAGGTTGCACTTTCCGGTGTCAATTTCAGACAGAAGATTCTCAAAATAAGTTACCAAATTTTCTTGCAGTCCCTCCGTGCCGAAACAAAGAAAGCCTTAGTTAAGCAACCAGTAGAAGCAGCAGGCTCGAAAGTGGTTATGAAGCAACTTCTTTCTTTCACATTAACCGAGAAGGTGAACTTTCTCACCTCTGCTGTTTTATCGTTTAACTAGCTTTGATATGCTTTTTGTAGAGTTGTACACACATCTTCTGTTTTGATTAATTTACTCGCATCTTCTGTAACATTTGGCAGGGTTCTTTTATTAGGGAAATACTTCTTCAAGAAGTTGCCAAGGTAGGCTTTTGCATCCCATCCACGTGTGGTTTTGTTTAGTAGTTATTTGTGGACAATCGTATGGCCAAGTAATATCTTTTCTTCATTGCCATCGACAACATTTTCTTGATGCAAAAACAGGGTTTGGATGCACTCGGACTTGCGACTATGGATTCTGTAGCCTCCGGCGCTGCTGCTAGGATACCTTTTGCAGCATCCCTGTCGCTGTCCTCAATGACCGAGGAAGATAGAATGAACTTGATAGTCTTGCGTCGCCTTTCCCTGTTATTGTCTGGAGGTGTAAAGAAGGCAAGTACCAACACGGTAAGACTGTTGTATTTTGATCAAGAGCTTACCTCTGCCAAGAAATTGTTCTCTATCCATTTGTACTTTGATCAAGAGGAAAATGTGAACTTTATTTTTCATTTCTAGAACAAATTCCTCTGTCCATAAAGAGCTTACCTCCTGTTTGAATTGTACTCGAGCTGGCGTAGCTGCGGGTTAGCATATGTAGGAAATATCTTTCATATTAGACTAGCAGCTATTAGGCGAATCCTTACCTCTGTTGTTATTGTGCATTTGGGTTAATTTCTATATTATCTTTTTTGCAGGAAGTTACAGCCATTACATCATCCACAAATGGGATGGCGCCAACATCTCTGGTCTTGTATCAGCTTCCACCAGTTCAAGAGATCATGCCCATCCTCTCAGTAATCACCGAGGTGAGTGAAAAGTTCACACTTGCTTGCCCTTTGCTGTTGTACTTCGTCGTGCTTCCATTCTCAATTTTGAGTGCGATTGCTCATCTGATTTCACTCTTGTGCTTGCTACCATAATCGCAGCTCCCACAAGAATCGCAGCAGCAGTTACTTTCTGTGCCAGTTGATTTGTTCGGAAGGTTACTTTCTCGTGCCACTGCTCGGACCATACGGAGAGTGTTCCTTTAATCAGATCTCAATCCCATATTCAAGCAAGTCTCTCTCTCTCTTCCAATCCTTTCCTTGATTGTCCTTTGCTAGACTGTAAAGCCGCAATGTACAAGGTTATAGTAGAACCTATATATAGATCAGATAATCAGAAACAAAGCTGAAAAGCAAGTTGGTAAAATCTCAACATCTTGTCCGGAGGAACATGGCTGCATTTGGGCTGTACTCTATCGAGTACGTAACACGTAACTTATACAGTCGTATTTGCTATCTCCAAGCTCTCAATTTTTTTCCCCGGTCTTACCAATTACCATATTTCCATTTCCAGAGACGGCCGATGATGGAAATGAATGTAAAGCGTGACAAACACAAGTATCTAGCTCAGTGTATCATTTGGAAAGGTAACATTTAAGATTGTAATTTGTAAGTATGTTATCTGTCTTTCGCTGTTGCATGTTAGATCGCTGTTACGATATTGGAGGCTCGAATCGGTGATCCTAGAAACAGTGCAGAATCAAATTCCTGTGAGCTGCAAGTTTGCTGGTACACATTGAATGTAAACCGTAGTCATCATACACTGCAAACATCGCATGGTCGAATCAAGTTCATCATCATAACATCTTACAAAAAGCTTGGTCTCCCCCATGGTCGAAATCGCACTACAAACATCGCATTCAAAGTCACTCATATTGCTCTTAGGTAAGCAGAAATTAAGGAAAGCTCCATAAGACCCCAGGCTCCAGGCACAACTCTATTCCATGACTGTGCAAAATCATCAGTGCTTTGTCATAGTTCATGAAGCTAGTGTGCCACTACAACACTTCATTTCTTCCCCTGGCCAAAATTTTGTGGTGAGTGGGTGGAGGTGGTGGATAACTAATTGGAAGGGACATGGTAGTATTTGCCTTGACACATGCACCTATAGACAATAGGGCATGACTCATTGACTGAGCACTTGAAGCTCACCATCACCCTCTTGCATGGGAAGCAAGGTCCACAAGCATGTGAACAGTCCGGCAGAGTCGATCCCGTCGGATGTGCTTGCAATATCTTCGTCGCCTCTTTCTCTCCGCCTGCTGTTCCTGCCCGTCCATCGACCTATTGATAGAATGAGTTTATGTCACTTGGATTGTCAACAATAACAGCTCAAGATTTCTCTTTGGAGAAATAAAAATAGTATGAGCAGACGAACGAACCTTAGGGTTGACAGAACGTTCGTCACTTCGTCTTATTGGTCCTCCAACTTCTTCTTCTGCCGTGGTAAAAGGAACGACTAGCAGAAAATTGACAAGCAAACATACGTGAGAAAGGTATCTCGTAATGACGCAAAGCAGAGAACACGGAGTTACTTACCACGACGGAGGCTTCGGCCTTGTATGCCTTGGGAAGCCATGGTGATCATAACCATGAGAACAAGCATGAGTTGTACTACATGTTTGTCACCGCCATGAGAGCTCCCAAAGACTTGTAGCTTCATCATTTTCAAATTGATTGGTTGATATTGGTAGAGAAAGCTATTGGAAAGAGGAGCAGAAGAGGGTGGAAAGAGTTTTCCTCTCAACTTGGACTTGATACAACTGGAAGGCTATAAATAGTGTAAAAGAGCTATAATGACTAATAATAGCTGCGAGTGTTTTAATGTGAAAGAAGGACACTCACCTGATATACGGCTCACATGATCCCCGGCTTCTTTTCAATGTGTTTTCAGTTTTTGACCCGCGCTTTTATGATGGGCAAAAAATCCCAGTTAAATAATGGAGGAGTCGAAATGGGCCAGCTATTAAGTTGGATGGGCCAGCTCTGGCCTGAAAACCATTAAGCAGACTGTAAAGCCCTGCAATGAGCGGTCTACTCAAGGCATCTCACAACATAGCCCAATAAGAAGTTTTCATTTCCGTAACATCGACGGGAAAAAAAAAACAGCAAAAAAAGAGAAAGGATCAAAGGAGTTTGCCAAAAATAAATTACCTACGGAAAAAATAAATAAAAACCCTACAAAATGACGGAAAAGGTTAGGGTGCTAACATTTTTTTTTTGGTTAGTGTGGTGGTAACATTACTTTCAACCAATAGAAATATTTTGTTTGAATAACATTTTAATTTAAATGAGTTAGACCACAATTAATGAAGAGGAAGAAAATCTAGAGGCATGCTGGTCATTAATTTAATGAGTGAGGGGGGGAACTCATGTTTGTTGTTGCTTTAACTTGGGGAAGGAGTGCACTAATAGGGGGATGGGGTTGGGGATTATCAAACCCATACCACAAACGCTATAAACAACACTATGCAAAATCACAAATTTTAGAAAGAAGACCACAACCTCACCACATCACAAAAATAATAATTCTTCTGTTATCATGCACATGTCAAATACCAACACTGCTTTAACCCACTCTCCTAACCAACCTAGCCTCGTACCCGGCTCCATCCCGCTTCACAACCACATACGGCATATGCGTCCCGCAAACCCTATCCCATATCGAGAAAAACGCCTGCGAATAGTTATACTTGCTCCCTTGCAGCTGGTGGTGAACGTCGTGGTACGCCGCGTTGTTGTAGAAAACCCTAGGCACCAAGTTCCACGGCAGCAGCATCCCACAGTGGTCGTCCACGGTCTTGACAATGTGGAAGCTGAAGAAGAACACCGACGTCCGGGGCGTCATCCCGGAGAGGATGAACGCGACGCCCCCACCCACCGTGTCGAACACCGCCTCGACAGGGTGGCTGTAGAGCGTCCCGACGGCGTAGGGCACCACCAGGCGGTGGTGCTGGGAGTGTACCTTCCGGTAGAGGAACTTGTTATGGTGCATGTACCTAAGGTTTCAAATGATTGTCATGGTAATTATCAAACCGAATAAGTCTAAATTATATCAACTGTGGAATACAATATAATTATGTTGGAGTCATTAGCAGTAGTCACCTAACAAAAAATATGTCAATGGTATGAGGTTATTAAATTATGCGTGTGAATTGTTTGTCTCTTAGCAATTATCAGAGACGAAATAAACTCCTCCGTTTTAGGTTATCATTCATCAAAATGTATGAGTTTTTATCTAAGTTAAATTAGCTGTTTATATACCGTTCTGTATACTCTACATAAACAAATGTAGTATACAAACAATAATGAACTTTATTTTTTATGGATCCAAATGATAGGAACGCTTGACTATCAAATTGTTATGCAAAGTATTAAGTATTTATATATAATATATTAGATACATGCGACTAATTGCTTAATATATAGGTTAATTGGATTAATTGGTTAGGAATGTGTGAAACAAAATCAAACCATCTAAACCAAACAAACTAAAATCTTTTATCAAGCAAAACTAACTATTCAAATTAACCAAACTAAATTATCTAAATATTACCCGTTAAAATAATTACCACATTAACCACTTGGAACACTCTTATACCTGTGGACGAAGTACTGCCAGGCGTCGACGATGAGCATGGCGAGGATGATCTGCGCTATCTGGTGTTGGATGGATGGTTGCTGCCGTTGGGCTAACGTAGTACTAGTTGTGGTTGAGGTTAACTGAAAAACAAAAGTTGAGAGATTGACTACCCAAATAGATAATTTGCAGGACTAAATTGTAAGGAAATGAAAATGTAGGTATGCCAAGAATACTAGAACGCAAGGAGTTTGCATCGCTTTGGTATGAAGGTCAATACATAAATGGTAACTTAATACTCTATGTGTAGAATGGTCTATATTAGTTGGAAAATAAAGATTTCAACTAGGAATGGTAATTGGTAGGTTGGGCGAGTATCTCAGTACACATACCTGTTCATGGCAAGTCGGATCCAGATCAGATGATTTATTATGGGGCTGGTCGCGACAGGTGTCATACGTGTATATAATTTAAAGAGAATTGTTTTTTCAAAAAAAATAAAAGTCAAGAAACAAACTATAAAATTACATTTAATTTATGCAAAAACGAGTTTAGGATTAAAGCTGGTCAACTCGAAGAGAGAACCCATGGCCGCCTTGCCCCGTCTATATCCGCCACAAAAAAAATCGGGTAAAACGGATCATATCGAAATCGCCAGTTCCAATTAGTGATGAATAGAAAAATGGATTTATCCACATACATGTTCATCCAATATTTTATTATTAGAAAGAAGAGACGGCATGTAATTAGGCATATAGTTAATTACGATGAAATACATATGATTCACGTCACTAAAAAATGTTCGTTCAAGTTTAGAAATAATAACAGTTGACGTGAAATATAATTAATTAAACTATATATAAAAATATAATTAATTAGAGATGAATAGAAAACTATATATATATATATGTTATTGTGATAAACCGGTTCTCGACACAACTGAGAGCCAAAACTTACCAAGAAGATGGAAAACCCTATTGTTGCTTGAAGTAGCTGTTGGATCAAAACGCCCTTCACCACACTATGGAACGGCACCAAGTTCTTCTCGTCTTCTTCCTTCCTCGAGTGCAGCCTGTACTCATCCAACGACGGCAGCACGAGCTGGTAAAAGCCGGCATAGACCCAATAAACCACCATTGGAGCAATGATTCCCATTGCTTCGTCGCTCACATATCCCTCCCAAAACACCATTATAATGCTAATATTGAGACAGAGAGAGAGAGAGAGAGATTTGCGCAATAATATTGGATCCAACCCAATAATGAACTATATATAAGCTTAGCTTAGCTTAGCTGGTTAAGTGGTTATGGCGATGTCAACACAGCTAGCTAGCTAGCTTACCTAATTAAGCTCGATCCCTCCAAGTTGCAGAAGCCGGCCATTGTCATATTGTGTAGAAGAAAAAATGGTGGCTGAGAGATCAAGATAAAGGTTAAGGCATATTATTCAGCATATAATATATAAGAAACTAAAACAATGCAAATGGAAAGCCGCTCGAGGACAAAACAAATGGTATAACGGCCGCGGTTTAATGGTATATATATATTGAAACGTAGAAGTCAACACACATTCATCTTCTTCTCGTCTTCGAAGAAGAGCAGCAAAAAAATGAGTATGCGATCGTCATATTTGCTTCCCCCAACATCGGCAAAGATCATGGCAGGGTCCATTCGAGATATGCGATCGAGGGGAAAACCAATGCTTGAGAAAGGACCCTAGAGAAATGCGACTCCAGTCAGTTTCGCTTTCTGAATTATCTTTGCACGCGCTTTTAGCGACATCAGTCTTTCCTCAAACTAATTCTGTCATGAGATACTTGTCAAGTTTCCCTAATTTTGCAGGCAAAGAGCTATACTCACCATATCAAATGTTTTTTTTTTTTTTGGTTTATTAAGAATGTGTTTCTAACTCTGCCTAGTGGTCAAAAGGCAGCAACTACTCACATAGGCATAGTGAGATTACCTTGTAACCACATTCTCCATCAAGTTCTTTATGTCCCATGCTTTTCTTTTGGTTTGATCTCAATCATCAAATTAACAAAAAAACTCTTCCTATCACATGTGTACTTACCTTCAAATCATTCTTATGTGAAATCCAGGACCTGCTTATCAAGAGGAGGATTGGCTTGGTCCATCAAATTAGAGAATTTTACCGAATGTCTCAATGCTCACATTCCGTTCTCGTCCTTGATGCCAGAGGGAAGTCACCCTCCATTGCAACATCCTACAATCACTCACAACAAAATATGGACCTGTGACATTCAGTGCTAGGACACCCATCTCTATTAAGACAAAGTGCTATCCATAAAAGTTATGTAGTTGAAAAAGTTGTAGTAGTTCATTGCGAAACTTGTCACTTTTTCTTTGTTCTAAAACATAACCAACTCTAAATAGGATATTTGCCTTTTTCTTTGTTCGGAAACATACATCAATGTGGAGATGCCAGCATTGAAAGTGAATTGGTTGAAGGCAAATAGTAAGATTATCAATACTTTTTTTGTGTGTGTGTATAATAACATAGACCCAATTAGAGCCATATGTGCCCGACCAGTGAACCTCTCATTCTAATCCAGTGCTCTCCGAACAAATGGATTGATCCAAATTGGGCCCAATCCAAACCCAAATTATTAAGAATGCATATGAGTCCATCTAGATCCAACCCAAAACCCTATGGGCCACGATAATTGGACCCAATTACTCAAATGAATCGACCTATCATCATCCCTAAACATGTTTTTTATTTTGCTTTATATAGGAACTCGTAATCATAAATTACCATTCAATACGTACATCATAAAAGAATGCGCCCATCGAATTTTATTATTTAGACCATGAATTAACCGGAGTTTGAGGTATGTTACTATACCCCTGATCTCCAATAAGCGAACCCCCAGACCCCAATTCTCTAACCCAAACCATAACATTCATTTAATATCAAAATAAAAATCCCCCCCCCCCCCCAAAAAAAAAAAAGTAAAACAGAACAACGATATATAGATCACATACATATATCCAAATACCAACACAGCTAAGCTAGCTTTTAGCCAACTTTCCTAACCAACCTAGCCTCGAACCCGCCTCCATCCCGCTTCACAACAACATACGGCATATGCGTCCCGCAAACCCTATCCCAGATCGAGAAAAACGCCTGCGAATAGTTATACTTGCTCCCTTGCAGCTGGTGGTGCACGTCGTGGTACGCCGCGTTGTTGTAGAAAACCCTAGGCACCAAGTTCCACGGCAGCAGCATCCCGCAGTGGTCGTCCACGGTCTTGACGACGTGGAAGCTGAAGAAGAACACCGCCGTCCGTGGCGTCATCCCGGACAGGACGAACGCGACGCCGCTGCCCACGGTGTCGAGCACCGCCTCCACGGGGTGGTTGTAGAGCGTCCCGACGGCGTAGGGCACCACCAGGCGGTGGTGCTGGGAGTGGACCTTACGGTAGAGGAACTTGTTCTGGTGCATGTAGCGGTGGACGAAGTACTGCCATGCGTCGACGACGAGCATGGCGAGGATGGTCTGAGCGAGCTGGCGTGGGATGGATGGTTGTTGTTGTTGTTGGACTGGGGTTGTGGTTGTGGATGAGGTTAACTGAAGGGGAAGAAAAAAAAAAAGCAGAGTTAAAAGAGGTATTAGAGTATGAGTAGTACGAGTACCGTTTGTTATAGGGTCGTATTTCGTATTAGTCTGGATTTCCGTGTTAGAATCATGGAAGTTAGGTATTAGAGTATTAGCAGTATGAATATCATTATGGTATGGTATGGTAGTATGGTACTGTATCTGTAATTTTTAGTAAATGGGATATGATTTATATAATTGATCCTCTCACAATAACTCGAGTTATCGGAAGCAATTAGTTGTTGTTGACATGGTACCAGAGTCTTCTATGGTCGAGATGTCTTCTGTTGGAATCCCTGTGAATATGTGACACCTATTGGTAGTAAATCGCATGGTGCAGTCTAATTCCTGTGCACAGTACTTCAAGCTCCCGTATAAGTAGGATGTTCGTTTGAGAAACGTGTTACCATGTGGCGTGTAATATCTATCATTGAATCTCTCCCAACAACTCGAGTTATTAGGATCAAGCGGATCAGTATTATTTATGACTTAAGAGAAGAGACGAAATATAGTCGTAAACGTGATACTTATGATTTTTAAGTCACTAAAAAAAATATGTTCGTTGAAGTAAACTGATCGAGTGTGCCAAAACTTACCAAGAAGAATGAAAAGCCTATTGTTGCCTGGAGTAGCTGCTGTACCAAAACACCCTTCACCACACAATGAAACGGCACCAAGTTCTTCTCGTCTTCTTCCTTCCTCGAGTGCAGCCTGTACTCGTCCAACGGCGGCAGCACGAGCTGGTAAAAGCCAGCATAGACCCAATAAACCACCATTGGAGCAATGATTCCCATTGCTTCGTCGCTCACATATCCCTCCCAAAACACCATTTTTGCTTATATTCAGAGAGAAAGAGAAAAGATGAAGTCCAATATTGTCAACATAGGGAGGAAATATGACTGTATAAAAGGAGAATGGTGGCTGAGAGATGGAGACACGGTCAAGACATATCAATGTATAAGAAAATCAAACTATAACAATTATGCAAAGGAAAAGGTCCAGATTGAGGACGAAAAAAGGGATAACGGCCGCCGTTTCATGGATCATATTGAGACGTGGAAGTTAAGCCATGCAGAGACATTTTTGTTCTTCTCTCATCTTCGAAGAAGACAAACGAAAAATTGGGCAGACTGATCAGACTGGCCAAGTCCAATCCCCCCAAAATCCCAATCTTGCTTGCCCTTGTCAAACAATCAAAATCCAAACGGAAACGACGACCGTGAGATTTTAATTACTTTGGTATCTTTGAATGTCAGGACTAGTTAAAAAAAAAAAAAAACAAAATTGTGGTCTTCTAAAGTTCAATTATAATCAACTTACCTTCTGACAATCACCCATACGTCATATGTGTAGGCTTAGTGTACAAACCCTAGCCATGCAGCATGTACGTTCACAACAATTACGTTATAGTACTTATATTTTATATTTTCAACACCCTTCCTTAAATTAATGTTGGGCGTGTGCAACATCAGTTTGGATGATAGGTTACCAATGTCGACTAGACGTCATTGGCTTGATTAGTATATCAGTTGTCCGATCCTTGTGAAGAACGGGTTGATCCCAGTCAATCCAAACAGAAAGGATCGTGAGATTTTAACTTGGTATCTTTGAATGTCGGGACTAGTTCTTTTAGGGTTTTTGGCCCTTTCCTTCTGGGCTGGTTTGTGTGTTGGGTTGTAACTCTATTGTTTTTCTTTGTTGAACCTTCATTGGACTTGCACTTTATTTGTAACCTTCCATTAGTTTCTTATATTAATGATATGAATGAAATAAAAATTAATAATACTTTATCATTTCAGTTCAAATGATTGATAACTTACTTAAACCTTAATAAAAACAAAATCATCTGAAAGTTCAAGAAATCATAACTCAATAACTCGTACAAAGTTCTTGAGCTGTTAATTTTTTATATATAGACGATTGAATTTATAGATGATGTAATTTTCCCATTTAATATGGATTGCCTAGACGCTGACACTTAGGTGTCGACGTGTTCTAGAAACCTAATTCTTCAGGAACTCATAGACGAGACATATGTTTCGATGTTGTCTACCTTCTATGCATGCGTAGTTTTAAGCGGATGGACGAACGTTGACACTTAGGTGTCACAATTGGGAAAATGTATAAACGGATAAATTTACAGTGTTTTAAAGCATTGGTGTTTTTTTTTTGTCTTTGTAATACATAATAAAGTTGTACATTTAACGTTATGGTACAACTTCAGGTTGTTTCTATACTCTTTAATTTATACAAATATCTTCATGGTACAACCCGAACTCGTACTTTTGACGTGTTTTGGTACAATTTTAATTTGTATCTCGAAGCACCAATGTTTTAAGGCATACCCGAGGTGCTCAAAATGCTAATAATTAAAAGATTTGGAAAGAACAAGTGGGATTGCAACTCTTCTTCTTCTTCTAAACTTTTGTGACCTTTTGCAAGATGCAGTCAGTTTCGGTGTTCTCGCCGGCCTGCTGCGACTGGGCGCTGGGCATCTCGCCGCCGGCTGTGAATAGCTCCGATCACATCGGGACGTACGTATATCCGTATAGGAAGAACAAGTGAACAACAACAAAGTATGCTGCCGACTACGGAGGCTTTGAAACATTCCATTATTTTTTTTTTTTTAAATAATCGATTCCATAATAATATTGAAAGACTCACCGTCAAATGCTTTCAACTGGAAACAAACAGATTCCTCGTTGGAGACTGTGAGAGAGCTAAATGCGGACCGGAGATTCCCAACAGATTCCACTGGAAACGGTGGCAGAGCTAAGGACGGTGATTCCCAGATAGAATAACGGATGAGTGGATGACATCTGCAATATATGAGTGATCAGATTGATATACTCCTTAATATACAACACTTCGGAGTTCGGACGCTCCATAGGTTTCGTTTAGATGGAGTATTTAGTATTTGTATGAGTTATTTGGGTTCAAAAAATAACTCACAATGAGTTATTTGGACGCAAATAACTCGTTTGACAGCGTTTTAGTGAAATGAGTTATTTGGACAGTGAGTTATTTACAAATAACTCAAAACGAGTTATTTGAAATAACTTATACCAATGTGTTATTTCGAAATAACTCGTTTTATCACTCTGCTTTTATCAAATACCACATGTCAAATACTACATTTGCATGGTTCAGCAAAACGAGTTACTTTATTTCAGTTATCACTGAAATAACACTAAAATACCACATGAACAATAAATGAGTTATTTAACTCTACAAATATCACATTGAAAATTAACTCATCCAAAACGATCCAAAACGACCCCTAAGATAATAAATTAAACCAAGTTTAGAGTAGACTAAGGAAACTAGGAGGGAAATTAATGTAAAGAACCCAATGCCTTAGCCCATCAAAGGCCCAACCGGAGACTAGAGGTCAAATAGTCCAATCCCTGAATAAAAGCCCAATGGCAAACTCGAATTGATGAAGGAAAACAATGTGAATATGTGTGGGCTTTGTTACAGCCGACCAGGAGTTTAAATCTAAACAGTGGACGAGACGTTTTCTTTCAAACATTATTATGTGTTGGCTTGTAATCTTTCCTTTTCTTGTTTCATCTGTTTCCTCTGTTTTTGGGTTGGTCTTTTAATTGTGTGAGCTCTTTATCTCTTAGGCTGGGTTTGCCCTTTGGTCCAAACCTCCACCACTTTTCTGTTTTCTTACACAATGACACTTTGCTTAGGGATAGGTGTAAAGGATAGGCGTAGCAAATTACAGGGTTAATACAGTTTTCAATACAATTGCAGTTGTTTGGATAATTTGTAACCGTGAGTTAGAATAGGGATGCAAATTTATAATTTCGGCTAGTCTTTCAAATTGGGTTGCAAGGAAAGGAAAAGAGGAAAGGAAGAGAAGTGGGGAGGGAAGAATTATGAATTTTTAATTTTTTATAATTATAAAATAGTTAATATTGTCAATTTCTTTTCTTATAGTTATCATTAATGTAGATATTGTTCGGGGTTGGCCGTTTGACTCCGGTCAACAAGTTTTTTAGAGATGTCGGTTGACTCCGGCCAAGAAGTGTTTGTGGAAAAGATAAAGAGGAAATGTTCGATTGACTCGGTTTACTTGATTAAATAGTTAAAACTTGAAAATTCGAACGAGAACCATGTAAAATTAGACTAAGTTTGACTATATCAATTTAAAGTTAAATTAGACACGAGAACCATGTAGGACCAGTTACGAGTTGGGCTTCGAGCTTCGATGTCACTCGACCAAGGATTTTTACAGTTGTTCAAATTAATGATTATTCGAACAATATTATATAATAAATATTTTTTGAAAGTATATTAATGAATATTTATTAATATAATATAATAAACTTTATATTATTATTTTGTCATAATATTTTATAAATTTGATATATCTATTTTATTAATATCATTACTTACTTTTCACTCTATTTGCACCTCCTACTTTTTCATCCAAACAACAAGTTACCCTTCCAGTTACACCCCACCAATTCCCCCCCCCCCTCCAATTTACCACTCAAGTTGCACTCTCTCAAATTGCACCACTCTTGTTGCCAAACATAGTGTTAGTAAAATCAAGTTTTCATAGATAAAAATACTTACATCTTTAGCAACCCATATTAATATTAGGAAACCGAAGGTATTTTCTTGCACGTGAGATCCAGGCGAAGCAGAGCAAAGATGAACCAGGGCGATTAGAGAGTGGAGCACGTGGCAACTACATGGCGGTTTCAAGACAACTACAGGGATGTTTGAGATAAGAAGACGAGAAGACAAAAGAGAGAGGGGAAAAAAAAATCAAACACCCTCGTTGTAACATTTCTCGAAGATATGTAAATCGTAGTAACGATATAGGTTATTAACCCTAACGATATTCCGTATTATATCCTTTCAATCAACACCGCGAAGTTTCCAAGACAGATCACCACTAGGCCAAACTCTCGTTCACCACGAATGCCTTATAACTCCAATCGGCTACAATCGGCATCGGGACGTATAGGAGCAATAACATTGTATGCTGCCGAGGCTTTTGAAAGGGTGAATCGGCTCCAATCGGCATCGGGACCTATAGGAGCAATAACGATGTATGCTGCCGCGAGGGTTTGAAAGATTCCATAAAATTTGTACATACATAATCGATTCCATTACAATATTGAAAGACTCAAAATCACGTGCTTCCAACTACGTACTAAAGCCAGAATTTAAAACTGGTCATTTGATTGATTGGCGGCCAAAACAGATCCCACTGGGGTGGTAATCAAATTAAACGGTGATTCCAAAGATAGAATAACGGATGTCGATTTTGATCTGACCCATTTATTCGACCTGTTTTGGACGGGTAGGGTGGGGCGGCAGGCATGTATACTCTTCGTTGACTTGACCTGTCTTGATCAATCTCATTCTTGACCCATCTTTGCCTTATTTGCATGTAATTTTATCAGAATTATTTACAATTTTACTTCTTTTACCACATATTTTAGCTACAATTAAGTTGTAAATATATGAGAACCTCAAATTTCAAATTATTTAACTACATTTATCATATTGTACTTTGTTTCTTGGGGTTTTATTAATGAAAAAAATTGAATATTTGTTTATAAAAAAAAGAATATTTACTCATATTTTCCTTCTAAACTAAATACCCATTGGGTCGACCTGCTCCTACACGTCCCCTGTGATAAATTACCCGACCTAAACCCGACTTGCCAAGGAACGGATATGGGTATCGTGATACCCGCCCCGCACCCACCCTATTGCCATCCTTGAATCCGAAATATATATAGTCTCCACATTACACGGAGACACGGGTATGATTGCATTCATATTAATTAGATGTACATTGTTATATTTCAACAAATTAGAATTTTCGGTTAGTATGGTTAGATTAGACGAACTCTATATCCGGGTGAAACCCAGTCCCTAATTCTCTAACTCAAATGAATTACCGGCCGGTTACCCCTGTTCTTTTCTTTAAGCAGCGGCCAATATTATTCCATCCTCAGGCTAGATTTAAAAGGAAACTAGCTGTTAATTTCTTCTCGTACGTACTATGTTGTTGGAGTTGGTTCCAGGCTCTAAGCTATCTAGTGATGTTTTTGTTTCTTTCGTTTTTTCTTCTTAGAAATGTACGCACTTTATACAGTATATATAGGAGATCGAGCTGGTTCTGTAGCTAGTCATCAGTACTCCCTCGATCAACATATAGAACAACAATGGCGTTGTGGGAGTTAGGTTATGTGAGCGACGAGACAATGGCGATCTTTGGTCCCGTTGCAGTTTACTGGTTATATGCTGGCTTCTACCAAATCGTTCTGTCTTCTTCGAATCTCCTGGACGAGTACCGTTTGCACACGAGGGAGGAATCCGCAAAGAAGAACTTGGTGCCATTGCCAAGAGTGATCAAGGGTGTTCTAGCTCTGCAGCTCTCTCAAATAGCGATTTCGTACCTCTATTACTTCGGGGTCGGTAAACATATTTCATTTCATTCAGATTTCTGGTTTTGTCATTCGGCTAGGGCTGAAAATTATCCTGACCTGTCCCTGTCCCTGACCCTGACTGACCCGCTCTCTAAAGGGTAAAGGTGTATAACAGACCCGTCCCGGTTTCCTTTCTTGACCTTGTCTGACCCTTTAGGGTCGGGCCGGGTCGGAGAGGGCCGGGTTAATGGGTCGACCTTTATCAAAATACTTATTTTGCACAAATTACGTTTTGGTACCCATAATTATTTTTTCTTACAATTTAGTACCTAAAATTTAATTTTTTTACAAATAATTCCTTAAATTTTGACAGTAAAACTACTACCCAATTTTTTTTTACAATTTAGTACCTAAACTTTTACAAATAAACCCTACGTGTTCGCATGTATAATTTCATGCACTAGTTGTTGCTAAGGGTCACATGGTCAAAAAGTGACCCGACCCTAAGCTGACTCGACCTTATCAGACTCTTACAGGGTCAAAAGATGACCCGACCCTAAACTGACCCTGTCGATAAACTGACACAGTCCGACCCGCTCAGGATCGCGGGACGGATCAGACGGGGGGCAATGAGTTTTTTAGGGCCAAGCTTACACCCCCCTACATTCGGCTATCAGAAACTTTTTGTTTGCGTCACGCTTTATGAGAGTTTTCTTTCGAACGATCGAAACTCAAAACATCGAAATAAACATTTTTTTTTTTTACAGTTAAGAACGGAAGGAGGATCTGCATCGAAGATCATCGTCCAACCGCCCTCCATTCCCATCCAGACCTTGCAGATCCTGATAGCGATGTTCGTAATGGACACGTGGCAGTACTTCGGCCATCGATACATGCACCACAACAAGTTCTTGTTCCGCCATGTCCATCACCAGCACCACATCTTCGTCGTGCCTCACGCCATTGGAGCGCTCTACAACCACCCAATCGAGTCACTCTTGCTCGACACACTAGGAGGCGTTGTCACCTTGTCGATCTCTCGAATGACTCCGAGAGCCGAGGCCATTTTCCTCTGCTTCGCCATGTTGAAAGCCGTGGATGATCACTGTGGGATTTGGTTCCCTAGATGCAATCCGATCCAGAGGTTGTTTACCAACAGTTGTGCTTACCATGATGTTCACCATCAAGTGCGCGGTGGGAGGTACAATTTTTCTCAGCCGTTTTTCCCCTTCTGGGACAAGGTTTTGGGGACTCATATGGCTCATGTTGTTTTGAGGCGTCCAGAAGGAGGATACGAGGTGAAGATGGTTAAAGACTTAGCCAACTACAGCTAGTCGATCGTGTTTGCTTCGTTGGATTACAAGTTTGTTTGATCGTAAAGTTTTTATAATCACATGAAAATTGGTCTTCCTATGTAAGGGGAGTGTAACATGGGATAAATAATAATGGAGCAAGTGTTTGGAACATGGTTACTCACGGGGTGGTTTTATGTGGATTTGGGTGGGTTTAGAACCACCCACTACGTGGCGCGGGGGACGGAGAAAACGACCCGCACCAATCCAAACATTACCTGTGGGCGAGTTGGGTTGGGTAGATTCGTTGGTTTACAACATATAAACCATATGATTACATAAATTAGGTGAATCGTTTATTTTACAATATTTGTATTGGTAATTGTACACAAATTATAAAATATTCAACTGATAAACATGGTCTAGGCCTGATAATAATCGAGGTTCAAGAAGGCCCTAGGAACAAGTCAAACGTTTTGGTCTTGCCTAAACCTATAGTCACAAATTACAATTTCAAATTGACGGAAGGAATGAAGGACGAATCAATGGTAGTTCGAGAAGGTGTCATTTTGGGGAAGACAAACTATCTTTTCTTCTGTCATTTATCTACTAGTGACACTTAAGTGTATCTCCAATTGCCTAAGCACGCCTCGCAAAACAACCTTTTATCGAAACTGAGAGGAATTTTAGAGGGCTTCATTTTCGGTAAAGCTATATGTTAGAACTTTGATGTTTTTAGGTTAAAAAGTTGGGTGGTTCGTGGGTCCATCACAATCCATCCGCACCGCTAAGAATCACCCACCTATTTTACATGTAACCGACCTTCTAATCAAAACGGGTTGAAGTTTGCACAGGTCTGAAGACAAGAATACCATGTGCTTCACAAATGGGGGTCACCGGGAATCGAACACAAGACCTCTCGGTCACAGAAGGCTCTGATACCATGTCAAGAACCAGTTGATCCCAATAACTCGAGTTGTTGGGAGAAGTTCAATCGTTGATCATATACCACAACACTAACAGTAAACACCTCTCAACCGTCCAGTCAAACCCATAGTCAAACTCAAACCCTTGCCTCACAAACAAGTCCCTAAACTTCCCGTTCAAGTACTCATAATCCGGCTCATCCACAAACCGCAGCTCACGGCGGCAGTAACGGAAATACGCCACAAATTCCGACGGCAAAACCTTTACAAAGCGACTCTCCCGATATAGAAGCCTTCATCTCGCCCATCTTCTCGTATCGCCAATCCGTCTTCCCATTTCTCGTCAAATCCTGCCACGTAGGAAATACACCAACACGTAACCAAGCGACTCCAAATCATCCCTCCTGCTTTGCTCGAATCCACGGTGGACACTCACGCTAGCGTACATCGCCGTCCCCGCAAACCCTACCTTGTCTTCCACGTAACGGAAGTGCCTCCTGTGATCCCTTAGGTCCCTGTACCTATTCGCGAGCCCATAATCGATCAAGTAAACCCTGCCGGCCCACCGGCCCAGGCCCATCACGAAGTTCTCGGGCTTTAAGTCGCGGTGGAGGAAGCCCTTCGAGTGCACGAATTGGACCCCGTCGATGAGCTGAAGGGCCAGCATTAGGGTTGTTTTCAGGGCGAACCTCTTGTGGCAATGGGTCAAGAGGTCCCCAGGCTCGGGCCGAGGAGCTCGACGACCATTACGTTGTAGTAGCGGTCGTTGGACTCCACGGTTTCGAACCGCTTCAGCTGGGGGACCCCCTCTCCCGCCCTGGAGGAGGGTGTACAGGCTGGACTTGCGGACGAGCTGCGGCGGTGGAGATTGACTGGTGTACGTAGACTCGATCTTGACGGCGACTTATCCTCCGGTTTCGAGGTTGTTGCCTTGGTAGAGCTCGCTGAACGAGCCGCTGCCGATTTTCGTTCCGAGCTTGAATTTGTCGACGACGACATGGTCAACGTCCGGGGAGTTGTCCATCGTTTGTGGATAAACCGTGAGCGACAAGAATTTAGAAGGATTGACGTGGGAAGGAGTTTTAGGGTTGAGAGGATCTTAAAGGGCTCGATAACTTATTTCCAAACTCATATCCGTCGAGGATAAGGAGAGAAACTAATGTAAAAACCCAAAAGCTGAGCCCATCGAAGGCCCAACCAGAGACTAGAGATCAAAAGCCCAATCCCAGAATAAAAAGCCTAGTGGGAACTGGGAGGAACCTACTGGCTACTACAACAATGCTGACCAGAAAACGAAATGTGTACAGAGAAAGAGGTGGCAAACTCGATTCGGTAAAGGATCGTTGAAGGAAAACAATGAGATACAGATACTGGACAATCCGGCTGTGGTGCAGACCGAGAGTTGTAAACAGCAGGCAAGGCGTTTTCTTTCGTGCATTGCGTATTAGATCAATTGGTTTCAATAATTCCGATGAATTATTTAACGTGAACAAAATTCTCAGGTAGAGGCGCTTGAGCTGGAGTGTCCGAAAATGGTGAAGTGAATCATCCATGCCCCGACTGGTAGATCTCAAGAGTCTCTGTGAATTGGTGAACTCTCATGTGTGTCCTTCGACTCCTGACGACAGGGGCGCAGCTAGGAGGGTCATCGGGAATCGGGAGTCCCGATTCGGGACCCTGGCCTCGATCACCCCGAGAACTTTTTGAAATATTTATAAATCCTCCCCACGATCATTTTGAGACGTATGCATAAATTCTATAATTTTATGGATCATGAACTAAAAATTTAGTATATATAGCTTAAAAATGAGAGATAAATACACAGAATGGTTGATAGTCTGCTGGAATTTTTTTTGACCAATTAGTCAATTTAGTCCTATAATTTGAATATTTTTATTTACAAATCATGCAATTCCAGATAAAAACCGTGCCCTTGCTTTCGATGAGTTCTATGACAGTGTGACTGATCATTTTTCTTATGAAACTTACAGTTTTTTTCGTGATATGATGACATGGTGCCTGATTCTTGGCCATGTGCTTGTTTGTTTTCCGTGCTCACTCTCAACTTGCGATTCGGAGAGCTGCGACGGCGAGGTAGCTTATGACAGTGTGATGCATTATTTGAAGACGTCATATTGTTGTCGGAGTCGTTCTTGAGTATTAGATTACCTTTTGCTCCTAAAACAATTCATTTCATCGATAGTACTTCGACGTTAGGTGGACTATATTACCTCGTTTGATTATTCCAATCTTTATAATTCCGTCTTTTTATTGTTTTTTTTATAATCAAAGAAAACTTCGTATCCATTGACAAAATGAATCAAACCAAACTCGTCGGGAATTAATTTAATGTCATCCGATCTTGTTTGGGAATGGGGGAAAATAGAGCTTCGATTTGATTGCTCTAAGTTGGAGCAAAGGGGGAAAAGTTATGCCTTTCTTATCTACAAGAAGGGTCGGCTGACATTTTCGATCAGCGTTCAAGCAAGAGAGGATCAGCCGGAGTTAGCTATAAGAGGCTCGGCCGGCAAAGCAAATCCATTCCCCTCAAACTCCACGAGAAAAGGTCGACAGTTTCCATCGGACACCTGACACAGAGGAATCTGTTAGTCTTTGTATAAAGTTCCTTTATTACGTATCTTTAAACAATTATTGTTATTGGTATCAACTAAATCTTTAAATAGTATAAGAATCAAGGTTGTCAACCTGCGGGTTGACCCGGACCCGGTTGAGCTAGTGGGTCAAGGGTTAATGGGTCACCCATTTTAGTCCGGTTTAGCCCGGAAATATTGAAAGCATCATTATATTGTACTTATCTTGATAAATTATATCAAATCTCATCTAACATATGAGTTATAACATATAATATTACACCAAAATAACATATAACATATAATATTACACCAAAATAACATTTCGTACTTAGATTCAACATATAGTGAAAATTGACACACTTATATAACATTAATATTCAAATGTTCAACTTAGGATTCCAAAGATTGAGTTAGGCGAAAAGAAAAATCGGAAAATAGGCGCATTTCGCATAACAAAGAAAAAAAATGGCACAATTTGACCTCCAACCCGGTACCTTATAGCGGTTGACCCGGCGGGTGCATGCGGCCCGTTTTTCTCACCGGGTCAGGATCAAAGTGGGTCAACCCGCGGGTCGACCCGCGAGTTGACAACCTTGATAAGAATCTTCTACGATGAAGAAGTTTTATTGTTACTGTATTATATATATCGACAAGGAAAATAACTAGGGCAGAAATCGAAAGGAAAGTGCAGATAAATAAGTGCAAAGAAACTAAGAGTAGTATTTGGGGTTTTCAACTTGTCTTCTTCTCATTCATAAACCATCTATTTGGGCTTGGGCTTCCTCGTCGATCGTCTTGGCATGCCTACGTCGACGTGGTTTCTTAGTCTCGTAACATTTATGTTCTATTTTTGTTGACGATCTGATCATTTACGAATTGGACAAACTTCAAACCCATATGAGTAGCGTGAGTTTGATGGTCATGTTAGTATGTCGTGTAAAATTCAATATTTAAATCTCTCCCCTCCAATTATTCAGATCAAACGAATTCTTGGCAACCATTATTTATCTTTTTTTCCCCTTCATTTTGATACAATACAAAGTTACATATCAACGAGACAACCTGTGAAATTATTTCGTCTGTAATTCTTTGTTATTAGTGAGCAGAGAGCGTTTCCAAGATAACTGGTCAAGAAACTATAAAAATTAAGTGCACAAATATGTCAAAATTTTCAAGTCATCATATTTAAAGAAACATTGTATGAAATTGACCAATGTTAATTATATTTCAGCCCATCCTTTGCAGTTGGGGTTGTATGTTTTTTATGTTTTAATGGTTAGTACATGGGTTACAATTTATAATTGACATTCTATTGATAACACGGAATCAACTAATCATTGAGGTTACATCAAAGCATGACAATAAATAATAAAGAATGAGAAAATTACGTGTTGATTTGATCGCTTCCCAAACCTTCATCATCCATGAAAGCATGAGGCATTAACCAAAAAAACAAACACAATATTAATTATTTTTTGGCAACTAATATCAATTCCCTCGACAAGAAGTCTCATCAATTTCGCTCTCCATTCGTGCCAGTGAAGACGCAGCCAGCAGTTTGGTGTTTTCACGTAGCAAACACCCAAATTTAATGTACCAATCAAGTTTGGTACCATGAATAGGTGAGGTCTTGTTTCTAGAATTGAAACTTGGTCTAAATTTTTTTTAAATACAACGAAATGAAAATGGTTATGACATCGCCTTTTTAAACGGTAATCTGAAATATAGAATTATCTAATAACTTTTTCAAAATTTTATTCTACTAGAAATCGTTTCCAATTATCGTCGTCGTTAATTCATTAACGACTTCTTGTATCATTCTATAATACAAATAGGGCTAACGATGAATACGCATTGTTCGTATATACATGAGAATAATTGACCAATGACTGACACTTGTATTAATTAACACATTTAAACACATCATCGTAACCATAATCAATTAATTATACCCCACAAGTTCATCATATAAAATAGACATGGATCAACTAACAATTCTATGGTCCATTAGCCGGCCTTGATACCAATCCAAGTCAATATCAAACAAACAAAAAAAAAAACCATGAAAAAGATAAAAGCAAACTTGATTGACTTTGGCGGCTATTCCCGATCTATATATATAAGCCTTCCACTTAGGCAATGCATATTGAGGCTTACAAGAACAATGGTGTTTTGGGAAGGTTATGTGAGTGATGAGACAATGGGAACCTTTGCTCCCATTGTAGTTTACTGGCTCTATGCTGGCTTCTTTCAGGCAATGCTGGCTTCTGGTTTTCTGGACAAGCATCGGCTGCATACAAGGGAAGAAGGAGAGAAGAAGAACTTGGTGCCATTGTCAAGTGTGATCAAGGGTGTTCTGCTTCTTCAGATTCTGCAGATAGCAACCGCGCATTTCTACTTCTCGGTTAGTCGTTATAACCTATATATATGATGATCGTATTGACGCTGCACATGAAGTGGCACGTAAAGTCCTGTTGTTTTCTTGTTTAAAGTTAGAGTCCTTTTTTTATTTTGTTGGGTGGCTTCAACAGTGGGAAGAGTTCTAAATTGCTAGTGTCTCTCTAATTTGAGGGTTAACCCATGACTCAACCGTATCCACACATCACGTACTCATTCAACCCAAACAAAACTTTTTTTTAATAGATAGCAGGTCATAATGTTTCAACCCTGACTTTTTTTTTTCGTTGAATCAACGCGTATTTTCTATGTCACATTTAATGTACGAGTAGTGCAAATTGTGTCTATTTGCAAATAAAGAAGGGTTGAGTAGGCATATGCCTAGAACACATTTTTTTGGTTATATGTATAATATGTCCTTTTATTATGACGTTTTATCAAACATGCCACTGTACTTTGGAAAATTTATCAAATATGCCCTTTTGTTAAAATTTCCATCCAAAAACCGTTAACCAAAACCGAACTTTGGTTTGGGCGACCCAAATATCTAAAATATCCATAATAATTTCACTTCAGAGTTTTTTTTTTGTTCTTTTGCATAGCCAAATAATTCTAATAATTTCACTTAGATGACGAGACCTAGAGAAATAAAACAAGGGTCAAAACTGACATCTCCCCTCCCATTTATCGATGTCGGGTCGTCTAAATCTCGGTTCAACCACGATTCACGATTTTTTTCAATGGAAATTTCAACCGAATGGCATTTTGATAATTTTTTTCCAAAATTACAAGGGCATGTTTGGTGTAAAAAAAAAAAATAGTAGAGAAGCATGTTCGATAAAACGTCATAGTAGAGGAGCATATTATACCTATAACCCCATTTTATTTCAACAATATCGAGTCGAAGTTTAATTATATTTGACATGAAATATATACTTGTTGCAGTTAACATCGACTGGAGTTGCAGCAGAGATGACAATCCAGCCCTCCATTCCAATACAAATCCTGCAGATAATCTTAGCCATGTTCGTGATGGACGCATGGCAGTACTTCGGCCATCGTTACATGCACCACAACAAGTTCTTATACCGCCACGTACATTCCCAACACCACAGGCTGGTCGTGCCGCAGGCTGTCGGAGCAATGTACAATCACCCGCTCGAGGCTCTGTTGCTCGACATGGGAGGAGGTGTTGTCTCTCTGTTGATCTCTGGAATGACTCCGAGAACAGAGGTTATCTTCCTCTGCCTGGCTTCGATAAAAGGCGTGGATGATCATTGCGGAGTTTGGTTCCCAAATGGCGCCGGGGGAAATAATGTTGTTCTCCACTTGTTGGTTGCAAATCGTTCTGCCTATCACGACGTTCATCATCAATCTCGTGGCGGAAAGTACAACTTTTCGCAACCGTTTTTTTCGTTTTGGGACAGGCTCATGGGGACTCATATGCCCTGTGTTGTGTTGAAGCGCCCGGGAGGAGGCTATGAAGCGAAGATGGTGATGAAAGACTAGTAATTGTGAGATTGTTGCATGAATAATTTGTTATGGTTTGCAAGAATATATGAGTTCAAATAAATACGTGTATTTCCAAGGGCATACTATGTTGTGAGCTGAATATCTTTGGGCTTTATTATGCGAAACATCATAAACAAAACCAAGGGCTCAAGCACTTTGCCCTATATAAACTCTCAAAAGAAAATTGGGTTGGACCAAGTCGTTGAGGCTAATGTTTAAGAACATTCTTAAAGTCCACCACAATTATTAGATTAATCTAATAGGTAGGATTAGAAAACCTTAAAAAGGCTAATTTAGGAATAAAATACATGAAATAAAAAAAGGTAACTACCATGCATGTACCGTATATGTTTGATGGTTTGGAGGATGCACATACACTACAGGAAAACATACTTTTTAAAGGGTAGTTTGGAGAACATGATTTATGCTGTGGATTTACTCAATCTATAAATTTTTGTAGGAAGTTACGTTTTTTTTGTTGCTTTTTGTATTGTGGATTTTAGAGGTCGTTTGGAAAACAGGATTTAGGGGTGTGGATTCATTGAATCAGTAGATTTTGTAGAAAGTTATGTTTTTTTTGTTATTTTTTGTATTATGGATTTTAGATTTATAGATTTAAAATCTCTAAAATCTACGGATATCAAATCTCTTATAATCAGAGAAATTCTATATATTGATTCATGAGATTTTTTTCTCCTACTGTTTTCTCATTTTATTTATTTATTTATCATATTAAATATATTTATAAACAAAGTTTTTAATATTTATCGAACCACTCTAATTTTACATTAAGGATAAACATGTTATTTAATATAATATTTTTATTTTTATTGAATGTTTTCAATCACAGTTACCAAACAATAAATATTTTAAAATTGATTTTCGACAATCCAAAGAGTTAGAATTTTTAAATTGTTGACAATCTATAGATTCAAACTCATATTCTCCAAACAACCTCATAACTAATTGTATCACTCTAATCATGAAATTTTTTGAAAATGTATTTTTGTCACCATTTTCCGTGGTTAATTGATTATCACTGTAAAATTCTGATGAATAATGTGCAAAAGTTCTGCTTTCTTTACAAATATTGTTTGTCAATCTTTTGTTTGAAGTAGTTACCACTCTCATTTTTATCAAAATTTTCCAATTGTTTAGGATTCTACTGAATTGGTCCCAACATTTTTTGCGAACTTAAATCTTTTTATATTTTTTTGGCCTAACTTTTCCCTTCCAAAATTCATTTTCCTTTTTTTTTTCATTAAGAAGGTGTTAAAGTTTTCGTTTTTCGGTTTGAGTGACGAGTTTGTTTTCTTCCCTTTTGAAGAAGAAATGATGGTTTGGATACAGGCAAGCTCTATGCGATTGTTTAATCGTAGCGTCTGGATACGTACAAGAATATAACCTTTCAAATCGCATTCGTCAAAAAAATGAATTACGTTGTGGTGTTATCTTATTTACTTTCAGAATAATAAAAAGTTAGATTTGAACTGGAGGTATATTTTCTCTGTTTCTTTCAGCGTTGTGTTCGAGAAAATAACATTAAGGAACGAGAAAACAGAGCGTTGATTTAACCGCCTCCACAGCCCAAATCCTCATCATGCATGAAAAAAAAATAATGCAATTTCCAAAATAAACAAAACAAACCCAATATTAATTCTTTCTGTAGAAATCATATCAATTCCCTCGACGGCTTGACTCGACAAGAATCTCTTCAATTCCTCCTCGGCTAGACGGCTGCCTCAGCGGAATCAGTAGCCATGTTTGGCATTTTTTCATCTTCTTTGAGCGGCAGCTCGCCGGTGACAAATATATGAGCTGCGTATTTAAGAGCTGCGTTCTGGCTTAGTTAGAATAATACATATAAAAAAAATGCGTATTTAAGGGGATAATTGCATGGTTACTGAGATTACAAAAAAAACGTTCAAGTTTGATATTTAAAATATTTAAATTCATTAGTGGTACTACAGTTTACTGAAACTGTTTACGTTTGGTCACTCTCCGTCCAACTCTGTTAACTTTTGCTTACGTGGTGGTGTACTCCAAAAATTGACGGTTAAATGTGTGACGTGGCGGATTGCTGACTCGCGGATTTGACCCGATCCTCCCATAAAATGACCCAATCCTCATGATGAGGGTGGGTTGGCGGGCGGGTGGCGGATAGGATAAATAGTGATCCGCAGGAGGTGGATGGTTCGTGGGCGGATCCGCGGGTCATCCGCAAACCTGATCACCATCACACTTCACAACACTACTGCCGCCTGCTGGCTAGGTCTCGTCTTCGTTCCTTACTTCCCCACCCCAAAACAATCGACACTTTCTTACCGTATCCTGAAAAAATTATTAGTCAATAATCCTCCACCTCAGAAGAAATTTCTCTAGTCAATATCTACATTCCAAGCTACTTTGAGAATTAGAAAGATCCTCCCGATTTACTTCCCCTTACAATTCTACCCTCTTCTTCCTGAATAATTTCTCTGGTTAATAATAATAATAATAATAATAATAATAATAATAATAATAATAATAAAACCAGAAAACAGAGCGTAGATTTGATCGCCTCCAAATCTTCACCGTTCATGAAAACAGAATGCACTATCCAGTCCCACGACAAAGAAGTCTCGCCAACATCGCCCCTCACAGAATCAGTAGCTAAGTTGGGCATGTCTTCCCTTCTTCTTAGCGTCAGTTCGGCTGGCAAATATATATTCTTTGAGCTACGTATTATAAGAGCTGGCTTCTGGCTCAGTTAGTTTATACATACATACATTCACAAAAAAAAAAAAAAAAAAAATGGTGTTTTGGGATGGTTATGTGAGTGACGAGACAATGGGCACCTTTGCTCCCATAGTGGTTTACTGGATCTATGCTGGCTTCTTTCAAGTGATGCTGGCTTCTGGTTTTCTGGACAAGCACCGGCTGCATACAAGGGAAGAAGGAGAAAAGAAGAACTTGGTGCCATTGTCAACTGTGATCAAGGGTGTTCTGCTTCTTCAGATTATGCAGATTGCAACCGCGCATTTGTACTTCTCGGTTAGTTGCATGTACATACATATATATATATAATATAGGGTGCCTTCTATGGTATCCCGGATGAAATCCGAGGTACCGCATATCTTAAGTAGGAAAACGCTATCTAGACCTTGAATTAGCAGGATTTTTGGGCATGATATTATACCCTAACCCTAATGAGTGAACCCTATAGGTCCGAATTATCTAAATCATAAACTATAAACCCTAACATGGTGCATTGAATTTTTTGCCTATATTTGGACGAATAATAACCGTACCGTCGATTATTGTTTCCAATTAAATTGATCTTGGGGTATAAGATTTAGAGCATAATTAAAACCTAGATTTTGATCTTTAAGGGTTCGAGTATAGTATCATGTCCGAAAGATTAGTCAATTCAAATTATGAATAGCGTTTTCTTAAAAAAAAAGAGTTGACTATGCCTAGAACACATTTTGTTTCTTTTCTAATGGATAGAAGTAAGTTAGGGAATCCTATAAAGAAAATATTTAACAATTTAAGTTGTACATCACCACATAAAAAAATTCAAATTCAAGCATTTGCATTTTTTTTTGTATTTTCCCGTCGAAATAGGTTTCTTCGACTCGAAGTTCAGTTATCCTTAGTGATGGCAATGGGACGGGCTGGGGCGGGTACCTCAATTCCCATGCCCGCCCCACGCTACTACGGGTCGGGGCGGGTAAAACCCACACGAATACGGAGCGGGGGCGGGTAATACCCGCCCCATCGCGGGTCAGGTCGGATAATACCCATGAGGCGAGTTGAAATTGTCATCACTAGTTATCCTGACATGTCATATATACATATCTGTTACAGTTAACATCGAGTGGAGTAGTACTTGCACCACAGACGGCGGCGACTATCCAGCCGTCGTCGTCCATTCCGATTCAGATCCTGCAAATCGTCGTAGCGATGTTCGTGATGGACGCGTGGCAGTACTTCGGCCACCGATACATGCACCACAACAAGTTCTTGTACCGCCACGTACATTCCCAACACCACAGGCTGGTTGTGCCTCAGGCTGTTGGAGCCATGTACAACCACCCGCTCGAGGCTCTGTTGCTCGACGTGGGAGGGAGCGTCGCCTCGCTGCTGGTCTCTGGAATGACTCCTGGGGCCGAGGTGGTTTTTCTCTGCCTGGCTTCGATGAAAGGCGTGGATGATCATTGCGGAGTTTGGTTCCCAAATGGCGCCGGGGGCAATAATGTTGTTCTCCACTTGCTAGTTGCAAATCGTTCTGCCTATCACGACGTTCATCATCAATCTCGTGGCGGAAAGTACAACTTTTCGCAACCTTTTTTTTCGTTTTGGGACAGGCTCATGGGGACTCATATGCCCTGTGTTGTGTTGAAGCGCCCGGGAGGAGGCTATGAAGCGAAGATGGCGATGAAAGAGTAGTAATTGTGAGGTTGTGAATGTATTATTGGTTGTGTGTTTGCATGAATAATTTGTTATGGTTTGCAAGGATATTTGAGTTACAAACTTTTTTTATTTATGAAAATGCATGTATTTCCATTAATATGGTTGTTTTTAATGGGTTGTAGTATATAGGTTTGTTTGTTTGTAGTACATGAGGAATTATTATGGTTTATAATATATAACACAAGTATTGGTATGCAAGTATTGACATGGAAAATGCATACTATGTGTCTCAAAGAAAACTGGGTGTGATCAAGTCCTTGAGCCTAATGTTTAAAAACATTCTTTAAGTCCACCACAATCATTAGATTAATCCAATAGGTTGTTTTACCCCCCAAAAAATATAGTAGGCAGGATTAGAAAACCATAAAAGGGTAATTGAGGAATAATAGATATTTAAAAACTAACAAAAATATAAGGGTAAATACAATATATTAGCCACAACTATTATGAAGCGGGGAATTATAGCCACAACAATATATAGAAATTCAAATTATCAGCCAAATGTTAACTATCTGTTAACAATTTCGTTAGTAATACTGACTAAACTTTTATGTTTTAAAGTTATAAATTAAAAGCAGTCCGACGTGGCTGCTGCCGTGGTTGATGACGTGGCCTTCTCCATTAAAAGTTCAATAACAGTAACAGACAATTAGGCATATCTTGACTCGCAACAATAGTTATGGCTAATAATTTGAATTTTCATAGTTGTGTCTATAATTCTCCGTTTCATAATAATTGTGGCTAATATATTGTAATTACCCAAAATATAAAATACAAGAAATAAAAAGGTAACTAACATATACCTAGTTTATCCCTCATGTAATTTTTGCAGAAGCAGGCTCGACCAATTAAGTCCTTGAGCCTAATATGATGTATTTCCATTGATATACATCATAAACAAACCAAGGGCTCAGGCACTTGCCCTATATAAACTCTCAAAGAAAATTGGGTTGGACCAATTAAGTCCTTGAGCCTAATGTTTAAGAACATTCTTAAGTCCATCACAATTATTAGATTAATCTAATAGGTAGGATTAGAAAACCTTAAAAGCGTAGTTGAGGAATAATGGATAATATATAAAATAATGATAATATGGAAATAAAATACATGAAATAAAAAAGGTAACTAACATATACGGTATATTTTTATGATATGGAGGATACACTACAGGAAAATTTATTTTAAGTCACAAGAATTTGTTCACAGTAATTTTTCTCGTACTTAAAAGTATATAAAAAGAAACGAAAGAATTACAAACCGGTACCAGTATTCGATCTCTCCCCCTCCATGCTCGGCATACCGTTTACCGGGTCGGTCGGTAACTGGTTTACCGATTACCGACCGATTGCCATTGAGAAAAGAAACATATGAAATTGCGGGACGTGGTAAATGATGGTTAGTATATTTCTACTATCAGGTATACAATCATTCTACATTATGTTACGTTCATCACCACCATGACAGACTAATAATATATATCTCAGTTTTTCGTTCCAAATGAATTGACATTTTGAAGAGTCACCACCATGACATAGACTAGTAATATATGTCTCAGTTTTTCGTTCCAAATGAATTGACATTTTGAAGAGCAATTAATATGATTGCTCTGTGGAAAAAAAAAAAAATACAGGCCATTAAATTTATTGGAAAAAAGTTAGTTGCCTTCCATAAAGGTAAACCAGAGTTATGTATGATTATGATGTAAGTTCTTAACCGGATCTTAAGTGACAATTCTTAACAACTAGCCATTAAATTCGCGTAATTAATCAGTAATTAATCAATCTACTAGTGCATAGTTGACCGAGAATAGTATTATGTAAGAACCGGTAGGTATGGCATTATAAAGTAGAGCAAAGTCACATTGCCTAACTAACAACCCTAACCACCAAAAAAAAAAAAAAAGACTTCTACAAGAAACCAATCTCCTCCTCCTCTTCTTCAAGCTTCTCCTCGTCGTCTCGACGAGGACGAGCAACGTCAATCGTGGAAACACGACGTGTTTCTGAGCTTCAGGGGTCGAGACACTCGCAACAACTTCACCGCCCACCTCTGGTGCGCCCTGAACCGAAGAGGGATCAAGGCGTACAAAGACGACAACGAGCTGGTGAGAGGAGACTCCATCGAGCCATCGCTGTTCGAGGCCATCGAAGGCTCGAGGTTCTCGATCGTCGTGTTCTCGGAGAACTACGCGTCGTCTCCATGGTGCTTGGACGAGCTTGTGAAGGTGGCCGAGTGCAGGAGGCCGTTGGGGCACACGGTGTACCCGGTCTTCTACGATGCGGATCCGACGGACGAGGACTACCAAGAGAGAGCATTTCGTGGTCTTCCTGGAAATGGTGTTTCTGAGGAAGATCTGAGGGAGAAGGTGAAGATATGGAAGGGAGCTCTTAATGAAGTTGGCGGGATATCTGGATGGGACGCCAGAAACAAGTAAGTCTGGTTTTTGTTTTTGTGTGTGTGTGTTTTTTTTTTCTCCAAATATTAATGTTCATTTTGGTCGGTTGATTGTTGGATGATTAGCCGAACAAAACTTAATTTTGGTTAGATTGTTGGTTAACTCACAAAGCAATTTTTCAACTACTCATTAAGTAAACAGGCTAACATTCATAATAAGTTTCTCGCAAATTCATAAGATAGTATAGCAATATAGACACTTCTCACTTTGTCTCTTGTCGATCTTTGTAGTATTTCCATATAATTTTCATTGCTCCATCAACCAGTTGTGTACAGAAAACTTGCGCATTTTGAAACTTCGATTGTGTGTAGTGCAATTAGAAAATATGATGAATATTCTATAGTATAAAGAAGAAATTAAACAACTGATTGTCTAGTGAAAATATGATGCGGGTCATTCGAGTAACCTGCGATTCACCTACCCACTGCGGTTCAAATTATTTGTGGGTGAATTGATATCAAACCGCAAATTAACCACCCACGTATCTACCTAAATGGAGGAAGGATATTAGCATTGTTGATAACACGTAATTGAAGGGTCAATTAGTAAATGATTTTAATTACTCTCGGGACATGTATCATGTTTGTTAATATTGCATATTTTACGGGCAAAGCATGTCAGACCAAGTAATCATTAGTTAATATAAAACTGCATACTAACCCCATTAATGAATCGGTCAATATAAGTTAGGGGTCAATTGATTAATCTTCAACTTGCTAATTGTCCATTGCTTTAACAGTTGACTTTGCTCCAATATGCCAAGCACTCCAAAAGTCATCATTATTCTTTTTTCCCCAAGAAACTTAAGTCTCACATCAATTGGATATATATATATATATATATATATATATATATATATATATAGTAATTACACGGTTATGGATATGGTGCATAACTTGTATAACAAGATCCGGATTCTTTCTTTTAATTGGGACTCAGCTCTAAGGGTTGTGGATTAAATTCATTTTATTTTTACTAGTTTTCTTAATCGGTTCTTATTTTTTTTTATTTTTAACTTGGGTTTCAAAAAAAAAAATCACAGATGAAACGAGTTCTTTGTGTTCTATAAAATGATATTCATTTTTAATATTTTTTAAGAAAAAAATTTCATACATCTCGTTGCCAACTCCATAACATATGATATCTCCTTCATTTTTAAGTCATTTTTTAAAATATTGCACAGAAGGAACGAGTTCATCATGATCTATTGAATCTACAAATTTCCGAGGAGAAAAAATACACGACAAAAAAGCCACCCCATACCACCCTGGTATATGGGTGGTATCTTATGGTACACAATGTTGAAAGTCGTAAATGACAATTAGTACATTCCTACTATCATATATTCAACCATCTTACAATCTGGTATATTAATACCACCATGGCACGCTTACATACCATATGATATGTTCTTGTTTAATACCAATCAATACCATATGATATAGACTGGTAATAAATGTCTCAAATTATTTGTTAAAAAATATATCAAAATGACTATCATTTTGAAAAGCACAATTAATTTGATTTATTTGTGCAAAAAAAATTAAATTTTGACTTAAAATGAGAGAGAAATTATCTGTTAAAAATTCAAAGGGAGAGATTAGAGGCCTTCCATATGTGACAGCGGGCGCTGATGTGGCGGCTGGTGATTGGATTATGCACTACTACAGACTAGAAAGTTACTCACTTGATTCGCTCCCTTAATTACACAAATATATGGAAACCAGTCAAACAAGAAAATCCAAATCCAAATTACAATAACACTGTGGCACCATAGAGTTAGAGCCTAAAGGCCTAATGGTAGTTGATTAAGAACTTAATCTTGTCAAGAATTTGGTAGGAAAGAAACATATAATCGGTAGCTGATTAAGAACTTAATAGTGTCAAGAATTTGATAGGAAAGAAACATAGAATTGCAAGCGTGAATAAATCATTCTTCAAAGAGTATTTATTTGCTCTCACTACGATCGCAGATAGGATTAGGCAAAACCATTTCGAGGAGTCCATTCAACTACAGTTTAAAGCAGCATTTACAGATTTATGTGTTTGTGATCCAAAGCAGGAAAACAAGAAAAATAAGATAAACGTTGGAGATGAATTCTGGCAGCAACGAACTCTTACTATGAAAACGATAGTTCCTTTCCCAAGGATTACTTCGTTTCACAAAATTCAAATAATTAATTTATTATTCAAAATTATTTAATCACAAAATATTTTCAAAAATTCAAAACTAATTAAGTGCATAGTGCGATTCAATTCAATATGTATTTATTGAATGTCACACCCAATGTACAAAATTCGATAACCACTTAATCATTTAATATGTATTTATTAAATTGCACACCCAATTTAAAAAATCCAATAACCACATAATGGAATGAAGTCTTATAAACAACTTGCACTTTTTTTTTTTCGCCCATGTGGTATTTTCACTCTAGGTGACTAACTCTACCACATCTTACCCTAAATTTACTTTGAATTGGGCATAAATTGGATGTTTGGAGGTTGAGGGCTAGGGATGGGCAACGGAAAACGGGTATTTGGGTATAGGGGTGGCTATACGGTCCGGTTAAATTGGTCCAAATTGATCCGATCCAGTTCGGTCTTTTTTGAAAACATAAGGACCAAAAATTGGATTGGATACAATCTGGTCTTGATCCGGTCTGGTCTTGACCCGGTCCGGTCCCAATTCAATCTTGATTTTATATTGAACTTGTGGGGATTTGAATGGCCTAAGGCCTGAAAGGGTGAGGAGTTGGTTAAGTTTTGTACTAAGTGCAAAGGTTTGTGACCGTTTATGCAAATTACCCTTAAGTTTTGGGTGTTGAGCTCTTTTATCCAGTCTTTATCCAGTTTTCGATCCAGTCCCGAACGGTTTTTTACCTCAAATCTAAGTCCAAAGATTAGATTGGATTGTATACTATCAGGTCCCGGTCCGGTCTCGGTCCGGGTTATACGGTCTGGTTTCGGGTAAAACCAAAAAATCCAAACCAAATAGCCAGCCCTATTTGGGTATACCCATACCCGTCCCGTTTTTTTGAGGTTACGGGTACCCAAATACCCATAATTTTTTTTACGGGATGGGACTTGGGATCAAGAATTGCTACTTTGGTACCCACGGGTTACCCGTTAATACCCGTTTGGATATTACGGGTACTCGTTATACCCATTAGTCCAATGCAAAATTGGTAGCCAGTAATGAAAGTAATATGTATTAAGTGGAGAAAGGAAAAAATGAAATCAGTGGCTACTACTAGCTATAGGAGTTTCATACTTAGATAGGGGAAACTAGTAATCATACTTAAACAGAATATATATGTCTACACTCTAACACTCAATCAAACAGAGTGTTGGCCTCCCAATAGCTACTCCTTATCATCTCGTACTAAATTAGTAACTGTGTAGGAAGATTGTTGATGCACTAGTATCACACCTCTTTGAACCTTTAAAATGTCACGAGAAGAAATTGAAAGAAAAAGAAATAAAATCGTCAAACTCATCTACTTCCAATTGAACGGGTATTTACGGGTAGTACGGGTCCCCATTATCCGTCTCGTACGGGTGATGAGACCAGTTAACCCGTACGGGTTTGGGACATGGGAAGGAGATTGCTATCTAAATGGGATTGGGTACCCGTTTCAAACGGGACGGGTATCCCGTCCCGTCCCGTTGCCCACTCCTATTGAGGGCAGTGTACAAGAACATATATATACTAGGTCAAGAACATAATTAACTAGCTCACCTTAGTTCTAAAAGTGATATATTCTTACAAAAAAAGCAGTGAATTATATGATTGATTACATATTCTTAATGACCTTACTATGTCCATGTATTGTTCTTTAGGGATCAAGCAGAGACAATCACCAAAATTGCTGAACACATATGGGACACACTGAAGCTCACGCCACAAACCATCATCGAAGAAGACTTGGTGGGACTAGACTCACGTGAGAAGGAGGTCAGCAAGCTCATAGACGGAGCTCACCTAGATTCCAATGATGTTCGTATCATTGAAATTTGTGGCACGGGTGGCATCGGCAAAACAAAGCTAGCCAGAGTTGTTTACAACAAACAACAAGCCCGATTTCCAGGGAGATCGTGTTTCCTTCCCAACGTCAGAGAATCCATCGAAAATCACGGGACCAAACACCTCCAAAAACTTCTCCTCTCGCAGATTCTGCCAGAAAAGAACATCAGCGACGAGGAGGAGGAGGGAAAGATTCTGATACAGAATCGCTTGCACGACAAGGCTGTTCTCATCGTTCTGGACGACGTGAGCCACCCCCAACAGCTCGAGGCGTTGGTCGGGAAGAATTGGAACTGGCTCGGTCAAGGAAGTCGACTCATCATAACGAGTAAAATGGAACTGTTGGTAAAGAGTTATGGATATTCGGGCAGTGATGATGATGTGCGCGACGTCGCAGAATCTGCTCCGATCGCGAAAAAGTACACAACAACGTGCAAAGTGTATAATCTCGAGAAACTGAGTGATAATGAAAGCCTGAGGCTGTTCAGTCAGAAGGCCTTCAACCAGAGAGAGCCTAGAGAAGGGTACGAAGAGCTTTCCAACCTTGTTTTGGGGTATTGCCTAGGGCTTCCATTGGCAATTGAAGTTTTGGGTTGTTTCGTCCGTGGGAAGAGCAAAGCCGAGTGGGAAAGTGTAATCACATTGCTGAAGGAAAGAGCAAAGCCTGAGGCTGTTCAGTTTGACCGCGGTGTTTTCGAAGTGATTAAGGTAAGTTTGGGTGGCCTAAGCAAACATGAGAGGAACATGTTTCTAGACATTGCATGTTTCTTTAAGGGGAAGGATGTCAGTGATGCCAAGAGGATACTCGCCAGCTGTGGGTTCAGTGTCGACATTGGATTGAAAATCCTTTCTCAGAAGTCCCTCCTCGTGATTTCAAATGGCAAATTGGAGATGCATGACTTGTTGCAAGAGGTGGGCAGAGAAATGGTGAGGAAGAAATTTCCCAACAATCCGGGGAAGCACAGTCGTCTGTGGAGTCGTGATGATGCTTTTCATGTCTTGGATGAAGCAACTGTAAGTACAACAAACATTTCTCTTTTTTCATGTCATTAAAAGTGGTCAACAACATCCACAAAGTATTGATTATGGTAATCACAAACCGCACAATAATAGTTATACTGACGTTTGGTGTGGGTTGATTGTTGTTATTCACAAAAGTTCATCTTTACATACATAGAGTTATGTCGTCACCAATAAATTTGCGATTCACAACTAGATTATAGTGATATACTAGTATTTGGTTCATGGAGATATAATTCTGTATATCTTACTCAGCATGGGGGTTTTGCCCTTTCGAATTTGGTATTCGACTTTCGTGTTAGAGAGAAGAAAAAGAAAATCTTTTGCTTTACAATATTATTATTATTATTATATAATTCAAAGCACAAACATTTTTCACGGTTCATTAATTAAAAAAAATTAGACTATTTTTTCTTCACTATATTTATATGTGCTGTTTCAGGGGGAGAAAAAGGTAAAGGCTATAGTGTTGGATCTTCCCAACAAAGATGGTGAGCAATTACAGTGCGATAAGAAGGCCTTCTCAAAAATGTCCAAACTGAGGTTGCTCATCGTGCATAATGTGGTGTGTAATCAAGGCCCAAAAGATCTTTCAACTGAGTTGAAATTTCTTGATTGGGATGGCTACCCTTCAAAGTCCTTGCCAACTTCTTTCAGACCAAAAAATCTTGTGGAACTTAGCTTGACCAACAGTAACATCAGGCAACTTGGTTGTGGGAAGAAAAAGGTATCTCAAAACACCATGATTTCATGTACATCTTTACTTCCTAATTCCTATACCATTTTATTCTACAACTTCCATGATCTCATGGATGTCAAAGTGTCTGCCAACTTTGATGATCTTTGTCTCTTCAGGGAATAAGTCTAACAAAACTGAACTGTTGTTCCTCTCAACAGGATTTCAGCAACTTGAAGATCATGAACTTGAGCCACTCCCACAACCTGACCAAAACTCCAGATTTCACTGCCATGCAAAAGCTGGAGAGGCTGATCTTAGAGGACTGCACCAGCCTGAGTGAGATCCATCCATCGATAGGAACTCTTCAAAAGCTCATCCACCTGAATCTCAGTGGCTGCAACAAGATCACCAAGCTCCCAATTGGGATAATGGAATCTCTACAAGAACTTCTGCTAGATGGAACAAACATTCAACAACTCCCTGAATCCATATGCTCCTTCGGCAAACTATCGACGCTGAGCCTCAAAGATTGCAAGAGCCTCCACGGTGTCCCGAAGAACATTGCCAATTTATCAAACCACTTGAAGATTCTTGATATCAGTGGATGCCCCCAGCTTGACAAGGAGCAGATAGAAAACACTTTAAACTGCTTGAAGATTCTTCATTAAAGTCATGCTTGATAAAATTTGGATGGCGTAGTGATCTGTTTGTCGCTTTTTAGTGCAGATCCATCATATTTTAACTGTAAACGTCATTGATGTCATGCTTTATATCTCATGATATTGATCTAGACGTAAAATATGGTATAGCATGTACAATATATTCGCGTATATTTCGTGTACGTGCCTATAATAGGTCGCTTATTTCATAATAAAAGGAAGTACGTGCGTACCAGAAGAACATATGAATTCAAACTTTTCATTAAAATGCATGTATTTCCATTAATATGGTTGTTTTTAATGGGTTGTAGTATATAGCTTGTTTGTTTAATTTGCAGTACATGAGGAATTATTATGGTTTATAATATATCACAATTATTGGCATGTAAGTATTGACATGGAAGGAAAATGCATACTATGCGTGAGTTGAACCTACAAAACAAGGGCACAAACACTTGGCCTACATAAAGTCTCAAAAGAAAACTGGGTGGGATCAAGTCCTTGGGCCTTATGTTTAAAAACATGCATTCTGTAAGTCCACCACAATAATAATTAGGTTAATCTAATAGGTTGGATTAGAAAGCCAAAAAAGGGTAATTAAGGAATAATGGATATTTAAAGATAATAAAATACATGGAATAAAAAGGTAACTCTGTTTGATGGTTTGGAGGGCTCAAGATAGGGTGCATAATGGTTATGCACCCATCAATAACTAAATCTGGACCCTTTATTTAGAAAATTCAGACCTAAGTAAGGAGAATTAAAGATCATTTTTATTTTTTCTAGCTTTCTTAATTGACTCATATCTTTTTCGTTTTAACTCCGATTTTAATTTTTTTTGCACAGATGGAACGAGTTCATCGTGCTCTACAAAATGAGATCAATTTTCAATATTTTTTGAGGAAAAAAAAAATTCTGGCCTCTCGGTACCAACTGCATACCATATGGTATCTTCTTCGTTTTTTATTCGTTTTTAAAAAGTTTGCACAGAAGGGACGAGTTCATCATGATCTATTGGATCTACAAATTTCTGGGTGAACAAATTACAGGACCAAAAAATACCACACAATATCATACAATACCACCCTGGTACGGGGTGATATTGTATGGTATCTTCTTCGTTTTTAATTTGTTTTTGAAAACGTTTGCACAGAAGGGACGAGTTCATCATGATCTATTGGATCTACAAATTTCTGGGTGAACAAATTACAGGTCCAAAAAATACCACACAATACCATACAATACCACCCTGGTACGGGGTGGTATTGTGTGGTATACAATGTTAAAAGTCGTAAATGACAATTAATATACTTATACTATCATGTATTCAACCATCCTACAGTCTTGGTTTGTTCATACCACCATGGTACGTTTTTCAAACCATAGGTATGCTTTTATTTCAATACTAGTCAATACCATATGGTATAAACTGGTAAAAAATGGCTCAATTTTTTTTGTTCGAAAAATATATTAAAGTGGATATCATTTTGAAGAGCACAATTAATCTGATCTAACTGTGCAAAAAAAAATTAAATTTCGACTTAAAATGAGTGAAAAATCGTCCGTCAAAGATTAAAGAGAGGAAAATTAAAGGCTTTCCAGGAGAGAGAGGATGCTGATGTCATGCTGATGTGGACTGGTTACTCATGGTTACTCACCATAAGATTACTGACCTGATCCATTCCCGGTTTGGAGGATACACTAAAAAAACTGACTTTTAGTCACGCGATTTTACAACAATTATTCTCATACTTAGGAATATATGATATATCAAAAGGTACATTAAAAAATTCTCGTAACTAATTGTATCACTCTAATCATGGAAATATATGAATATGTATTTTAGTGGCATTTTCCGTGGTTAACTGATTATCACTGTAAAATTTTGGAGAATAATGATTGAAACAAAAATTTGTCAATATTTTGTTTGAAGTAGTTACCACTCTCGTTTTTATCAATGAATTTTGTACTGAATTATTCCCAACACTTTTTCATTTTAGAGGGAAACTTCCATTTTTTTATTCGGATCAATATAATTTATTAGCTAAATTTTTTACTTTAAATAAAATAATAATCAAACCTTTTAGAAAACAAGTTATTAGCCAATCATCAACCAACCCAAACATGACCCGACCAGTTGTTGAGACTGGTTCTATTATGAATCTTATCTCATTTACTAACACGTTCACTCAAATGAAAGACACCAGATATGAGTTTGAAGTTTGCACAAATCCCAATACCATGTGCTTATATTTGAATCCAATAAATAAAATCAACATTTAACTTTCAAATTCATTAAATAAATCACTAACCTTTATTAATTAAATTAACGGAAAAAGACCATACCAATGATAATCCAGTCGATTTCATTATCGACACTAGTATAGCAGGTTCAACCCTCCGGCGTTCCACCAACGTGACAAGACACACTGAAATTATTTTAGGGAAAAAAGAAGAAAATACAGAAATTTCAATTTTTAAGCTACAACAACAACAAAAATTTGGGGTCGTTTGGATGAGGAATTCTAATGGACAGATTGATCCGTTTGACAGCAAAAAATTTGGATGAAGCAATTTGGCTGGAGAATTCTGAATTGACTTATTTTGAGTCAATTACAATTATCTGGGATGGGGCAAGTAATCTGAATTGACTCATTTCAAATGATTTGTTTGTAAAATGAATCAATTGACCAAATTATTTACAATTCATATCCAAACGAACCCTTTAAAAAAAAAAATTTGATGGTTAACCCTTTAATTATTTAACAGAACAAAGTCGAGAAAATAATCCAATACGCCAACATAGCCAGAGAGAGACGGCAGCATTACTGCAGAGAAAAGTCGCCGCCACCGCCGCCGCATCTCCCCCGGCAACTCCAAATCCTTCAATACCCGCCGCCTGCTCCCGGCCGAACCAAGGCATCCCATACATACATTCTCACCGCTGTCCCCAATCCCGTCCATCCTTCTTCTTCTTGTTCTTCCGATTCTCCCTCCGTAAGCCGTCACTCTATTCCCGCGCAGCAACTTCTTTTCGTCCTTTACTTTCCGTCGTCTAGTTGCTGGAGCGGAGAACAAGAATCCCTCTCCTGCCAGCGAGTTGGATTTAGCATTCAGTTTCGCCGAGATTTACCTTAAACTCTATCTCAGCTTTGCACCCCGTTTTGGCTTTGTATTGGCTTCCTCCACACTACTAGATCTGCTGTCTGCAGCAGAGCAATTCTATATTTTCAGTTGTCTTTTCCAGGGCATTTCCTTGTTCTTCTAAGATTTTGGATTTGGGTTTTGTGAAAGGCGGGGGATTTTTTGAGTTGGGATCTTAGAGAATGGTGTTTTGGGAAGGTTATGTGAGTGATGAAACAATGGGGACATTTGCCCCAATAGTGGTGTACTGGTTGTATGCTGGGTTCTATCAAATTTTGCCGCCGTTGGACCAGTATCGATTGCACACGAGGAAAGAAGAGGAGAAGAAGAATCTGGTGTCGTTGGCTAGTGTGGTGAAGGGGGTTGTGATTCAGCAGCTGGTGCAGATAGTTGCAGCTCATTTGCTCTTCTTGGTAAGTCATGCTCCACCAAAGCCTTCACCTTTACTTTACTGAATTAAGTCCTGCTGCTTCTGTTATGAACGTTCTTGTGGAATCTAATGCAATGCGATTGGTGGAAATGAGAGTTGTAGGTGTTTGGTTAGGCATAATTCTTGATAAGGCACGAGCATATCAGCTATTAGGATGGCATTCTGAAATTCATTTGAGCTTGGAGAACCCGTTGAACTTTCTTCTTGTGTTACTGACTTGGTGGTTCTTCCACTGTAGATTTGTGTCAATCACGTTGATGCAAACCACTCTAGGAGTTTGATTTGCGTGCTGTGTCTTGGGAGAATTATCTGCATCTTTGGCCTTCTAAGACACTTTTATGGATTTTTTTTTATGGAATGGAAAGATTTTAACTTGTTCATTTTACTTTTCCCTAAATGGCATCTCCTAAAGGATGGATTGTCCTGACTTATGGTTAGCCTTCCTCAATTGCAAGAAGGGAAAGAACCTGATTGCTCAGTAGCAAGTGCGTGTAAAAGATGTGGAATGGTTGAACCACAAAAGAAATTTCATACGAAAGAGGAACACATCTCTGTTGCTGGAATGGAATCAGCTCATAGACGGGAGTGTTTTATATAGTAGGGTGTCATAAAGTAAATTCTGAATTCTCAAATTGCAACTTCTGTGGAGATGGGTTCTGATTTATGCTCCTAGGCAAGCAGAGGAAGCAAGTTATTGAAGAGACAGAAGTATGTGTCCTGTGACTGAGTTGCTTCTGTTGTTTGTCACTAGGCAATTTGGCAAATTCTCTCACCTTTTACTCAAGATTTGGAATGTGAATTGCAAGCTTGATTAAGATATCTATATCAGATAGTTTAAACTAGAAGATAAGCTAGAAGCTCGTCTCAAACTGGGTTACTTCTTGTAATTACTAATGACTAACTACTGAACCGTTAACTATTACTTGCAGTTGACATCAACTACAGCTGCATCCGAGGTTGTCATTCAACCCTCAGTTCCTCTCCAGATCGTCCAGATCATTCTAGCAATGTTTGTAATGGACACATGGCAGTACTTCGTTCATCGCTACATGCATCAGAACAAATTCCTATACCGCCATGTACATTCTCAACACCATCGTTTGGTCGTCCCCCAGGCCATTGGAGCCCTTTACAATCACCCACTGGAGGGTCTATTGCTGGACACAGTTGGAGGTGCAATCTCCTTCCTCGCCTCTGGGATGACCGCAAGAACGGGGGTAATTTTCTTCTGCTTTGCCACGGCAAAAACAGTCGACGATCACTGTGGCCTTTGGTTGCCTGGCAATATCTTCCATCTGTTCTTCGCCAACAACTCTGCCTACCACGACATCCATCACCAACTCCCAGGTACAAAGTATAATTACTCCCAGCCGTTCTTCCCCTTATGGGACAAGCTCTTGGGGACTCATATGCCCTACGTTCTTGTGAAGCGAGCCGAGGGAGGCTATGAAGCTAAGCTGATGAAATACTAGTTGCAACTTGTGAAAGTTTGTGGTCATTAACTTATCTCTCACAGCAAGTGAATTGGGTTTCTTGCCAGAATTCATAGGGAATAGAAGTGTTTGTTTAAGTCTGTCTGGCCATTTATGACATATAGGGGCGAGTTGGGTAATGGTAAATTTGTTGTGGAAGATATTGGCTGATGTCCTGTCATTGTGCCATCATGTTGTATATTAGTGATTGCAGCTTTCTGGTGTCCTTTTGGACTCTGTAAAATATGACGAGTTTCTGGAGAGCTTGAACCATGAGATGTGGAGTTGCTTTCCTGTGGCATTTCAATACACTATTTGAACTCACATGCTCTCTTCTAAACAATAACAATTGTTCATGTTAAGACAACCAACAAAATTCACTGTCTCGTCACTTCTACTCTTTTCTTCACCATCTTTGCTTCATAGCCTCCTCCAGGGCGCTCCAAGACAACATATGGCATGTGAGTCCCCATGAGCCTGTCCCAGAAGGAAAAGAAGGGTTGCGAAAAGTTGTACTTTCCGCCACGAGATTGATGATGAACGTCGTGATAGGCAGAACGGTTGGCAAATACCAAATGGAAAACACTGTGCGGAGGGAACCAAACTCCACAATGATCATCCACACCTTTTATCGAAGCAAGGCAGAGGAAAATCGCCTCTGTTCTCGGAGTCATTCCAGAGACTAACAGAGAGGCAACACCTCCTCCCATGTCGAGCAGGAGAGCCTCGAGCGGGTGATTGTACATGGCTCCGACAGCCTGAGGCACAACTAGCCTGTGGTGGTGGGAATGTACGTGGCGGTATAAGAACTTGTTGTGGTGCATGTATCGATGGCCGAAGTACTGCCATGTGTCCATCACGAACATTGCTACGACGATTTGCAGGATCTGAATCGGAATGGAATGTTGGATGGTCTTTGGTGATGTGAAGTCAGTTGACGTTATCTGTAAGGGAAAATATATGAACCCCACGAATTTGAACCCCTTAAAGTCTATGAACCCTACAAATTTTACCCTCCTAACACCGCAAACATGATCAAACATGATACTAACTAAGTACTAACCGAGAAGTAGAAATGGGCGGTTGCTATCTGCAAAGACTGAAGAATCAGAACTCTCTTGATCACAGTTGACAATGGCACCAAGTTCTTCCTCTCTTCTTCTTCCCTTGTATGCAGTCGATATTTGCTCAGAAGCTTTGAAGGCAACATTATCTGGTAGAGGCCAGCGTAGAGCCAGTAAACCACAATGGGAGCAAAGGTCGCCATTGTCTCGTCACTCACATAACCTTCCCAAAACACCATTGTGCTAAGCTCCTAATGTGTATGAAAGAATCAGAAAATATATATATATATGCAAATGCCACCCTACCTAAACATGTGGAGTTAGCGGCCAATAAATGGTTGATAATTAATTCTTAACCAAACATAATTAGCCGAAAATACAGTTGGCTGGTTATTTTTTACCCACTATTAGGGGGTGGGCAGTCCGGTCCGGACTGGACCAAGCTCAGGAGAAGCGGTCCAATAGTGCAAGATATTTTAGGAACAAGGACCGGATCAATAGTGCATTCTGTCCGCTGTGGACCGGTCCAAATATAAATTCGGTCCATTTTTCTTCGGTATTTTAAAAATTAATAGGACCAAGGACCGAACCATATTACATCCGATTCGGTGTGGTCCGGTACAAACATCGATTTAGTCCGATATGGACCAACCCATTGCCCACCCCTACCCACCATATATCAAGAACCATTTACGATTTAGGGATGGAGATGCTCTAAGTACATGGTTAATTAGTTAATATACTTCAAATTTAAATAGTAGTCAAGTACTTAGTAATTAATATACTTCAAATTCAAGGGCCACCCTCTCCAATTCCTTATTTTGGGATGACAGTGGCAGGCATGCAGTTGTTAAATTGTCTCAATTTATTGGGTAGAGAAATGTGGGCTCATATGATTCGCTATCATTCGTTGGCACCAGCGCACCAACTAATTTCGGCTTAGGGTAAGAGAATTTAGAGCAGCAGCATCTGCAAGCCGAATTAACAGCTGACAATGTGTACCAAAATCAGTTTTCTCTCCACTAAAATGTCAGAGGCTCAAGTGTCCAAGTTTTGATTTTTTCCGGAACCGATTTATTCTAATAACTCGAGTTGTTGGGAGGAGTTCAATTGTGGATTATATATAATTTACTAGCACATCCTCTCAAATGAAAGTCACCACATACAGGTTTGAAATTTTGCACAGACCCGGACACGATATGCTTAACAGAACATATGGAGTCATCGGGATTCGAATAAGAAACCTTTCGGCCACAAAAGCCTATAATACCATGTCATGATCCGATTGATCATTTGTCGATTAAGTGCGAGAGAGCTAATTGAAACTTCACCTCCCTTTGTCGTCCGACTCATTCAATTACACATATTTTTTTTCAAATTAGGTTCTAATTGAACATCTTAATGTGAACAAGATAATCAACTTGATTTACAATTCATAGTAATTACGAACCCATAACAATATTATTATGTATACAAAAGAGACAACACACATATACGCGATCTTACACTTATTAGTGAGATTATCGAGGTCGTGACTTTTTATTCGTTAAGAAAAAACAAGATCGTTGGCGGAATGTTTAAGAATATTGGATCCAAATGAAAGAAATCTCAGAGATTCAAATCCACCATATCCACCAAAGCCTACCCTAAACACAACAATGTCACCCATCTTTCATCATCATCATCCTTGCTTCGTACCCTCCTCCGAAACGCTTCAGAACAACAAACGGCATGTGAGTTCCCAGAAGTTTATCCCAAACGGGGAAAAACGGTTGCGAAAAGTTGTACTTTCCGCCACCAGGTTGATGGTGGACATCGTGGTAGGCAGAATTGTTTGCAAACAACAAGTGGAAGACATTAGCCCTAGGAAACCAAACTCCACAGTGATCATCCACAGCTTTCACAGTAACGAAGCAGAAGAAGACTGCTCCGGTTCTTGGTGTCATGCCAGAGACCATGAAAGCAAGAACTCCTCCACCCGTGTCGAGTAACAGAGCTTGGACCCAGTGATGGTAGAGAGCTCCGATGGCGTAAGGCACGACGAGCTTGTGGTGCAGGGAATGTACGTGGCGGTAGAAGAACTTGTTTTCGTGCATGTAACGATGACCGAAGTACTGCCACGTGTCGATTACGAACATTGCCACGACGATCTGGAGGATCTGGATTGGAATCGATGGCTGGATTGTTGCAGTCTCTGATGCAACTCCTGGTCTTGTCGATGTGAGCTGTAAGCTTGAATGTTATTATAGAGTAACACAAAAAATTTGAAGAAAACGAAAACAAGACAATAGATTGTTACTTGGTATCGTCATTTTAAATGAACAAAACTAATCCACAGTCGAGATCAGAAAAGCTCCATGACTGATAATTTATTTTTCTTGATATATAGACTAACCCCTCTCCAAGTTGCATAGGGTTAGAAAAACCAAGGAAATATATAGTTAAAAGAAAAGAAAAAAATCCAAAGAAGGAAACTGGGTTGGAGGGAAGTCATGGTCGTGATTTTGGACGTTAGCTCTCGCTACACATTTTACAGTCGGAATCTTGAGAGTCGCGACCGTGACTTTAAACCGGACTATGACTCCATGAGAAGCATTTTCACGGTTGTGCCCATGGGAAGTCACGATCTGTGAACCCAAACCGTAAAAACGTAACATAAAGAGTACAAATCAAACACGCTCTATATCTACGTCCGCACTACGGTTCATATATTAGACGAATCTATATACTCACCGAAAACCACAAATGGGCAGCCGTTATTTGCAAGAACTGATGAAACAGGACACCCTTGGCCACAGTCGACATCGGCACCACATTCTTCGTCTCTTCTTCTTCCCTCGTGTGCAATCGGTACTTGCTCACGAAGTTGGAAGGCAGCACGATCTGGTAAAACCCAGCATAGAGCCAGTAGACTACAATGGGAGCAAAGGTCACCATTGTCTCGTCACTCACATAACCTTCCCAAAACGCCATTGTTCTTGTATTACATTGATGGATATGGACTAGTATAGCTAGAACCAGCTCCTCTATGTATATATGCATAAAGCTCGAACACAACGCTGAAAGAAACATAGAAAAATATACCTGCCGTTCAAATCTAACTTATTATCAATTTAATACCATAGCAAAATTCAAATTTTGACGAATGCGATTTGAAAGGCAATATTCTCGTACGTACCAAAGTATTCGAGTAAAAAAAAAAAAAAAACCCTATCCAGCAAAAATAATTGGTGGAATACATTGGAAATAGCAAATTAATTGTATTGGAATGGAATACAGGCAATGAAACAATCGCATACTTGCCTATCTAGTATCCAACCCATCATTTTTCTTCAAAAGGGAAGGAAACAAACCCACTATTCAAAACCGAAAGCGAAAACTTTAACACATTCTCAAAGAGGATTATTTAATATTTATGGTGAAATGTTCGATATTACGTTAATTCGTTTAATATATTTATCTTGCTGACGATTGGAAGCCACGAGGGTTTCGATGAAACTAGATTCAACAGTATATGAGCTTTTATACTTTCATTTCTTCGTGTGGACATGTTTTTTTGGTCTTGTTTCCGTTCACAGTTTGAAGACGGTTGCTATATAAACTTTTGATTTTAAGTTTTAACTCCTCTTCGATTTGTACTCTCATCAGAACACTGAATGTGGCCATGTGGGTTCCTTAATGATTTTTAGTAATTGTATTTGAGTAATTGTATTTGTGAGGTGGAAAATTAAAGATAATTATTTAATATTATTTTAATTGACAAGTCGGTAATTTAACGGTCAAACATGAAATGTGACCGTCACATAAAATAAAAATAACACAATCGAACAGATAGCTACTGAAAAGAAAATGTGAAATTAATGATCATACATTGATTTAGTTTAACTTTATAGAGACAAACCTGGAAAAAATGGTAAATCAATTTTATCAGAAAAAAGAAGAAGGTAAATCAATGATAAACATCACATTTTATTTTTTATTTTTCATCAATCGGCACAAGTGAGCTCAAATGCTTTTCGAAAGTCAACATAACCCAAATGGTGGGTTGGGCTGATGGATGGCCTGAGCCCACTCTCTGGCCAGTTAAACTTGGGCCAATACTCAGCAGCCAAGCCTTAGAGCTTTGAAGCCTTACTTCAGAACCGCCATCAACGCATCAATCTCAAGTTGCCAAAAATAACTTTTAAAGTGTACCCGGGATGACAAAAATATCCGTAATAGTGAATATCCGTTCGTATCTAGTCTAATTAGTTAGGGTAAAATTCAAACTCGAAGGACTTTTAATGGGTACGGGTAAAACTCGGACCCGGATATTGCGGGTAATGGGCGGGCATGGGTTTCTCACTATCTAACTCGAACCCCGCTAGATTATACACATGCATATATATTTTGTCTATAAATAATCATTCTTTTTCTCTAACATATCTTATATTTAGCATATAAATATAAAATTTTCATGAAATTGTGTTGTTTTAATTAATTTTCTTAATTCTAGTGAATTATTGTCGTACTTTTCCTCTTACGTAACGTGAGATCACATGTGAATGTTAACATATTGGTTGAAGTTATGAAGAGAAATTATTACTCATGGATAACCGTGGATACCGGAAACCCGAACGGGTATGGGCATGGTTTTTATTTTCTACCCGTTTCACATGTGTGTATGAGTATGCGTAAAACCCGAACTACTTTGGGAGTTTGGGTAGAGTAACGGATATGCACTATCCACCCACAACCCGACCCGACCCAATGCCATCCCTACCCAAGTAAGGATAAGGTAAAGCTATCATGGTTTAAGAGGTTTTTTAAGTGACAATCGATTCAATGCAAGAGTACATCGAATCAATGATGTGAGTGCACGATTGGTCGTTCTGAATGGACAAAATTTGGGTACTACGATAACACAATATTAAGAAACAATTTGGGCGTTTTCTACACGGCTAAATTTTTTTTTTAAGAATTTTTCTCTAAGTCATTTTTATCTAAAACAGTAAGATATAGAGACGGTGGAATTTTCTTTTTGAATGGATTTTTTTTAATTGTAGAACTAGATGAATAAGTTGCCTTAATGTGTAAGAAAGAACTAGAGATCCTTGGTCCCATAGACCTCATCTATATATATATATATATTGAACAAAATATTTAAATTGTTTAAAGAGAAACAAACATTAGAGATAACTGCTCTGCACCAATTTGCCAATAGCAAAAACCAGAAGAAAATAAAAATTATATATATAATAACAAAATTAAAAGACAAAAAAGATGAGCTTATGAATAAAATCACCTTTGCCTAACTGCTACTACGCGGCTTCTTTTTTCCGATCGACCACAGCGCCCCGCAGATATATTCTCATTCCCCCGTCCGTCTCTTTTCCTAAATCCCTCTTTCAGTTTCCTTCTCGTCGAAGAATCCAAACCCACTTTCCGCAGCCCCCTCGATTTCCGATCACGATCGCCGGACGGACCATGTCGATGCTCGACGCCTTCTTCAGCAACAAGGGATTCAAAGCAGCCAAATGGTGAGCAGAACATTCCGTTAGATTGCGCTTAAAATTTTCGATTTTGAATCTTGTGGTGAACGGGTTTTAATTTCGTCGACGTAAGCCGTGTTTGTTTCCCGGGGAAAAATAAGCGAGATGGCGGGAGTTGGATCCCAATCTCTTGTAGAGTTCATAACTTTTTTTTCTCTGCAGACTGCGTGTAGTGAGTGACAATTGGGATTTGAGGGTTTTGGAGTTGGATTGCCATTATTAGGGTTTTGGGTTCAATGTGTTTTTCTTTTTATTGATTTTGTTTCTCTTTATATTTGGGCGATCAGTAAAACTCTGCTGAAGCTGACGATACCACGGATTAAGCTGCTGAGGAATAGAAGAGAGATTCAGATTAGGCAAATGCGTCGTGATATTGCTAAGCTTCTCGAGAATGGCCAGGAAGCTACTGCTCGTATTCGGGTATGTTGATATTTTTCACTCTCGGCTTTCAATGATTTTTTCAGTTGTATAAGGTCCAGTTGGGTGGCTTCCATTGCTTACTGTTGTGTGGATTTCAGGTTGAGCATATAATCAGAGAAGAGAACATGATGGCGGCTCAAGAGGTCTTGGAGCTCTTCTGCGAACTGATTGCTGTTCGTCTACCCATCATTGAAGCACAAAGGTAATTTCTTTGACTTATCCCTGAAAACTGGTTGCTCCCTACTTGTGATTGCGTTGTGTAAAAGAATTAGACTGTGTGAGCTGCTAGGTTGTGGCATACAGAATTTTAGAAATTGTGCTTTGGCTTCTCAGTAGATTAAAGCTATCCTGAGGTTGCTTCTTTTGAATATGCTCATCAGTACAGATCTGCCCAAATAGATTTAATGGTGCAGTATTGAATTTTAGGATAGATTGTCAAATGTGCTATAGCTAGTTCCTGTACTTGGAGGCTGAAAAGGTTGAATCATGTCCAGGGAATGTCCTCTAGATTTGAAAGAAGCAATCTCCACTGTCTGCTTTGCTGCACCCAGATGTGCCGACCTGCCAGAATTGCTGCAGGCTCAAATGCTGTTTTCGTCCAAGTATGGAAAAGATTTTGTAACTGCTGCAACTGAACTCATGCCAGATTGTGGGGTTAATCGCCAGGTTTGATAAACTGCACTACTCACTGTTTAGTGGCAAGATCTCAAACATCTCTCTATGTTTCTTTGTTAATATGATATGATTTGAGTTTCCCATCCTCTCCAGATAGTAGAGCTCCTATCTGTTCGTGCACCTTCAGTGGACAAAAAACTGAAGCTTCTTAAGGAAATTGCTGAAGAACACGAGCTAGACTGGGACCCAGCTGGGTCGGAAGCTGAACTATCAAAACCGCACGAAGATTTGCTGGTGAGTATAGTTGCTCCTTATGATAGGTTCATGTTAGCTCTTGTGATCTTACATTTGATCCCTCATTTTCAGAATGGCCCTGCACAGTTTGTTAGCGAGTCTAAGCTGCCTCCTCCGGACGAGAAGCATGACGAAGCATTGAGTTCTAATTCCGTGGGTGCTACATATGAACAACCTGACACTGACTCCAGTGCTGATGAGCTAGATTTCCCTGAAGTCCCCAAGGTCGTATTGAGGCCTAATGCAGCTCCTGCTGCCTCTGCACCAGATATGACCCTACCTACAGAACCCACTCTACACACAGAATCCATGGATCTAGATATGTCTTCAGACAGTCCGCTACATGGCTCTCATTCCAAACATGAAGTCATATTCGAAGAACTGCCAAAGGAGTCCAAGAATCAATTTCTCGATTACTCAGAGGATGCTTCCCAGGAGAAACAGTTTTTGCCTTTCATCACACCTCCACAGACATCATATGCAAGTGCACCTGCAAGACAGTATAGTTCAACACCGTCCACCTCAAACCCCAAGAATATGTCCGACATAGATCTGCACGATATCTTAGTTTCAGCGCAGGCAGCTGCAGATTCCGCTGAGCGAGCAGCAGCAGCAGCCCGCTCAGCTGCAACGATTGCACATGCAAAGATCAAGGAGCTAGCCAAGGTCAACAGCGACAAGTCACTTGATCTTGAATCCGATAATCCGTTCAACACTGAGCTTCATGATCAGTCCGCTGCTTTGGGAAACCTAAACCTCGATCATCAACGCTCTTCTGGCGATCTCAACTGTGCGGTGTTTGATTCTCCAAGGGATCACAGAGATTCGTCTGGTCCTCAGCTGCAGCGAATCACGTCTATCGACGAAGACCCTTACTTCTCTTACCCTAACTTGTTTGGGAACCACAGCTCGAATCATGGATCACCATCTGCCCAATTTGTTTCAGACAGCTCGAGATCGCCACATTGACTCGTTCTGAGCTTTCCGAGGTATTTGAGGATACAGTTGTGTCTTGCTGGTTTAGCTATTTCACATGCAGTAGTACATCTGTGATTATGCGGCTGTAGTTCTCTCTTCCCCTTTTCGCCTGTAAAGTAGTCCCACAGCACAAAGAATCTCGTATCATCAATGGCTGCTTTTATGATGAGTATAGCTTTTGTTGAACTCCAGAACTCAGTTGTTGACACAACTATCATGGCGTTTTTTTTATTTGTTTGAGCGGGATTTGGGATGGTTAGGGTAAGGTTATATAGGGATTTGTACAGAAGTTGGTTACTTGTGTCAGCTTGTTGCCTCCTGTTAAAAACTTGTCCAATAAACCTCATCTCGAAGCCGTTTGCTATGTAAATTCGCTTCAGTTTGGCATATTCATTCATCTGTCAACAGTCAGCCACTCCCTGATTGGTGAATATCTTATCCATTTTTCCAGCTATTTGATAGCGGAAGCTGGCAGTTTGGGTCAGGTTCGGTTACCCGAATCAAAACCCAAAAAAACTCGAAAATCCGAAACCGAAAACCACTAAAACCGAACCCGAATCCGATAAGGACTTGCGGGTTCCGGTTACCCGAAACCCAAAAATTCCTTATCGGGTTTAGGTTTGGTTAAAGCAAAACCAAAACCCGAAAAACCGAACGTCTAAGAATACGGGTTGAGTTTTATTCATTGGAGGTTTTTAGCCGGAACCCGGAAAACCGATAAGCAAAATCGAACTCAAAACCGAAAAACCCGAAACCCGAAACAAATCCGAACCCGAATGGACACCCCTAGCTGGCATGTTCTGGTTTGATACAAAATCGAGTATTATGATAATTACCGAATTAGAAATATATGGAAAATGAGGATTAAAATCGGATTTAAAATGCGTCTGATTTTGTTTAGTTTAATTTCAATTTGGTGAGAATATTCCTTTATTTTTAAGAAGTTACATTATCGAAACAAAATCTGAGTAAATTCTAGTTTGATGTGATGATTGGATAAGCATGATCTTATAATATGATCCAAAATTCATGCATTTCCCGTCAATATTACACATGGTATAGTATGAGTCCAAATTCATAGTCTGAGGCCCAAAGTCAGCGAGAGGCCCAAAATGCGACCCGAAATTTGACGTTTATCCATTTCTCCCGAGAAGTAAAGGCGGGAAAAGCAGCAAAAAAGTCGTGTTGATTTTTCAACCTGATCCATTTCCCAGCAGTTTCCCATCTGCTTGACTTGACTTCCCCGCAGAAACTCTGCTCTCCTCTTCTTCTTCCGTAATGCTTTCCCCAATCTCTCTCAAACCTGATCCCTAACTCCGTTTCCTCTCTTTCTCCACACAATTCGTTCCCTTTGCTTCCATGGATGCCGAATCTCCTCTTCCATCACTTCCTTCCAATCCTCACCGATCAGCGACTGTTCTCCGGGCAGTCTCTCGCTGGGAACATCGCTCGGAGCAAGAACTCCACGCCGTCCTCTCCTCTTCTCTGGCGGCGACGGAAGACGGCAAGAATAAGTACGAGGTGTTCGTGAGCTTCAACGGAGAAGACAATCGCAGGGGATTTACCACCCACCTCTGCCATTCTCTCTCTTCCAAATTAGGGATTTCGGTCTTCTACAAGGACGAAATCAGATTCGGGGCATCCGTCACCGCGCCGCCGGAGCTTCTGAGAGCGATCGACGGTTCCCGAATCGCGGTCGTCGTATTGTCGAGGAACTACGCCGATTCTCCCTGCTGTCTCAACGAGCTGCTTCACATCCTTCGTCACCGGAAATCTAGAGGCCTACCAGTCATTCCGGTTTCCTTCGACGTCGATCCATCTGATTTCAGGAAACCTTACGGCGGAAGAAGTCATAGCTCTGCGGGCGACGATAAGGTGCGGAGGAGATCGAGAGATGATGCTTTGGCGGAGCTCGCTGATCTCCCCGGATTCGCCACCGCTGACTATGGGTAATTCGCTGTTAATTTAATTACGCTCAATCACCTAATTCCCTATTATCCTGATTCTGAAGCTCGATTTACAAAATTGAGTTCCGGTACTGTTTTCGCCTGGTTGATTGCTTGCTAATTTGAGCTCTGTTTGTGAATTGATGACACTCCATAGAAACGACATGGATATGATTAGGGGAATTGTAGCGAAGATATGGAACGAATTGAACCCTAGTACTACAGTTCCAAGCATCATCAGCAGCATTAATCCTCTAGTTGGAATGGAGAAACGTGTAAATGCAGTGATCGGCTTGCTACATCTAGATGCCACTACACCGGATGGCAACGATGTTCGTATGATTGGAATCTGCGGCCCAGCAGGGAGCGGGAAAACCACGGTCGCCATGGCCGTTTTCGATGCAATTCGCTCCGGATTCGAGTCCAGCACTTACATCGCCAGCGTCGGGGAATCCTCCACAACACGCACAGGGCTGTTCCGATTGCAGAAGCAGCTGGCCGGCGAAATTGGTGGTGAAGGAGTCGAGATGGGGACGTGGCCTGCCGCGGAGGTGTTCGAGAGGCTGAAGAGGGCATACAGAGGGAAGAAGCTGCTGCTGATTCTGGACGGCATCACCCACGAAGTGCAGCTGTTTCGCCTGGGGGCGGATCGTTCCCTATTCGGGCCAGGGAGTCGGGTCATTATAACTTGCAGAGAGCAGTACCTGGTGAACAATGACTATCAGACCCGGGTGGATTCTTTGTACGAGACCCAATTGCTGGACAAGAATGAAGCTCGTGTTCTACTAAGCCTGGTAGCTTTCGGGCAGGAGGATTTCTTGGAAGATTACAGGGATGTGGGTGAGCAGATTCTGGATTGTGCTGGCGGGGTTGCCTTTGTGGTGGAAGTTTTGGGCCGTTCCCTTAGGGGGAGAAGCGTTTCTGAATGGGAATACACAATTGAGAAGCTGAAAAGAATTCCACCGCCAGAGAGATCGCATTTAGAGGTACCTTAAAGTTAAAAAAATGCGATTTCCGGCTGCATCATGGATTCTGCACTTTGTCTTCTCCACGTTTAGAAAGCTCATCCCCTCAACATGCAGCACCAGCTCTGGTTCTCTTTAGGGATGGCAACAAAACTCGAACCCATGGGTACCCACCCGACCCAACCCGGTCAACGCGGGTAAAACCCGTGTTGACGGGTTTTGGGTTGGGTTTGGGTTTAAATCTGCTACACTATTCATCGGGTTGGGTTTGGGTTTAGATAAACCCGACCCATGGGTACCCGCCCACACCCATATAATTAATTTTTCCGGGTTATTTGCAATATATCTTTCTTAAATAACTAATCTTCTTTATGTTTGTGGAGACATGTCTAATTTATTCTTTCTAATTGTGTACAATGAAGTTGATATTATGGAGTGGAGAGTGAAGAAGTTTAGTTGACAAGGAGGAAGGAGCTTTCAATTAATCATGTTGTTTATAGATGTTTATCTTTAATTTTGAACAATTTGTATTGATAATTTCGGGTTTGCTTGTATGCTCTAGATTAGTGTTTTTTGTAAGGATAATTTTTATGAGAAAATTGATGTTAGACTTTTATTTTGAAAGAAATTTGTTATTGTAAATTTTTTACCACAAAAATCCACGGGTGCCCATGAGCTCGCGGATATCCAGCGGGTTGGGTTGGGTTGGGTTTGAGTTTTTCAAACCCAGCGGGTTTTACCCCGGGTTTTTTTGACGGATAAACCCATAGATTTGGGTTCGGGTTTGGCAAAACCCGCCCCAACCCGACCCATTGCCATCCATAGTTCTCTTCCGGAACAACGCATAAATAACATAAGTTACGTCTTTTCTATTACGTACTTAATTAGTGATGTTTTGGAGAAAAATGGGACGGGGTTGGCCGAAATTAGGAGAGGATTAGAGGAAGTTTTTTTACGTTATGACTGTTGTACGTTGGTTAGGAAGATGATTAAGCAAGATTTCGGAATTCTCTTTACTTATATCTTTTGGATATTCTAATTTCTCCCAAAATCCCTCCGATTCCCTCTATTTACTTACATCTTATAAATGGCGATTTTTGTGATCACCGTCGATTGAAATCCCCAATTTGAATTCTCATCCAGTGGAGAAACCTTATTCCGGCGTTGGCGAATGTCAAAGTCTAGAAAGTAGAAACGAACTCCTAAATAGACTACCTCCTAAAATGACTAGTGGCAGTGGTTCACCAACCGCTTATCAGATTTAGGCAACGGTGACAGAATTTCGGCTACGGTGACAAACTCTAGTCGGTAACCGGATTCCGGCGATCGGTGATCGAGTTTCGATAGTGGGTGACTGATTCCGACAATCGGATATCGGATTCACACGATCAAAAAGTGGATAAAAAATATTTAATATATATTTATATTTTGTAAAAAAAATATGTCATAAATTTCTATTTTATTATAGGCAGTTTAAACATAATAATAAAAAATGACTACTATTAGTAATTAGATAACATAATGAAGGTTAGATAAAATGATTAAAGTTATAATATTTTTAAAATTGACAAAATGATGTAGGTTAGATAAAATGTTTAGTTGTATTGAAAATTTCAGTTGAGCACACCATACAAAATAAAAAATGAATTTAGAAGAAATTAAGCCAGCGTATAATGGAATTGTAAAAGTTGTTGATGTGACAATAACAGACTGTTTGGTACCAAATAAATCAAGAATTCATTTCATTGTAAAATGAATTAACGTGTAGAATTCATTGTCAAATGAAATCTTGTGTTTGGTACGTCATATTTAAATAAAATAAATTGTCATGTAGAATTCATTGTCAAATGAATTCCTGTATTTGGTATGTATATGTATAAGTGATTTAGTTAATAAAAGAGGATAATTATGTCATTTTATTATAATTAGTAAATACTTGTGGAATTCATTTGGAAATTCCATCTCAATTCCTCGCAATTGCTATAATCAGTTTCAATTCCATAAAATTTAAAATTTAGAATTAGAAATGAATTTTTTCAAATACCAAACACAAAAATGTTTCATTTCATAATGAATTTTTTAAAACATTTGGAATTCATTTATACCAAACGGTAGTTTCTACCGATATAAAGTAGAAATCATATTTTACATTATAAAAAAAAAGTAGAAACCATATTTATAGTCTTCACCTGGCGCTCACGTCTTATCTGAGAAAAAAGGCGGGAAAAGAAAAGGAGATACATGTGTAGATTTTTCAACGTGTTGGCTGGCCCATTGGCCTATTTGAGAGCAGCTCCCTGCAGCTTGATGTGACTTCCCTTCAGCGCTCTACTCTCCCCCTTCTCCTGTTCTATACTGTTTTCCCCCTTCTCTCAAACCTAAATCCTTACTTCGTATATCTATTTCTCTCCACAATTACTTTCTCCGCTTCCATGGATCGCGTTCGTCTGTTTTGGTTTTGGATCCGGAACTGGATGACCAATCTCCTCCTCCATTACTTCCCTCCAAGCCCTGACCGATCTCCGACCCTTTATCCGGACAATCCGACGGCGGCGGCGGCGGCCGCTGTCTCTCCCCGTGAACGCAGACCTCCTCCGATAATTTGCTCTCCATTTTCAGCACCGTCGGCATCTTCTTCCGCGGCGGCGGAATGCCGTAAGTACGAGGTGTTCGTGAGCTTCAGAGGGGAGGACACTCGCAGGGGATTCACCAGCCACCTCTGCGACGCTCTCTCTTCCAAGCTAGGGATTTCGCTCGTCTACAAGGACGAGCTATGCCTCGAGAAAGGCGCGTCCGTCGCGCCGGAGCTCCTGAAAGCAATTGAGGATTCCAGAATTGCGGTCGTTGTCTTGTCGAGGAACTACGCCGGTTCCAGCTGGTGTCTCGACGAGCTGGTTCACATACTCCGGTGCCGGAAACGGAGGGATCTAAGAGTCATTCCGATTTTCTACGAGGTGGATCCGTCGGATGTCCGGAAACAGAAGGGAGGGAGCAGCTTCGGTGCCGCTTTTGCTAAACTCGGCAGAGTTTCCGCTGGCGCCGGCAACAAGTTGCAGAACTGGAGAGGCGCTCTGACGGAAGTCGCTAATCTATCCGGATTCGCCACTGATCATTACAGGTTTGGAGTTCCCAATTTCTGCTATCCTGAATCCATCAATTGTTCGGTTGCGAAATGCTCTATACTGCCTGTCAATTGCTTGATCATTTGACCGAATTCGATTCGACTCCGTTTGTGAATGAAAATTCTAGAAACGACTCGGACATGATGAAGGAAATTGCGGGGAAGATATGGAAGGAATTGAGCCCAACATATCCAAGCATCAGCAAGCCTCTGTTTGGAATTGACAAGCGGGTGAAAGCTGTGATCAATCTACTAAGATTAGACTCGATAGCTGAAAGGAGAGATGTTCGTATTATTGGAATCAGCGGGATAGGAGGTAGTGGCAAAACCACTGTAGCCATGGCAGTCTACGACACAATTCGCTCTGGATTCGAGTTCAGCACCTATGTTGGCCGCATTGGAGAAGCCTGCAACGCCTATGGAGGGCTGCTTCAATTGCAGAAGCAACTGTTCAGCGAACTTGCTGGTAACGCCATGGTGGCAGGCTTAGAGGCATGGCCGGAGTATGGAGGAATCGAGAGGCTGAGAAGGATGTTTAAAGGGAAGAAGCTGCTTCTGATTGTTGACGACATCACCCACCAAAAGCAGCTGCAGTATTTGGCTGTGGAGCATTCTTTATTCGGGTTAGGAAGTCGGGTCATTATAACTTGCAGAGATAAACATTTGCTAAATGCTCATAGGGTGGATTGTATTTACGAGACCCAGTTGATGGACGACAATGAAGCTCGTATGCTGCTTAGTCAGAAGGCTTTCGAGCAACAGGAACCCTTGGAAGATTACAGATATGTGTGTGATCAAATTTTGTCTTATGCTCAAGGGCTTCCCTTGGCACTGGAAGTGTTGGGTTCTTCACTTCGTGGGAGAAGTGTTTCTGAATGCAGAAGCATAATTAAGAAGCTGAAAAGAATTCCACCGGGGGAAATTCTAGAGGTTCTGAAAATCAGTTATGATGTACTGGATGAGGAAGAGAAGGATATGTTCCTAGATTTCGTGTTTTTCTTCAATGGTTTCAATCCAAAGCCTTGTATCGTAAGTCTACCCTGGATGGTGGTTGAGTACCTCTATCCTGATGCGAGGGTTGGGATAAGGAATCTTATGGATAAAGCGCTGTTACAAGTTAAGGGAAGGTACCGTGGAGGTAATTTCTATATGCACCCTTTGTTGGACGAGATGGGGAGGGAAATTGTTCGCTTGGAATGTCCAAATGAGCCTGGACAACGCAGTAGGTTGACTGGATATCGAGATGTCTGCCATGTGCTCACAAAGCAAACGGTAAGAGTTCGAAGAATGGCAACTTGTTCTTGCTTTCGTTTACTGGGTCAAATGTGGCTTGGATCGGATAAATGTTTTCATCCCATTCCCAAGTTTTGATTCAATTTATCAGCAGCTGTTGTTCATCAATTTTGCAGGGAAGTGAGAAAGTCAAGATTATATCGTTAAAGGGAAATTTTCAATGCTTACACAAAATAACGAGTTCTCCTGAAGCCTTTTCGAGAATGGTCAATCTAAAACTGCTGGAATTGAGAAATGTGAAGATGAAAGAAGGACCAAATGAGCTCCCTGATGAGCTCCGATATCTGTCATGGAGTCATTACCCTTCTGAATCTCTGCCATTCACTTTCAACCCTCACCGATTGTTTCTACTACAGTTGGATTACAGCGACAATCTTAAGCAACTCTGGCATGGGAATAAGGTGAGCAACACTCTCAGTCATATGTTATTGGTAGCATATGACCATACATGTTCCTAACACTGTTGGTTCTGTTCATCTTTTCTGATTGTCGATACTCGACAGACAATGAAGTATCTTACTCGCATGGACCTTCGCTTCTGCAACAGTTTGATTGTTAGCCCAGATTTTACCGGAACACCTAATCTCGAGTATTTGTCACTTGAGGGTTGTGGTTCTTTGCTTGAGGTTCACTCATCATTTGGGAATCTCAAAAGAATTGTTTCTGCTGCTTTCAATGGGTGCAAGAGTTTGGAGGTATTTCCTACGAGTCTTGAAGCAGAATCTTTGGAGTTCCTTTCTCTGCAAGGTTGCTCGAAGTTGAAGAGGTTCCCTACTATTGATGGAAACATGGACTGCTTGGCTGAACTCGATCTACAAGGGGTTGGAATCCAACAACTGGATGCAACAATTGGACGATTGGTTGGCTTGACAAGATTAAACCTTCAGAACTGTGAATGCCTCACAAGTCTCCCAGACAGTCTTGGTTGTTTGACTTTACTTTACAAGCTTGATTTAAATGGTTGTCGTGAACTGGAAGATTTACCACCTTCCCTACAGCTGTGTATTTCTCTGGAGTATCTGAGGGTGGAAAATTGCGTGAACCTTAAGTCTTTGCCGGAGCTTCCCCCATATATCAAGAGCGTGGAAGCCAAAGGTTGCAAGTCCCTGGAAGAAATTCCGGATACAATCAACCTGCGCAGCAATAGGGTGCATATTGATTGCCGCCAGTGCTTCAAATTGGATCAACCAGAGAGCTTAGGTTGGAGAATGCTTCAAAGATGCCTCCAGGTACTACTACCATTCTGTACACTTCCACTATAATCGTTCTTTCCATTTTATCCTTTTCATTCTTATACGCAACTTGCAGGCCACTCCTACTCCAGAACGAGAATTTGGCATTGTCACTCCGGCTGGAACGAACAAGAAGATGGATATCCCAGATTGGTTGTTGTTGTCGAGCCATCGGACCCATTGGAGTTCACTAGCGACGCTGCCACCTGATGATGACTTGAAAGCTGTTAGTAACCCGGACTGGATAGGGACCGTGGTGGTACTTTGCTTCCGTGTAGTTATATTTGGTGGCCTTTCCGTCCAATCTTCCTGCCGCAAGTGTTGCTCTTTCCAACCGCACCTGGTCGGTGCAAGCCTGAGAAGACAACAGGCTGTTGCTGAAGAGCAACGCCAGCTTTGGTTGTCCTACATTCCCAAGGGTTCCCTGGGAAACTACTTTGCGAACCCGGTGTCCGTTTGCCCGCACATAGAATGGGATTGGTGCGAGTACAGAAATGTGTACAGTCATGAGGTTGAAGAGTGGAAGAAATGAAGTAGCGGTTTCGGCGAAGATGAGGAAATGAAGCAGCCCACCAAATGACAAGGATAACTTCAGGTTGGATGAGACAAAAATCTGATTTGACAAACGCCCCTATTTTCCATTTGCCTGGAAAAAAAGGTGGGAAAAGGAATACAGTTAAGAGGAAGATTTTCAACCTCCTGCTGCTGGCGGGGCCATTTGCTACTTGCCAGCAGCTTTCCTGCAGCTTGACTTTACTTCCTCTTAAGCAGCTCTCCTCTCTTCTCCTCCTCGTCTTTTCATACTGCTTCCCCGCCTCTCAAAATCTAAACCCCAACCTTGTCTATCTCTTTCTCTCCACAGCTAGTTTCACCGTTTCCATGGATCGTATTGGTCGGCTATGGTTTTCGATCAGGAACTGGATAACGAGTCTCCTCCTCCGTTACTTCCCTCTAAACCCTGCCCGATCGCTGACCGTTCCTCCAGCCAATCCGCCGGAGGCAGCGGCAGAGCACGAGCCTCCTCCGATCGTTTTCTCCCCGTTTCCAGCGTTGTCGTCGTCTTCTTCCGCGCCGGCGGACCTCAATAAGTACGAGGTGTTTGTGACCTTCAGAGGGGAAGACACTCGCAGGGGATTCACCGGCCATCTCTGCGACGCTCTCTCTTCCAGAATAGGGATTTCGTTCGTGTACAAGGACGAACTCTGCCTCAAGAAAGGCCAGCCCATCGCCCCGGAGCTTCTGAAAGGGATCGAGGATTCCAGGATAGCGGTCGTCGTCCTGTCGAGGAACTACGCCGATTCCACCTGGTGTCTCGACGAGCTGGTTCACATCCTCCACTGCCGGAAACGGAGGGGTCTCCTTGTCCTTCCGATTTTCTACCAGGTGGATCCGTCGGACGTCAGGAAGCAGAAGACAGGAAGTAGCTTCGGCGACGCTTTTGCTAAACACGACCGAGTTTTCACCGGCGTCGGCGGCAGCGGAAAGGTCCGGAAGTGGAGTGATGCTTTGACGGAAGTAGCTAACCTCTCCGCATTCACCACAGCTGAATACAGGTTCGGACTTGATTAAGATTCTCCGTAATTTCTCCACTAAACCTGAATCCATCAATTTGCTCGCTAATTTGTCCCAATTCCCTTCCCTTTCTCGTTGGTGAACCAACAATTTGTAGCAAAGACTCGGATATGATCAAGGCCATTGTGGGGAAGATATGGAAGGAATTGAGCCCCACATTTCCAAGCATCAGCATGCCTCTCGTTGGAATTGACAGGCGCGTGAAAGCAGTGATCGATTTACTAAGCAAAGACTCCACAGCTGAAAGAAACGAAGTTCGTATGATTGGGATCTGTGGGATGGGCGGCAGTGGCAAAACCACAGTCGCTATGGCAGCTTACGACACTATTCGCTCTGAATTTGAGTTTAGCACTTACGTTTCACGCGTTCGAGAAGCTTGCAACACCCATGGAGGGCTAATTCAATTGCAGAAGCAGCTGTTTAACGAAATTGAGGGTAACGTCACGATGGCAAGTGTCCAGACATGGGGGGAATTTGGAGGAATCGAAAGGCTTAAGAGGATGTATAGAGGGAAGAAGCTGCTCTTGATTGTGGACGACGTCACCCACCACAAGCAGCTGCAGTACTTGGCAGTGGAGCATTCTCTATTTGGGTCAGGGAGTCGGGTCATTATAACGTCCAGAGATCGACACTTGCTCCATGCTCAAAGGGTGGATTCTGTATACGAGACCGAATTGTTGGACGAAAATGAAGATCTTGTGCTACTGTGCCTGACAGCTTTTGGCCAAGAGGAACCTTTGGAAGGCTACAGGTATGAGTGTGAGAGAATTTTGGGTTATGCTGGAGGCCTTCCCAAGGCGATAGAAGTGTTGGGTTGCTCGCTGAAGGAGAGAAGTGTTTCTGAATGGAGGTGCACAATTGAGAAGCTGAAGAGAATTCCTCCCGGTGAAATTCTAGAGGTACTGAAAGTCGGTTATGATGCACTGGACGAGGAAGAGAAGGAGATGTTCCTAGATTTCGTGTTTTTCTTCAATGGAGTCAATCGCCTTGCAGATCCCATAAACTTTTTGTTCAATGTGCCCCTTATGATGGTTCAGGACCTCTATCTTGATGAGGGTATTGGGATTTGGAATCTTGTTGATAAGGGACTATTACAAGTTGAAGAACGGTACTATGGTGATCATATCTATATGCACCATTTATTGGAGGAGATGGGTAGGGCAATTGTCCGCTCGGAATGTCCAGATGAGCCTGGACAACGCAGTAGGTTGACTGGTTATCAAGATGTTTGCCATGTGCTTACTAAAGGAACGGTAAGGGTTTGGAAGAGAGTGTGTTAGTTCTACTTTTGTTTACCGGGTCAAATGATGATCGTTCGAACCTGAACTGTGATGAATGGTTTGGTCTTTCGAATTAGCATGTCTTGACTGGTTGTGCTTTACGTTCTTTTGCAGGGAAGTAAAAAATTGAAAATTATTTCGTCGAGACCAGATTCTGGATACCCAGTCCCAGAGATAGTAATGCATTCCAGTGAAGCCTTTTCGAGAATGAGCAATTTAAAAGTGCTGGAGTTAATATATGTGAAGATCACGCAAGGACCAACTTATCTTCCTGATGAGTTGCGAATTCTGTCTTGGACTGATTACCCTTCTGAATCCCTGCCGCCGAGTTTCAACCCTCACCGCCTGTTTCTACTACAGTTGCATCACAGCAACAATCTGAAGAGACTCTGGCTCGGGAATAAGGTGAAGATTAATTTACCGTCTATAATCAATGAATGCTTCAGTCACTTGGTATAATTTCCATGACTATGGGTTCTCGAAATACTTTTTACTGATCTCTTTTCCCTTTTTTGTTGCTGGAAGACAATGCCATGCCTTACTTGCATGACACTTTACGGCTGCGTCAATCTGATTGATACCCCAGATTTTACCACAACACCTAATCTCGAGATACTGTCACTCGACGGCTGTGTGTCCCTGCTTGAGGTTCATTCATCATTTGGACGTCTCAAAAACCTTGTATTCGCAAGTTTCGGATGGTGCGAGCGTTTGGAGGTATTGCCGAGTCTTGAAACGACGTCTTTGGAGTTTCTTAGCCTGCAAGGCTGCTCAACGTTGAAGAGGTTCCCGAAGATTGAGGGCAATATGGACCGCTTGGCTGAACTCCGTCTAGAAGGTGCTGGGATAGAAAAACTAGATGCAACAATTGGACGATTGGTTGGCTTGACAAAATTAAACCTTGGGCACTGTGAATGTCTCACAAGTCTGCCAGACAGCCTAGGTTGTTTGACTTTACTTGCAGAGCTTGATCTAAATGGTTGTTCTGAACTAGAAGATTTACCTTCGTCCCTACGGCTTTGTCTTTCCCTGGAGTATCTGCGGGTGGAAGACTGTGCAAAGCTTCGGTCTTTGGGGGAGCTTCCACCATATATCCTGCGCTTGAAAGCCAAAGGTTGCAAGTCCTTGGAAGGAATTCCAGATACAATCAACCTGCGCAGCAATAGAGTGGATATTGATTGCCGACAGTGCTTCAAATTGGATCAACCAGAGAGCTTAGGTTGGAGAAAGCTTCAAAGATACCTCCAGGTACTATTACTATACAGTACACTAATAACACTTAGCAGAGTAATTTATTGTCATAATCCTTATTTCCACTGTATCCCTTTCATTCTTTTACGCACGTCTCAACTTACAGGGCGCACCTAATCCAGAACAAGAATTTGGCATTGTGACTCCGGCTGGAACCAACAAGACAATGGATATCCCAGAGTGGTTGTTGTCATCTGGCCATCGGTTCCGTTGGGGTGTACTAGAGCCGCCTCCTGATGACATCATGAACGATGTTAATAATCCGGAATGGATAGGGACTGTTCAGGTTGAATGCTTCCGTGTAGTTGACTTTGATGATAGCTACATCGAACCTCCCTGTCAAGAACGTTGCATTTTCTGTACGCACCTAAATCGTCGACATGTGGAACGGCAGGGTCGTGCTGAAGAAGAAAGGCACATTTGGTTGTCCTACGTTCCTAAGCGTTCTATGGGATACTACATGGAAAACCCTGCTCCGGTAACTGAAAGCTATCCGGTGTTTGTGTGCCCACACGTAGCTAGGGATTGGTGCGAGTATATCAATGTGTACCGTCACCAGATTGAAGAGTGGAAGAAACAGGACAGCATGAGATAGATCCTTCTACGATGATGCTTGCCTGCTCGGAGTAGTCTTCGTAACAATGATGATGATGATGACGACTTCCGGAGCTAGATTTGTTTTCGAGTTGGGGAGATAAGGTACGAAAAGTAAACATGTTGTGTTTTTCTGCAATCATTTCATCGTCTCCGTGCTTGCTTTTATAGATGGCCGATTAACATTTAGTCTAATGGAATGGATTTTCCTTTCAGGTAACTAAACTTACACAAGCTGCAGCCAGTAGTATTGGGAACAAGGGCGGAAAGGTCTTGAACAAGTCAAAATACAGAAGATGGCACTTTCATTCGCTTACAACCAAACCACCTTGGTACAGAACAATGCTGGAAATAAGCGTTGGCACAAAAAAGAGTTATGAAAATTGAAAGCCAAACACTGTCAGGAACCGTTCGGGTTCTCGAATTGGATCAACCAGAGAGCTTAGGTTGGAGAAGGCTTCAAAGATACCTCCAGGTACTACTATCGCTATACTGTGCATTACGTTTATCTCTCTTTATTATTCCGTGGTAGAAGTAACGTGGTCATCAAACTCGTAGATTTGTTAAATCGGATATTTATCTTTAGTTGCTAAATTAATTCCAACGATTAGTTGTTGTTCAGTCATTTTCCTACACTGTATAACACAACCGAACAGCTCCTTATGCTAACGTAACAGCCACATAAGTTCTAGAGTGCTAGTATCTATGCCACATAGATCAGCTAGTAGATGTGCAAAGCAGGACATTAGCTATCTCTACTTACTCCCTGTAAGGTTACTCATTTTCGGACTTTTTCCTAATAGTTGGAGTTAGCATCGATCAGGGCATATGAGTCGAACTTTGTTTGAGCACAGCATATAATAATGAAACAATGTAGAATCCGTTTTTTGAGCATTTCTCAGAAGCTCGAGTTTGTCAAGACGAACTGGTTCATGCCTCTCACCTACTTGGATTATGTTTTAGCAGTTGGCCTCCTTTGTATATATGGAGCCGATTAGTGAACTCCTCAACCTTGTAGATATGAATGGCTAACGTGGATTCATCTAATTGAGATTAGTGCTTCGATTGTTGTCTCAAGATTGGGTTTACTACAGCAAAATTTCAACACATTTGGTTTTGATTGAATGACTAAATTGATATTTAACTCCACTTCCATTAATTGGTTATATATTCCATTCCGCAGGGCATTCCCACTCCAGAGAAGGCGTTTGCCATTGTTACTCCGGCCGGAATCTAGAAGGAGATGGGTATTCCTATTCCAGTGTGGCTGTTGAAGATTGAATCCAGTGGAGTTCTTTGCAGACGCCGGCACCTGATGATGGTGGCATCGGTGATCACCTGAATGATGCTAGTAATCCATATTGGATAGGGACTGTGGAGGTCCTTTGCTCCCATGTAGTCGGCTTGTATAATGGTTACTAGAGAATTAGCCCGTGCTACGCAACGGGATTTGATTCGTAATTCGTTTACTCTGTTGTTAATGTTGAATAATATAATTTGATCGTGCGTGTGTTTATTTTAATGTTGTAAAAATCGATATTCATAGTGTTTGTGGTTTATCGGAAAAATATTACAATGAAATATAATGAAATTTCACAAAAAAAGAAATGACAATGGTCTTGGCATGCCGATAATTTGGTTGACATTATCATTTGTAGCGTATTGAAGTTCCTTTAGTGGAGAGCTCACCGATAGTTGTTGTGGTGCATCCGATATAGTGATCTGGAAAACCAAAAGGAAGTGCAACTTGATTAGAACCCAACACTAATTTAATATCACGCTAATGATAAAAATAAATTATATCGTCGATAGTCTTAATGACCTACTTTGTACCAGTATAAATTTTTGCTGTATTCGATTATGTACCTCTATAAATGTTTGTTCTATTTGGTTTTATTCCATCATTAGACAATTGTAACTTAGAAAAGGTTGGCTTCAATGCACGTTGTTCTTGGCATGGTTAACACATTGATAATGTTTATGAAAAAATTCTAGTGATAAATTATAAATCAAACTTGAGTTGCTAACCCATTTATAATTATATACGTCTTGTGGTTTTGGCGTATATATTATTTGATTATTAGTAATGTTCGGCAAAATTTGGTTACCTGTGAAAGAGTATGAAAGGAGTCCCTTCTTATATATCCTGGTTCCTGAACTGCTCACTATCGGAGTCCATGTCATCTGTATCATTTATAAGCACATTCATTGGTGAATGAATGTAAGGGAGGGTGAGAAATAATTATAGGCTATTTAAATTTATTTACCTGTGTGTGATGTCGGTGCGGTGTGCACATCAGCAAATGTCTCGTGATATACTATATTTCTAGTATATGATTGTGGAACTTCCGCCATCGTTGTCAATCAGTATATGCAAGCCGTCAGCTGGTCGTACTCGCGAAACTGCTACGTACAATTGGCCATGACTGAACACCAGCTTAGGCAGGTAGACCTCCACTACATCAAGACTTTGACCCTGCCTAGGGCTGTCAATTTGGTTTGGTTTGGTTAACCAAACCATTAAGTATGAAAAACCAAAAACCAAATCCCAAAAACCAAAACCAAAACCATTAAGACCCTTATTGGTTTTGGTTTTGGTTTGGATAACCAAAAAACCAACATGTACTCATACACTCATATTTATTCCTATTTCTTTTTCTGCCTTAATAGGGACAAATTAATTCGGAGCGGAACTGGAGAGTTTTTCACTTACTCGGAATAATTAGCACAAAAGTAGAAGTCTAATTGTATTCTAATTAAAATATTCCTTATTAGCTTCCCTGCATACAAAATTTCACTTCTTTGTACGGTTAGAGTTTTTCCTTCTAATTAGTCCCATTTTTCGCGTAAAAGAAGAATTACTGCTGATCAATTACATTGAAAGTAAATTTCATGACAATTGATAATAACGTGAGCAAAACAGAAATTCTTGATAATCGTTTTTTTAATTAAAAACCATTCATGATTAGAACTATTACACGAGTATACTAAGCTACTATCATAACCCTTATAGAACCAAAGAGGATCATCTCTTAATGTTGACGCAGAACATAAAGCTTAGATCAGTTCATATACAAATTTAAAGCAATTCGTAATGTCCCCATGGAAATTTGATCTTATACGAAGCTTAGACGTGGTTTTACTCTAAGCTGAAATAAACCCACCTTTTATCAATGTTCATAACTAAAAATTGAAGAAGAAAAACTTACTGAAGTATGACAGTCTTGGGTTCTTGTTCTACTTCATCACATCTGTATCACTCTAAGGTGTGACATCTTCCTTCAATGGTTGTACTGAAGCTCCTGAACAAAACATAATTCATCATATTAGACCTTATTCACTTTTACTTAATTTCATTACATGATAAAATGAAAACTCAATGTACAAAAATCAATGAACTGCTCTTCATACTACTTCAGTAGTCCTTAGCACCCTATTTGTTTCGCATCATCCTATAAGCTAACTACAATGAAGCCTGAACTTAAACACATTTTATTCATAAACATTCCATTTCAATCATACCTGCAAGTATACAATATCATTCAATTGAGTCCCTCCACCTTAATCAGCTTGAACTTCTTGCCCAAAGCCATAACCTTATAATCAGATGTTTTAATGAACTCGTTGATGTTCAGTCGATTAACATGATCGCTCAGGCTATCCAAAATCGTGATTACCTTATAATCAGATCTTTTAATGAACTCGCTGATGTTCAGTCGATTAACATGATCGCTCAGGCTATCCAAAGTCGTGATTACCTTATAATCAGATCTTTTAATGAACTCGCTGATGTTCAGTCGATTAACATGATCGCTCAGGCTATCCAAAGTTGTGATTATAGTTTCTGGCGCTATTTTCATCACGACTACTACAACAACTGCACAAACCCAAATCTGTTTATCAATTCCCTACTTGCCAGATACGAAGATACCCAATTTCGTCTCTTGAAGAATATCAGTTTAGCAGAGGAGTAGACTGGTAGATAGTGAGAAGCATTTACCGAGTTATTGACTCGTAGAAATCCAGTGATTCGATTTGTTATGGCGGGACAAATCCGGGTGATGAAACGTTGTGGCCTGTGGGTTCTGAAGAGGCATTGTGGCATGTGGGTTTTGAAGAGGCTCCGCCACCACCGCCTGCCGGAGCGAGGTTTCCCGGCGCCGTTGAATGCAATTAGGGGTAACGACTGTGGGTTCTGAAGAGGCTCCTCCGCCGGCGCCATTGGGTAAGGACTGTGGGTTCTGAAGAGGCTCCTCCGTCGCCACCTACCGGAGCGAGGTTCTCCGACGCCGTTGAATGAGATTACGGGTCGGGGTCGCCGCCGCCTGCCGGAGCGAGGTTCCCCGACACTATTGAATGAGATTAGGGATCGGGTGGGTTTTGGTATACGGGAGAGGGGAAATGCAGAGAGCTTTGCACAACCATCCTTTTCTATTTTTTTTATTTTCCTTTTCTTTTAGAATGTAGGCGCTGCCGTTTCTATTTCTTTGGAGGATGTAATCAGGTGCTGCCGTTCCTATGTGAGCCCGTGAACAGTACGGCGAAAATTTCGTAATGAACAGTAACTCCGACTTTTTTGGAACTTGGAACTTAATAGTTCTAACTAATAATAATAATAATAATAATGTTGCTGTGAACCTTGCCTTCTCCATACACAGTTGAATCGTTAATTCGCAGAATGGCAAGCTGTTGCTGAAGAGGAACGCCAACTTTTGGTTGTCCTATACATCCCAAGGGTGCCCTGAGATACGACATTAAGAACCCTGCTCCTGCAAGCAAAAACTACCTGGTGATATTATGCCCGTGAGCGTGGAATGGAGATGGTGCAAGTATGGGAATTTGTACCGTCGCGAGGTCGAAGAGAGGATGAAACAGGACAGTATAGACTATCCAAAAAGCTGGAAAGGATGTAGAGCCAAGAATATCAGCGTGTTACAGCCTAGAAACGATACAGCTCCTCACATTTGATCGAGCAATAGAGCAAAGTCGTAATATCACTCTCACAAACTCAGAGACTAGTACCGACAAATTACTTATTACTTCGGACTTTTTTTCCCTGTACTGCATCGCTTCTATTCCCAAGGCAGTTCACTCGGGCAAGTCCCATTAGACATTATAAAAACACATCAATTCAAGTTAGCTGCAGCCAGCAGTACAGACTATACAGAGAACATAAAGCCAGAAAGTTTCATCAAGTCAAGATACAGAAGATTTGACACTTTCACTCACTCGAAACCAAACGACCTTTGTATGGAAGAAGCGCTAGCACAAACAGTTATGAAAGCCAAAAGAGAACACTCCACTCAGGCAATTCGAGATTCGAATGCAATTGCCACCATCCAATGTTCCCACGGACTAAGATGTACAAAGAGTTGCAACTTGGAACAGTGAATCGGCAATGCCTTTTTCAGTGTGGCTCGCTCTTGTTGAATCAACTGTTTGGCAGTCTCATCACAACTTCTGATGGAGGTCGCAGAGTGCAAACCATTTCTTTCGTCTTCCCAAAATATACCTGCCGTGGCAACAGCATTTGATCAAGGAAATTAATCAATTACTTAATAGTTGTCCCCTTATAATAATACTTTTAAGACCCGGCATATGGATGGTAAGCAGTCACTAGGAGAAACAGTGAGATTTTACGAAGACCCAAAAACAATTTAAAATTGTATACTGAAATCTGAAATCACAAAATCCCAAGATTTTGCTGAACAACTGATTCTACAACAAGATTCGACAAAAATTTGTCCCTCCAGAATCGTGAGACGGAAAATCGGAGTCGACATGTATTCTAGAAACCAGAAATCTGAGCCGGCATTTTAATATGGGTAACGAGCTATGATCAGAAAACAAAGAAACAAACAAATGTCTGCGCAGCACATACCTGATCCAGAGAGTTTCTGAGCTTGCCCTCCATCTCCTCAATCATCTTCCCCATGTTACAAAGGTGGCCATCAGCCAATGGGAGATCCATTGTCATCTAGTCAGAAAGCAAAGATAAAGTTTGTGAAACAAATGTACATGTGTCATTCCTTGACCTGCGGGACATGAGCAACAAAGACAACTACCTGCCGCCTAATGGATCCGGACAAATTAAATGTGCCGGAAGACTCCTTATCAGTTGTCAGTGACAGCATCACGGTGCTAGTTAAACAATAACGGGTAGTTTCGTCTTCTGGTCCAACCTAAACAACCAAACTTGAGTTGTTACAGGACATATAAATAAAGAATAGAATCATAAGTATCAAAACAACAAGGCCACAGAACCCATGGAAGTCCCTACCTCAATGACATGAATGGCTTCCCACAACCCTTCCTGCAGATATCCCCTTCTTCCATGTGCTGTCCTAGCGCCATCTTAATACTCACAATAGATAAGTTAGATAAGGAGAACTGGGTCAATACTACTGCTCCATTTATGAAGGGTTGGGAAAACCTCACCTTTTTTTATCAGAAAGCAAGCCACAAAACCTTCGTTGTTATCCTCCCACAAGTAAACAGATGAGATACCGCCTTCGTAATACCTACCAAAATTAAGTGGTTGATCAAACAGCTAAACAATTTCACAAAAGTAATATAAAACAGAATGGCAAGGCAATTTGATAACTAGATTATTCAAGATGGAAAAATAAGCTGATATAATTGAAGGAAGAAAAGGGAGGAGTCTAGATCCATTCGACACTGATAATAAGTTGAAGGGGTGTGGAGGTGATTAGAAGAAAAAAAAGGTTCAATCAAAGACGAGGTGAGTAAAGGACCTCACTGGTCACGATAAATGGCGAAGACTTCATTTGCTTCAACCTCCAGTTTCCTCAGCTCGTCAGAAGGAAGGAGTGCATCTTCCAATGGGGGGTGGTATTTGTTTGACCATGGTGACCTACAAGACAGCATATGATCCTGAAAATCATTCACCATAAAATTTCCAAGTACATGACAGAGAGCAGTAAGGTGTGACAGACGATATATAGAAGAACAACAGATTCTAAGGGTAACCATTTTGCTTCAATGACCAAACATCACTGAAGGCAGATAAATACAAACCTACCAAAACGTGTCTTCCCTACAGATACGAATAATGTTCATAATCAGAGAATCTAAGTCCTGCAGGAACCATAGTAACAAATTAAGCCTTTCATTATCAGTCTCTTTAAAGATCAAACATAACTAAGATCTTTGGTGCGCAGGAATAACACCATTTCTTTAACCAAAGCGACTTGAGTCCGGATTGACATAGCTTTACTGAGAGAAAACTATCCTGTGGCTTATTCAATAAGCCCAACTACCATCCATAAAGGCCAATCACAAATGCATGCAAGTAACCCAAGTCGTGGTCCTTATAAGAATCCACAGCATTGAATCATGAATGGCACCAACCAAAAAAACAAAAAATAAGTCTTCCAGAAGCTGCCAACATCACAGTCCCTACACTAACAACAGCTCAATTCAGACATCCAACACCTACAATTCTAATAAATGAAGAGCTACATAATACCCACAACCATAAAAGAACTAGCAAAGTACCTGTAGGAATCAGCATCTCTGTTGTACTCGCACAATATGAACTCCTTCCCACTCTCGGAATCACATAGAACCTGTAATTTCCCCTTCCCAAGTTAGTCACCTTTGCAAATTGAAACACCGCCTCAACACCACAAGAACTCAATATGCTTTAACCAATCATCCACTTGGAACAGCCGCGCGCGATTACTGGAGGAATTCGGCAGCATTCACAAGTTCATCTCAAGCAAGAGCTGGAAAAGATACAATATATAGCCACAGACGGCCACAAAAATCTAAATAGCGGTAAAATTCACATCAAACATTGCAAGATCTCCGCTAACTCTTCTTCCTTATGAATTATATACAGAGAAGAACAAGTCCATGGACATGAACAGCACACAGACTCTCATTCCGGATTTTCACTCCATTTTGATACCGTCTTTTTCTCAGGAAACAATCGGTGGAGTCCAGGAGAAGAAACAGCTAACTTAAAAAATCGTTCGCGCACACAAAACCCTAGCGGTAGACAACAGAATCGAAACAGCCATCGCAGAAAGAGAGAGAGAGATGGACCTGAAGAGGCTGATCGACTTGGGAGAGGAGATCGGAGGAGTGGTTAGGCAGGAGGCTGACGAGAGCGGAGAGCGCGGTGACGGAATGCTTCGGAGGTATCCTTCTCATCAATCCTAGCGCCGCCTCCATTTTTCTTTTTACCGCCGTCCGTCCGTTCAATAGACAAATGAGAGAAACTGCCGGAGAATGAGAAATGCGTACAGATAACTGCGAGAATCGACTGGCCGGCAAACCGAGGATCTTTGTCTCTCTCTCTCTCCGACGATCTTGATTTTGAATTCTTCAGATCTTTCTTCTACTTTCTTATCGGAGAGGGAAGAAATGAGAGTATGAGAGAGAAAGAGATGAGTGAAGAAAGAAAGAAAGAAAGAAAGAAGAGAGCGTCTGTCTGTTTTATTGTTTCTCATCCGAATTTCCCTCCACAGTCCACACTTGTCCCAGGCCCTAGCTCGAGATTTTAGGCCTTAGTACACCATCAAGGAGAATACTTGATTGATAGAAAGTACACACTCAAGCAACGGGAATTCACCAATTACATGAGCCAAAACTCAATGGACAAGGGTAATAATTGATTGATAATTTCATGATTACAACTCGACTTTAAGGTTTTTAAATAAAACAACTAAAACTTGAACTCAACTGCTCTACTATCAAGAAACACAAGGCTAACCAGTTTAATGTCTCCAAAGCACTCATAGGGGGGCACATAGTCGTCTCCAAAAATACGTCATAGAGTACTACCTATTGTCTCGTAACACAGTTCACAGGGAACGACTTTTTATCTCCGAAAGAATTGTATGGGGAACGACATATTGTCCCAAATTCATAGAAAAAAGACAATAAATCGATTCACAACTTTTACTTTTTGAAGACGATTATGTGTCCCTGGTATTGGGGACGACTTTAAGTTTTTATTCCCAAAAGAATAGAGGACGAAACCTATATGAACTACTTGTGGAGACGACATTTGTCATCTCCAAAAGTTTTGGAACGACGACAGTGGCTCATGGCCTCATGCATGTGCTCCTATATCTTTTATTCCTGCCTTAATTTTGCTGTGTGTTTTGGATTCTTTTGCAATGAAAAGTCTATAAAAGCACATTCGAAAAAACTATGATTGGATCAATGCGGCGGAGTCAAAAAGAAAACTTGATTGGTCGCAATTTAGTTGATTGTAAGTTTTCTGTGTGTTGTACTACTACTTACTACTACCTATTAGGCACATATCATCCAAAGTTTTCTGTGTGTTGTACTACTACTTGTTGTGGCATTTCAGTGTGCGACAACATTTGACTACTACACAGTTGCTCTCTGGTGGCCTGCTGGGAGATGCCACGTCAGAGACTTTTCATGCTACACGCCAGTGCGCAACTATTTCACAGTTCATGGCCTCTTACCATTCCTCTACGGATGTAAGAATAAAATTATTTTCAAAATTGATAAACACTTTCATTAGCTTTGCTTAGTGTCTTAGTTATTACGGAAGACTAATGTAACACATTTGTTCGACTGATACATAAGAAGTAACTATCCCTTCAACGTTCATAAGGTTTACAAAGTATATTTTAGTAATTGTTATATAACAGTGTTATATAATCTTCTGTAATGTGTGGTCTAATAATAGTGAAACTCCAATAAATAGTACTTTTGTCTTCATGATTTCTTTATTTTGTCGTGATGAACGGTAAACTATTGGAATAAAACTTGTGCTTTTAATTAATTAATTAATCAATTCTTCTTATCTTCAGGTCGTCTTAATTCTTATACTGATATCTTTTTAAACTAATATAATTACTTTATCTTCCATATATACCACGCAGAAAGACCTAAGTAACCCTGATCAATCATTTTGGCAGTACTAGTGGAACAAGCACGACAGTTGCTCCCAGCTGGCCCCGTATGATTACTTTACAGAGATCCTCAGGCTGTATGCAGATATCGACCTCCTTAAGATGTTGATTAACCAGAACATTGTACCAGGAGGTACTTACGCGGCAAGGGATTATCGGGCCGCAGTGCCAAATCATAATGCATCCATCAAGTGCGAGCGAGATGCTAATGGAAGGTACTTTCTAATAGAGATCCGCCTTTGCTACGACGTTGTCACTGCAACCGATGCCTTGCCCCTACTCGGGGTTCGGGTCCTGCGGAGGACCCCTGAGTCCAGTTGACTTCATCCCAGTTTAGTCCCCAAGAATTTCAGTTCTACAAGGTAGCGGGTGATGTGATTGTTCTGCCAATTAAATAAGAAGAGAAATGTTGCATTATAGCATCAGTGCGCCTTCTCGGCGAGTTTGGGCTTAGTAATTAGGGAATTATTATAAGTTAATTGTTAGGTTATTATGGTTATATGGGATATTCGTATTAGTTTATTGTGTCTTGTTGAACAAGTTATTATTTACTTGTTGGGATAACATTGACTTACCTTGTTTGAGAGGGAATGTTTTGTGAGAGTAGTCTTATAAATATGTACATTGTGTCGTTGTTCTTCCTTTTCATGAATGTGATAGGTGTACGTGATAGGTGTGATCATCACTCACAATCGACCCACCACACAATTATCAAAAGGAAATAATAATCTATTTATTTCCAACATAGAAGAATATTATTATTTAGCAAAATTCTTGTGATTATTTAATGTCATATTCACTTCCCGTTTCGTTTACTATTATTTGTTTAAAAAATAAAAATCGAGAAACAAATGACAAAAAACAGTGTTCACTTGTCCATTTCATTTTCGTTGGAAAAGCCAATTGTTACAAATGAGAAAGCTTTGGGTAAACAATAAATACTCATTTTCTAGAAACAAGAGGACGGGCTATTCCCTCCTTTCCCAGTGGAAACCATGCACTATTTATTAATGAGATCTCACATTCGAATCACCGCGGCCACTATCTTTTTCCTTTTCCTCTTTGCTCCTATACGGCCTTTTTCAACCACCATAACCCTAGAAGACCTCTCTACCTCGCTCAACCTCTCTTCCCATAGCAGTCCGACCGACATCTCCCTCTCCCTCCAGCAAACACCCCCCCCCCCCCCCACCCACTTCCTTCTCCACCCAAACCACCACCAGCCCCATCAACTTTCACCGCCAGCTTTGTGTCGCCATCATCTATCCCCACATTCGGATCTTCCTCTTCTTACTAGCAACCCATTCCTGCTAACAAATAACATTTGGTATGTGTCACCAAAGAGTAGTCAACCCCTACTTGGCATAGCTCCTAGCAGTTAGAGATGTTATCACCATCGTCGCCTCAAGATCCTTGACTCACATGATAGTGGAAGGTGATTCTGATGTGGTTGTCAACCAGATCCGGCAAGCTATCCTAGAAGGTTCCTTTGGAGGTCCAGTGCTCCGGGAGTGTCGTAAGATCATATACTCTTTGTCAGTTTGTATAGAGTTTAAGGCGGTTTCTAGAGCTGCCAACAGTGTTTCTCTTAGAGTGGCGCGTAAATCACTGCTATGTCTCTCCTATAGTTTGAGTCTTTCAATTTTATTGGGTGGCTTCACTAGGGTTTCACTTGTAGGAGGTCCTGTGTAGTTTTGTTCATATAACTCTTGTACTCTTTTACTTATCACTCGGAAATAAAATAGCAATGTTATGGGCAGACGTATTACAGGAGCGGGGCACATAAAAAAATTCCACCTGGTCAAAACGAGTCTGCAAATCATGAATATCCCCAATAATAAGTAAAAGATTCGTATCCGGTGATGGCTGATGCCGTGATGCATGCACTACATTAACACAATCAGATTCAACAATCACCTTAGGGAGACCAGCCTGTAAAGCCACTTGTAATCCCAGCCGCATCGCCATAGCTTCACTTATCTCCGGGGTAAAAGAAGTGGACAAACGATGAACAGCTCCCATCAAAATATTCCCCATATGATCGCGAATTCATGGTCCTGAAGATTATCGGGATCTTACATTTGTGAATTCATGCAAAGATACTATCAAGCTTTATCGACTCTGGCGGAGAGACGACCTCGTCCTAATAATTGTTTAGGGTCTTTTCTTCATTCCCACCTTTGTACAGTCTTTTGTACTCGATTGAATCAACATCCATTACATGTCCCCTAAAAAACAACAATTCCCACCACATTGACGTGGTAGTGAAAACGAAGGATTTCATTATTCATTTTCTATTACCTACCAGATAATTGGGTCACACATGAATTTTTTATGACCAAATAAATTTGGTCATCACCCATATTCATTAGAACCTATCAATCGTCCTTAAGTAACCAAAAATCTTGGTTTTTTAGATCTTATCACAACCGAAAAAATATTGGCAATAAATCTCTTATCCCAACCAATTTATTTTTTGAATTAACGAATTATACAGTAACAAGCATTACTACCAACCAATTAAATTGTTATGGATACTCCAATTTTACTATTAATTTAATTATTAAAAAGATATTATAAAACCAATTTATTTATTATTAAATCGATAGTTTACAACGGACACACTACATTATTTTCTAATACAAACCACTTAAATATTACTAAAAACAAATTGCATTAGTCATAAACGACCAATTCTCTGCACCTTAGAACTATTCCTCTTCTCTGCACTTTTCATAATTGTCATGCATTGCTCTGTTCCTGGTTTCAAATGCAAGGGGTCTGATCCGAGATACTGTCTCTTAATCTCATCAGTTGCAGCAAGTAGCAATGCTGTACAGTCATGGTGAACACAAAGAGAAAGAAACATAAGGAATTTAATGTCAGATCTTCAATATAGCTTGACCCCCAAGTCTATTATCTAATATAGCTTTAAACAAGAATGCACTGTCGAAAAACAATGAAGGCAAAGGAGTTGAAGCATATCAAAACTGACATACCTGCCAAAGCAGAGCAGCAGAATCATCCAAATTGCTGCTTGCACAAAGTTAGATTCCCTGTTTAGACAACCAAAGCTGAAACCCAGAAGATCTCAAAGTCCATTATTATCAACCAAACATTATGAAGCAAACACACAGTATGAACCCACAAAATCTCCGAGTACAACAATAGCTGTCACGATTTCCATGGTCTAGCTCCAGCTAACGTTAAAACTTGCATAATTTTTAAAATCAAATCACGAGAAGCAAAAGGTCGCAGATGAAGATTGAAAGGGAGACGATTTACCGCGAACAAGGAGGCCATGATGTAGAAATCAACAAAAATGGCAGCCATCCATATGTTTTATGCAATTGCAAGCAAACAAGAACAAGAAAGAAAAGAAGTTTTGATATGCTTCAAATCCTTTGCCATTATTCATAGCGTGTGCTGAACTCATATAATTCTCGAAATAGAGGGTTCCTTGATGTACTCTCCCAAGGAGTTCCCTCATCGCCAGCATCTTCCACATCTACGACTCGAAGATTTACATGGGTAGAGAAAGCCTAAGAGCCACGACACAGGGTTTCGACGTAGATATCATCAAAGTCGACTAACTACATGAAAGCATAGAATCTCCACAGTCCGTATCCAATCTGGATTACTAGTACCACCACTCGGGTCATCGTCTGGTGGCAACATTGACGTCCCTAATGAAACTCCAATGCATCCGATGCTCTGCTTCAACAGCCACTCTGAGATGCCAGAGAATGGGAAGTGGATGAAAGTGAATGGCGGGGATTTGGAAGAGTAAAACGCCATATAAGAACTCGCAACTCATTAGAGAGAGTATGGTCCTCTCGTGATACGTACACGTACACCTCATTTATGTTCATCAGCAGCGGGAAGTCTCGCGAAACCAGAAGTGAATTCTTAGGCCAATGCTCTGTTCTTTCATTCGACATGAGCCAGGAAGTGTTGGATGCGTGCCAAGGTCGAATTAGAGCCCCCGAGCCAGGACCCCATTGTTGTGGGGTCAAGCTGACGAGATCGTCATGCGATATTTGTGGGGTTAGGCTGACACCCTCCAAATATCAATGATCCTAATCTGTCATGCTTGTCTTTGCTTTTTCCATTCATCGATCTCATGCCGATACACATTTATGTACCGGGACCACTGTATTCTGACGTGTGAGCATTCGCTATCGACGGAGACAGAACCGTCGGTTTTACTGAAAGTGCCTGATAGCAACGAATCCTTGGGAACGTAGGACAACCAGATGTGGCTTGCCTTGGGCGTTACCCGCCTGAATTGTGGCAGAAACACTGACCCGAGATCCGTGTGGAAAGAGCAAGCGTGGTAGTAGGACGGCTCTTGCTCGTTAGGGTAGCATGCATGGAAGCAAACGACGGCAACAGTTCCCATCCAATTGGATTGCGGATCACAGTTGACGATGTCGTCATCAGCAGGAGACAGTGTCGTTTCTCGATTGCCCTGGTTTTGGTAGCTCACCAACCAATCTGGAATTTTCATCTTTTGGTTGGTTCCTGCTGGAGTCAGGATTGTAAACTTCTCCTTTGCATGAGGGTTGCCCTGCACATAATACATTTTTCACATTACATCCCAATTACTCATCATAAGAAGAGAACATATGGAGCTACATAGGGATGAAAATGGAGCAAGCGTCGAGATATTATCGTAAAATAAAAAAAGATCGTTAATTGTAAGATCGAGTCGTGAAATCATAAAATTTAAATTCCGATATATTCGTGAAAAAAATTTTAGAAAATAAACCAATAACTACACCAAATATGTTACTATAGAATGAATGAATAACTATACCAAATATGAGGATAAAAATATAGGAGAACAGAATAGTATGATTTTTTATGGGTAAAAATCCTAACTTCTGAAGAATTTTTCATAAAATCGTAGCTCTGTAAATAAATTACAGTTGTATTACCTGGAGGTATCTTTGAAGCCTCTTCCAAGCTAAGCTGTCAGGTTGATCCAACTTGAAGCAGTCAAAACACTGCATTTCAAACCCATTCCGGAGGTCGATCATATCTGGAATTCCTTCCAAACTCCGGCAGCAGCTCACATGCACCAGTTTAATCTGCTGTGGAAGCTCCGGTAAAGACCGAAGCTTCTCGCAACCTCTCGCCCACAGCTCTCGGAGGCCAACGCAACGACTCAGTGAAGGAGGCAATCCTTCCAGTTCATAGCAGCCTTCCAGAGAGAGCACCTTGAGCGAAGTTAAACATCCCAGGCTGCTTGGAAGACTTCTCAGGTCTTTGCAATTATCAAGCGCCAATTTTTCCAAGCCAACCAAGTGCTTGATTGTTGAATCCAGTTTCTGGATTCCAACGCCTTCTAGTTGGAGCTCGGCTAGGAAGTCCATGTTGGTTGTAATCTCTGGGAAGTTCTTTAGCTTTGAGCACCATTGCAGTCCAAGGAACCTCAAGGAGTTGGTCTCGAGACTAGCAGGGAAAAGCTTCAGGCTCTTGCACCCTCTTAAATCAGCAGAGACGAGTCTTTTGAGATGTCCAAACGATGGATGGACCTCAAAGAGAGACTCACAGCCTTCAAGGCGCAAGACTTCCAGATTAGGCATTTCACTGAAATCCGGGGTCGCAATCAGATTCTTGCAACGATCAAGTATCATGCATCTTAGGTACGGCATAATCTTCCAGCATTCAAACGGGAAAGGTGAAGAAATTTGAAAACCAGTTAGAAAAACTGTGCTCATCATGTAAAGCAGTATGAGGTAACTGTAGAGAAGTGCTCTCACCTTTCTACCGCGCCAGAGTTGCTTTAGATAGTGGCTGTCATTCAAGCGCAATACAAACAGATTGTGAGGGTTGAAAGTAGGCGGCAAAGATTCAGAGGGATAAGACGTCCAGATCAAAACTCGTAACTCATCGGAGAGATGATTTGGCCCTTGTGAGATTTCTGCACCTATTAAAGCCAGTAGTTTTAGGTTCTTCATCTTTGAAAAGGCTTCCTTACTAGAGACTATCTTCTTTGGGTTATGTGGATATAAATGCAATGAGATAGCTTTCACATTCTTACTTCCCTGCAACAAACAACAACAAATCCAGAGAATGTTTAATCCGAGGCCAGCAGCAGACTGCAGTTAATGAAGTAAAACTACTATCTATGGTTCTTAGATTGCTTACCGTTCCCTTTTCAAGCACATGAGAAACATCGTCATACCCCTCGAATCTACTGCGTTCTCCCGGCTCATTCGGACATTCCAACCTGACTATCGCCTTCCCCATCTCTTCTAGCAGATCGTGCATATCAAACCTACCACCTTCAACCATCTTCAACAGTGCCTTATCGAAAAGGTTCCCTATCCCAATCAATGCACCAGTGTAGAGATTCTCAAGAATAGGGATGAAATGCATGCATATCTCATCCATCCAAGACCAATCACAGAAGCAGAACACAAAATCCAGAAAAATATCCTGCTCTTCTTTGTCCAGTGCATCGTAACTCACTCGAAGTACCTCCAAAACTTCCCCGGGTGGGACTGTCTTCAGCGTCTCGATCATGCTTCTGCATTCAGTAACGGTCCTCCCACGAAGTGAAGAACCCAAGACTTCAAGTGCTAGAGGAAGCCCCTGCGCATAACTCACGATTCGCTCGCATACAACTCTGTAGTTTTCAATGGGTTCATCTTGCTCGAAAGCTTCCCGACTGATCAATAAGCGCGCTTCGTCACAGTCCAGCAGCTGGGTCCTGTACATGGAATCCACCTTGTGAGCATTGAGCAAGTGTTGATCTCTGGATGTTACAACGATACGACTTCCCAACCCGAATAGAGAACGCTCCACAGCCAAGTACTGCAGCTGTTTTTGGTGAGTAACATCATCCACGACAAGAAGCAGCTTCTTCCCTCTCAACACCCTCTTCAGCCTTTCGATCCCTCCAAACTCAGGCCAAGACTCGACTCTCGTTATTGTGGCATTCCCAGCAATTTCATCGAACAGCTGCTTCTGCAATTGCAGCAGCCCTCCGTAGCTTTTGGAGGCTTCTCGAACGCGGGCAATGCAAGTGCTGAACTCAAATCTAGAACGAACTGCGTCGTAAACTGCCATAGCGACGGTGGTTTTGCCACTTCCCCCCATCCCGCAGATTCCAATTACACGAACATCGTTCCTTTTAGCTGTTGAGTCTAAACTTAGTAAATTGATCACAGCTCCCACACGCTTGTCAATTCCAACCAGAGGCTTGCTGATGCTTGGAAATGTAGGGCTCAATTCCCTCCATATCTTCCTCACAATGTCCTTTATCATATCCGAGTCATTTCTACAATAAGCCGAATCGAAGCAAATACGGACAAATCAGCGAGCAAATAGATGGATTCAGGATAGCCGAGAATTTAGGTAAAAAATCGTAACTAAGACCTAACCTGTAACGAGAAGTAGTGAATCCAGAGAGATTAGCGACTTCCGTCAAAGCATCTTTCCATCTACGGACCTTTTCATCACCGTCGAAAACTCGATCGTGTGTAGCGAAAGCTTCACCGAAGCTGCTTCCGTTCTTCTGCTTCCTGACATCCGAAGGCTCCACGTCGTAGAAAACCGGAACGACTCTTAGCTCATTCTCCCTCCAGCAATGGAGAATGTGAACCAGCTCGTCCAGACACCAGGTGGAGGAAGCATAGTTCTTGGACAGCACCACGACCGCAATTCTGGATCGCTCGATCGCCTTCAAAAGCTCCGGCGCAATGGATGCGCCTTTCTCGAGGCTGAACTCGTCCTTGTAGACGAGCGAAATCCCTAGCTTGTCAGAGAGAGCGTCGCAGAGATGGCTGGTGAATCCCCTACGAGTGTCTTCACCTCTGAAGCTCACGAACACCTCGTGTCTGCCATGGTTAGCGGCGGAGGAAGGCCACGATGAAGTAGAAGGGAATGCCTTCGTCATATCTCTGCCTCTAATGAACCGCGACCAGTGATCGGTCAGGATGGAGAAAGTTCAGCGTTGATTGTTGAAGAACACGGTCCACCGGAAGTCCGGAACTCCAATGGAGGAAAGGAAGTACAAGTACAGAGAGGAGAGAAATACAATCCAGCTTTCATAAATAAAAAAAATATAATCCAGCGTCAAAAAATGCCGTTTCTATTCGCGAAAAGCCAAAGTCTTTCTTGACAAAGGAGACTTTTCATTCCATGGAAGATCAAAGTCGCCTGGTTGACATTAAAGGTTGGTTTTGGAAATTGCGATTGTTAAATAAATGTATTGTTAAGAATGCATGTATAATATTATATATATATTGTCGAATTTGATACATTGTAGAATACAATGTTTGGTATGTGTGATTGTGTATGTCACATCAGCTAAAAGCTAAGACAAAACAATCTCAACTCAACAATCACAACTAAAAGTTTAAATATAACGATCACTCAAAATGAATGATAGTTTATGTCACATCACAGAAACAATCCATGTATTAACAATCCATGTATTGTTTCTGCTAAAATACAAAAAAAACGATGCATTGTAAACAATACATGCATAATGACAATCTCAACAAAACAATCACAACTTCCAAACTACCCTAACAATCCATGTATTGTTTCTGCTAAAATACAAAAAAAAAAACGATGCATTGTAAACAATACATGCATAATGACAATCTCAACAAAACAATCACAACTTCCAAACTACCCTAAGTTTCATACTCATCCAAATTCTCTGAGAAGCGGATAGTTGACAAAGCAGCATATTGAGAAGTTCATAGCTACTACTCGAATAATAAACGTTCGATATTTTGGTGAGTTGTAATGCATGCCATAATCATATTCGCTCGAGAACTGAAGCTGAATTACTTAACTAACTAGGCTAGCATCGATTCATCCCAAAAGAAAAACACCAAGAAACACAAGGCACGATTCAACAGCAACAAGCAAACGTAGAGAAGGCAATCATATATATGGTCCGAACTCAGCGTAAGAAAAACCATCCTCAAACCACTGTAAGAAAAGTAGACAACAACCAAGACGTAGAACCACATAGTGAAATAGTATACTTCTGCAAACTTCGCATTAGGGGCAGCACAAAGTAGAGGACAACAACCATAGGCTAAAATATGTAAAAAGGACAGCACGTCCGGTTCTGTAAACATAGAGACCCAACTATATGATGAATACTATCCCTTCATCAGTAGAGGGCGTCTAGTGCTTAAACCCAAAGTTCAATGAGATGTCCTCCACCCAAACAAAACCGTTCTTCCCCAGATGCATAACGAGATTCAAAAATGTTTTCGCCCTTGAAGCTTTGTATACCATAAACCTCCCCTCCTGGAACAGGGAAATTGAAACGGATTGGAAGCAGATCAAAAGAAAGTAAAAACAGCTGCAGCAAAACATAAACAAACAAATCCACTCTGCAAATCTTATGATTTTGCAGGAGATTCAACCCGGAACAAGCTCAGGATAGAAAAAGGTTGAACTGCAATATTGAGGTGATGGAGAAGAAATTGGCAGTACCTGAATTAAAGTAGCGAATTTCTTTGTCTGAGCACTTGGCAGCAGGGAGCTCCGCATCCCGAGCCGCAGGTGGACCCGCGACCGGCACGCCTTCTGCTGGTGCAGGCACTTGATCGTCCCTGCAATCCTGCACCAGCAGGACCGTAGATTTGGCTGATTGCTATTCAGAATCGTACACTTCTCCATCATCAGAAACCTCGTCAAACGACCTCATGTCCACCTGGTAGCGCAAAATGCCACCAATACCACCAAACCCTCTGCAGAACTGGGACCCTTCCTGGGACTTGTTTGTAACAAACTCGAGTGTGCAGCCGAATCGCTTGTACTCATTAGCAAACCACTCTAGCAGAGGCAACTTCTCCTGAACCTCGAGCTCGACATTGGTAGCTGCATCCCTAAAGTTGCTTTCGTTCATCTCTTGCTCCTTGGTAAAATGTTTTATTACAATCTCGCTCGTTGCAGTGTTCTTCAGCTCATACCTGTTAACATCCAAATTCTCCCAAACAATGAGAATCTCAACAGCGCCCATATCCAAAGCTGCCAACGTGTCATCAACACCAAACACGTATTTCCCAGTATCTTGACTAATCTCCTCAAAGTACTTCCCTATCAGCCTCTTCTCCTGAATAAACTTCACATTGGAGAGAATCTCTGAAGACAGCTCGATTGCCTGATTGAATCCGTTCTCCCCGCCATAAGAGACATCCACCACATTCAGAATCTTGACCTGAAGTCGAGCATCGAACATGTCAGACTGACTCAGCTCAGTCTTGAAGTCGGCCGAACCAGCCAGTATAAGACCCGATACATTAGGCTGACTTGTTGAAGGATCTATGAAGAATTGTGTCGCCAGCTCAGCAGTCTTCCTCACATAGTTGTGGCGCTTCTCCATCCGGAGCCTAGCAAATCGAAGAGCAGACTGTCCTCCTCTTCCGTGCTTCTTAGGCAGGTCAACTGAGAACTTATGGAGGATTTCTCGGGTATTGCCACTCAGTGTTCCAAACAGGGTACCATTACCATCCATGACAATGAATCCAAATTTGTCATCCGACTCTAGAAGTTCGTTCAGGGCTTCAGTATGGAACTTGTTGTCACAGAGGTAAAGAGATGCATTGATGGGCCTAAAGGGCTCAAAATCCATAGTCACCTTCTTCTCTTTGCCATCATCAGTGACAATTGTTCCAGTGTAGAGCACAAGACCATTAGGTGGGACCTTATTGTAGAGTTTCAGCCTTTGCTGAGCAGACGTGATGGCGCCCAGAACAGATTGACGGTTGACCCTGCTCTTGATGTTTGAAGCAGTTCCATACTCATCACCAAGCATCTTTGCAATACGAGAGATTTGGTCGCGTGGAGGTATGACGAGGGAAATCATGCTTGTCCCATTGCCTCTGGCAGCTTCCAGAGACTTGATGAGCTTCTTGATCTTCCAGATCTCAATGTTCTTATCATCACTGTCAGCCATCGTAAGGGATCTGAAACAAACACTTGACTTGTTAAACAGCAAGAAAAAGAAATCGAGAGACTTCTTGACAAATAATTAAAAGTAGAGAACCAAGTATACTGTAACTGAGCAAGCAGAATGAACAGATACCCATTGCAAACAGAGCAGATAAGAGCGTCCAAGGAGAATAAACTAGTTGCAGAAAACTTAACGCCAGCAAACAATCAATTCAGAACACTGATATTCAGATTGGTTCCATGAATAACAAAATAATAATATGATCAGTGAAACTCAAGACAACCAATAAAAGCAAATTAATTCCCTGTTTTATGATAAGCTTTTCAAAGTTTAGGCCAGAAATTCAGAATCTAAAGAGTCAAAATCTGTCGAAGGCCACACATATCAGCAAATCAAACGACGATAAAGCTAAGGAATCATTCACAAACCCTATTCCATTTCAGCCATGCAAAAAAAGGTTCCAATCCTAATCCTTAGCCTTCCAAATTCTAGATCGATGAACGTTTCCTTGATTCAGTTTCTCCCAAACTGACCAGCTTGAGAAATCCACAGGAATTTCCGATTCACATCATAACAACACAATTTAACATGAAAAACGAACCCAAGATGCATAGAATTCACAGATTCTAGCTATGAAAGAAGGAATTACCGTAGGTTCTCAAAGAGTAGGGGGGGTCCTTCTCCGCGACGGCGAGCGTTTGGCGCAGAGCCGCAGAGAAAGGGGGCGAGATGGAAGTGAGAAAAGGAGGGACACGGAACTTGGGTTAGGGTTTCAGGAATAACCTAGGGGCAAAAATCCAAATAAATAACTTATTTTTCCTTTAATCATACGGTCTCGACGATATTTTAGAGGGAATTTGAAGTATCTATCTATCTATCTATCTATAAAATATATAAAGCACTTTCAGAATTACACCCATGCCACATCAGCCTTCCGCTGCTCCCCTTAATTTTCGCTGTTCCTTCTTCTTTTTTCCTTTTCCAACCGTCGGCTCCTACATTTTTGCACTGTTTCCCCCTTTTTATTTAACCGTTCTTTCTCGGTTGTTTCTTCCAATTTTTTTTCTCTCTCGATCGCTCTTACTCAAAAGGCCAGAACAATATCTCCATAGCCTGCTTCTTCGGCCTCAAATTCTCCTGTGTACTTCCGTTCTAATCAATACCCACCAATGATGTTCCATTCTTATGCGATCGATCAGGACGGGGACGAGTGAGGCGTTCTTCCTCTATTCGGTCGATGCTCGTGAAAGGAAACGACGCGGCTTAACAGTCGGCGACTCGGCGAATGCGGCCTGAAAAGTCAATACCTCGGTAAGCCCTCAACATCTTCGTAATGATTCTTCAGTCCCTGTTCTTACGAGTTTGCTCACCCTTTGCCTTGCAAATCTGCTTTCTGATTGACATTCGTTGGTTCATTCTTTACTTCCTCTCTTCTGTCGTTAGTCGGGAAAGGCAACGACGCGGACAAATTGTCGCCGACTGCAGCCTGCGAAGCCAAGAGTCTCTTGGGTTAGCCTTCAACATCATCATAATGATTCTTGAAGCCCCATTCTTACGAGTTTGTTCAGCCTATGTCCTGCAAATTTGCTTCCTAATTGACATTCGTTGGATCATTCTCGGCTTCCTTTGTGAACAAGTTGCAAACTTTATTATCAATCACAGTAAGATAAAGTGATTCACGAAGCTTCTGTTTGAAATTTTAGGTAGGGTTGATTAGAAATAGACGCTAATGTTCCAGTTGTTGATTCTTTAATTTAATCAATTCGTTATTAGCTACTGCATATGGTGTAATTCCCCAAATATGGCTTCACTGTTTTGTAGTTGCTGATGTAGTTGTAGCCTTTGATCTTAGTTTACCTATTAATCGTGTCGTAATTAAGAGCTTTGTCTCAAAAACATAACTAATGTAGTTATGCAAAAACTATAATCAATCCAAATTGAAACTACACTTGCATAACATTGACGACTATTATACCTACTAAGGAAGGTTCCAATAACCTTATGCCCACTGCTGCTGCTATTTCTCCACCTTCATCCCTCATTGTGGGCAATCCAGATTTATTCCCTCCTGCCATCATTTAGTTTTGGTTCTTTCTAATTTGATAGATTGTATTGCCTTTAGCAACTCTTCATTAGTAATATGCCATTACAATCATGTTCATCTTTGCCTGGACTGTAATTCATCTAATATATTTGCAGTTGGTGTATTTTCCAGGTTTTTTTTATTTTCACGAGGTCTTGGCCATTTAACAACCAGAGCCAGCAAGCCCCAATTGAATCTCCTCTCCTGTGTAATATTCCAGAACAACTAGATCCTCCACACATGACACTACAACACAACTGGAAGCAGCAAAAACAGACTATCTACAGCAATGCAACTTATTTGCATAAACTCCCGTTCCAAAATTAATTACATATACCTGTTGCTTTGCAAGCAGGGAGAAAGCTACGAAGTTATAGCAAAAGTTGGAGATGTGAGGGAAGATTGGAGCTACATAAGCTGCACTACATAAGCTGCACTAAATATTGCCGCTTGAAATGCATCCTCAACACCCTCCATGTATTCCGAGATAACTTCACCAACTCACAACAACAATTATAAAATCTTTTTGCTACAGATAACAAAGCTATAACCAAGAACAAAATTGCAGGTACTGAGTCACTCTATTAGTGAAGGACAATATAGGCATACCCAAGCTTTTTCTACTAGGCCATATGGGCAACTCATGAGGGTACGTACGTAAAGAAGGCCTGTTTTCCATAAATGTCGACTCCATGTTGCATACTATATACACATAAGTAGAGCTTGATAAGAACATTCAATCCATTGTTGTCCAAGTAGAGCTTAGATAAGATATATCCATTGTCATCCAGGTAGATTTATGCATTGCAAAACAAGATTTTTTGAACCTTCCCCACTAGAAAAAAGATATTACTAATTAAACAGTTATGCAGGAGGATGAAGAACAAAGAAACACCACCAACAAGTAAATTCCTCAGCATCAAACTCGACAAAGCAATCTGTCCGCCAATCAACCCTTTGTTTTCAAGGCAGTAAAAAAAGTACAGGGGCTGGATTTGTAGCAAGAGTCTCCCTCGCCATTCAACAACATTTATCATGATTCTAACTCATCTGATTCTTCTGTAACTAATCAAATTCAGCAATTCAATCATTTCAATTCCATTCTATTTCCTACACTTCTCCACATCCGGAAACCAATGAGGAAAGGAAAATCAAGTTCGAAATAAGGATGGGGCGTAAAGAGGGAACTGCCTGCCACTGGAGACTATCTGGCACCGAGAGGGAACATAGGGGTCGTTTGGAAGTTGCGATTGTTAAATAGATGTATTGTTGAGAATGCATGTATAATATTATACATGTATTGTCGAATTTGATGCATTGTAGAATACAACGTTTGGTATGTGTGATTGTGTATGTCGCATCAGCTAAAAGCTGAGACAAAACAATCTCAACAATCACAACTAAAAGTTGAGATATAACAATCACTCAAAATGAGTGATAGTTTCTGTCACATCAAAGAAACAATCCATGTATTGTTTCTGCTAGAAAAACAAAAAAACGATGCATTGTAAACAATACATGCATAATGACAATCTCAACAAAACAATCGCAACTTCCAAACGACCCCATATATACATGGGCGTCGTGATAGACCACTATTATTGAATATATTATGCAAATTAGGACATCAGTCCTACTCAAATGCATTCTAAGTAATACCCGGCCAAAGGCCGGGCACCAAGCTAGTAATTATTTATATACATCACTTAAAAAAAAGAGTCAGGGGTCTCTCTTCCAAAACCTTCTTACCACGAATCCTCTTCAAACTAGTATTGGGCCCGGCCCGTTGGCCGGTGGAGTACAAAACTGATGTGTATATTGTTGTACTATATTGGCCGCTGGAGTAAAAAATACTCGAGCAATATGAATTCTTAACTTTAACCATTTCATCAATAAGCATTGGTCATAAGATCCAAGATCCATCTCTATTACGCATTATGTTGAAAGGTAATTGTCATGAGTCTTTATTAATATGAAAGTTAGCATAACTTGATAACTCATGGGAAGCAATAAGGCTATTGCAACATCATAGTCACTGGCATTTGAAATCGCTGATGTCCAAAAGTAACACACAGACTACCTGCTGGCAAGGAAAACTGGAAATTTATCTTGGAGGTGTGACAAACTCATGGACAGTAAACTGGTGATGTAATCAACCAAACAGATTCAAGCTATTTCCAACTTCAAAGTCTATTGTCTTTGGAAAATGATAAACCTACAATCTAAATGTTCAAAAATTTTAAAAACCAAAAGCATCCAGAAATAGCCCATACATGAGCAACATAATACTAACCACAAGGTTTGCAAATTTGGCATAACATACATGCAATGATCATCATTTATAGCATGATCCACCTTATCACTCAAAGAAATAAAACTAAACAAATTGTTATACTAACAAATATATTGTCTTAAATGTCAACAAAAGCAGAATCGGACTCTAACAACGTCTTGAAAAAATCTGATGGAGTGCGTTGCTCAAGAAGTTTAACTTTCCCACCCTTACAACATAAAGTGAATTGGGGGGTATACAATATACATCTTCCCTAGTTAGCCAGGTGCTTTCACATCTCCAAAAAAACAGCACCACGGTATTGCCATAACCAATCAGGAGTGTCAATCGATAATTCTTATACTATGGAATAATTGTAATACATATATATGGATTAAGTGCATTCTCATGTATCCAAACTAACAAAAGATAATCAAATCCAGATCAGTTACCGCATCGATAAATGCTTTGGGAATTCCAAATTTCATTCGTTTTTCACAAATATAAATCATTCTTGTAGCTCGGTTACGCTTAGGCTGGCCTTCCAAGGAACATCATCTGCTGTATAATAATAGAAACAGTCGATATGCCGCAAATAAAGTGAGAGAAAGTTGAAAAAATAAGCAAATCACTCTTTCTTTCATACAATAAATGGAAGAATGGAATGAGTTGTAAGGGAAGAGAGTGGAGGAAGCTAAGGGGTTATTGACTACAGAACTCTTACTACCCCACTACTTGCAGAAATTTTTTAGCACAGATAACAACCACCACCACATCTCCCTAAAGAGGATCAAAGTCCAGAAGCCCTGGAAGGAAAATCAAACATAGAAGATCAAATAAATTATCCATTTTTATGAAGTAGAAAAAGGATATAAGTTTCTAAAAACCAATTTAACCAAAAATTCCATCGAACAGATACCAAATAAAGGAGTAAATAATCTGAGTGACAAAAAAGCTTGCAAAGAACCAATAAGCATGCAAAACAGAATCATGATAGCTGGAGCATCTTTCTCTAAGCAATTCCCAGAAAAACACTAAGAACAAAAGAAGAAAAGTAATTAAAAAAATCATAAAAAGTAAATTGAAAAAAGCAACTATTTAAAATCTAAAACTACACCGCTTTTGCTCATCACAAACTGATTTTGCTTCATTACATATATCATGCTCAGAAGTTAAAACCAATTCAATAAAAATAATATGCCATCTCATGTCATGATTTGCTGATCACAAACTGCTTTTCATTCATTACGTATATCATGCTTTGAAGTTACAACTAATCCAGTATAATTAATATGCCATCTCAATTCATGCTTTTGCTCATCACGAACTGCACTACTTTAAAACTTATATCATGCTTAGAAGCTAGAGCTAATGAAGTGCAAATCATGAAAGGAAACTTCACAACAGCCAAAGATAAGCGAAAGACGAATAGTGACGTACTTGGGACTGAAACAACATTCACTCCATGCATCCATCGGACCACCAAAGGAACTTCCTTCTCCTCATAGTTAAAGTTGCAAGATGGCGATTCACACAGTGAGGCGGGCTTTCAATTTGGAAATAGATACAACGTTGAACGTTCTTCTAGCTAGAAAAGGTATCACGGTGACAAAGCTTTGAGGGCATTACTGCAATCGGTCAATCCCAGCAAGAAAGTTAACCAATCAGTCCGGGGAAATAAATTCTTCGACGAACTGTGGTTCGGAGCCCAATTCAGATATTGGATCTAAATCTCGTCAAAGCACTGAACAACTGTAAAACAAAACCAGGGACGCGTAGTAACAATTGGATCGAACGCCCATTTCAAAAGGAAAAATAAATGGAAGAATATCGGCACGGAAATCCCATGAACAGATTCCGAGAAGCCAAAAAACTAAAATTCACTAAGGGAACTTACCTCCGATTAGGCGTTATGCGAGGTTCTCGACTCTATGCAGCGAGAAAAACATTAAAAGCGAGAGATGCGGATTATCCAGGATGGTTAGGGTAAAGTACGACGCTGGAGTGAGACTACGAAGTGGGACGGCAAGGGCGACAGAGAGGAGCAGGTCAGAGACACACACAGACGACGAAAGAACAAATGAATGCGGTTTTCAAGGGATTTCGGCTACAAAACACCGATGGCTCGGAGCCAAGAAAGACAGATAGGGCGGCGGTGGGAAATTGAGAGATCTTCGATTGAGTGAGAGGTCTTCAATTGTAGTGTTGGGATGGCGAGAGAGGCGTTCGATCTCTGGTGGGAGACTGGGATACAAAATGCGAGAAAGAGAGAGATTAGGGGTGGGAGGTCTTCGATTGTTGTAGTTTGACTGTGTGACGGTGAGTCAGAGATGTTTAATTTCTGGGAAGAGGGCTTCCATTGAAGATCTTCCATTAGGGATGGAGGTCCTTGATATAATTTCTGTGGGAGACAGAACTTGGTGGGTATGTGAGAGAGAGGTGGGCGATTTCATTTGAGAGATTGGAACTTGGAGAGAGAATGCGAGGAAGAGGGAATTTACATTAAGGACCCTCCGCACTGTGCGGTGCTTTTAGCCGAGGTTGACGTGGCAAATGTCATATATTGACATTGCCTTATAGTGTTTTGTAGATATAGTGAAATTGGTTTATCTCATTATAAATTAACTAGCATATATCATACGTAAATTTGTATATTCTTTCATTGACAAGTAGGGATGGCAACAAAACCCGAACTCATGGGTACCCACCCGACCCAACCCGGTCAACGCGGATAAAATCCGTGTTGACGGGTTTTGGGCCAGGTTTGGGTTTAAATCTGTTAACTATTCATCGGGTTGGGTTGGGTTTAGGTAAACCCGACCCATGGATACCCGCCCACACCCATATAATTAATTTTCTCGGCATATTTAATATTCTAAACAACTAATCTTATTTATGTTTGTGGAGACATGCCTAATTTTTTCTTTCTAGTTATGTAGTATGAACTATGAAGTTGATGTTATCGAGTGGAGAGTGAAAAACTTGATTGAAAAGAAGAAACTTTCAATTAATCATGTTATTTATTGATAATTTGTGATTTGCTTCAATTTTCTTGAGTTTTCTAGATTGGTGTTAAACAATTTGTATAGTTAATTTGTGATTTGCTTGAATTTTCTAGAATGGTGTTTTATATAGGGTTAATACCTTAGTTTGGCCCGAACTATACACATACTTTCTACTTTGGCCCAAATTATTGAATATTGCTACTATGGCCTGAACTATGTTGCAAACTTCCTCATATGGCCTGGAGGCGCGTTTGACCGTCAAAACAGACGGTCAACCAAGTTGACCGTTAGTCAATTGCCACATCACCTGCCACGTAGACAAAAAAAATTATATTTTTTTTTTACAAAAAATAAAAAATAAATTAATAACTCTAAAATAAAAAAGGAACGGAAAATAAAAGAAAAAAAAAACCATCCCTATCTTCCCGCATCGATTCGTATCGGGAATTACCTCCCCCCTTTCAGACCCATCGTCTACCCCCAACTCCCTTCCCCGACGAATTCTGGGCGATTCTCGAAGATTCTCCGGCAAATGCAGCGGCGGCCGGTCGGTGAAAGACGCCGCCGTCGCTAATTCGCCGGACTCCTTCCCCGACTCCTCCTTCTCCCTTCCCCTTCGATTCGCCCCGCTGCCGACTCTCCTCTACTCTCATCTTCAATCTCACACTTCACTTCACACAGCACCGCCACTGGGCAACGTTCTCGATTTCTTTCTTCTTTTCCTTTTCCTTTTCCTTTGGTTTGATTGGATTGCTTCTCCTCCATTTTTGTCGGCATCGCCACCAAGATCTAGCTTCTGATCTCAGCACGCCACTCCCCCCATTCCCCCAGAACTTCGCCGCCAAAGCCGCCGCCCAGCGCCTCGCTCAGGTCATGGCTTCCCAGACCGCCGACGACGACGATGACGACGACCCTGACGACCTCGATTTCCGTTACAGCGCTCCTCCTCCTCCTCTCTCTATCTCCCGCACTGCCGCTGCTTCGAATGCTGCTGCTCAACCCGCTCCAAGGATCGCCAGATCCCCTTCCCCTGCTGTAAATTCCCTCCGCCATTTATCTCCTTTTGGATACTTCAATTAAGCGTCTCGGTTGAATTGATTGGTACAAAATGCGGGAATTGTGGACGATGCTCGATTTGGGATTACTAGCTAGTTCATCCCTTAATCCGCATTTAAGTTAATTACTCAATTTAGTGTTGCGTGTCTGTAGCTTTTAGTACCTGATTTAATGCCTGCATTGCTGGTAACCATTTCGATATTTAATGGGGCGAATCGATGCGGGAAGATAGGGATGGGTTTTTTTTTATTTTTTTTTATTTTCCGTTCCTTTTTTATTTTAGAGTTATTAATTTATTTTTTATTTTTTGTAAAAAAAAATATGATTTTTTTTGTCTACGTGGCAGGTGATGTGGCAATTGACTAACGGTCAACTTGGTTGACCGTCTATTTTGACGGTCAAACGCGCCTCCAGGCCATATGAGGAAGTTTGCTACATAGTTCAGGCCATAGTAGCAATATTCAATAATTCGGGCCAAAGTAGAAAGTATGTGTATAGTTCGGGCCAAACTAAGGTATTAACCCTTTTATATATGGATAATTTGTATTGGGAGATTGATATTTGACTTTAATTTTGATAGGAATTTGTTATTGTGAATTTTTTACGACAAAAACCCGTGGGTACCCATGAACCCACGAATACCCAGCGGATTGGGTTGAGTTTGAGTTTTTCAAACCCAGTGGATTTTACCCCGGGTTTTTTTCACGAATAAACCCATGGGTCTGAATTTGGGTTTGGCAAAACCCGACCCGACCCAACCCGACCCATTGCCATCCCTATAATGACAAGTGAGCTTCTGTCTGTTTGTTTTAGTGTTTTTCATCCGACTTTCCCTCCACACTCCTCCCGGCCCCAGGCCCCAGCGACCGAGCCCAAAACGACAGGACGGGCTGACCGGGGCCCATTATATAACTTGACCTCTAAATCTTTTTATTTTATTTTATTTCTTGATCAAAGTAATAAATCATTGTATCTCATTCATACAAAGTTTATTTCCACGAGCATTAGTGCTGGTATGATCGCACCCTTATTTCCACAAATCTATCATAACATATGGGCTTCCAATAACAACAACAATGTTGGTTTCCCAAACCCCTTTATCCTCCTCTGGTACAATTCATCAATCACCATTTATTCATACTATCTTATGACAGCTCGCAAACACAGCTTGAGGCCGGAAGTGCACATATAGCAACACAAACTACTTACTCCAAATGGGACAGAGATGCCTGAGTTGGAATATAAGCGAGAGCTTGAAACGGGAGGGTTCGGCCTCGGATTTCGATACGCTCATCATCGCCACCTTCTTCTTCTTCTGACGTCCTGAGACGAGAAATGTATACATGGCCCCCGTGCCTGTTTGTGTAGTACTTCCCTTTGGAGCAGATATACGCACCCTCCTTCCAGATTTCCAAAGCATGTGTTTGGTAGGGTGCGTATGGCTCAGCAAGGGTGAGCAACTTAGTCCATGAATCGGTCACGCCCTGCTTCAACAAGACCCACACCTGATAATACGGATCGCGATTGTACGAAGCAGCCAAGAAAGCCACAAACGACTCCTTCAACATAAAACAGGACGAACAAACCCAACCCTCCATGGCAGGCGGGTGAGTGAAGGAGGTGTATTCGAACACTTCCTGGCTCATGTCGAACGAAAGGGTAGACCATTCTCTACTGCATCCTCCAGTAAACCAGTAACACTTGTGGTTTCGCGAAATTTCCCGCTGCTGATAAACGTAGTGCCCGAAGGCCGATCTCGAGAGATCGGCCCTGTCGTCGTCGATTAGCTTCTTCCAGGAATCCTTCCTCAAGCTATAAACCTGCAGTAGGCCAAGTAAAGCAAGCAAGCAAGCATATATCGTGTCAGTCACAGCTTTGCTAATAGATCGGACTCTCTGCTTCTACAAAGATTGCAAAATTGGGGGAACAAATCAATCTCCGCATCAATTAATTACCTCTGCGTACATGAACGGTTGTGGGAGAGGAAGATAGATTTCATCCTGATCATGATCCATTTTCAATATCCTGACCACTTTGTAGTCATTTGTGTCCGGATCGTATCCAAAACCGGCGAGCTCCACGTACTTTTCCAGGCCGGGAGGGTAGGGGGGACACGTGGTGCGCGGCAGGATCAGCTTGGTCTCGGAAGTCGCCGGATTCCACAGGATGAGGTCGGAGGGGGCATTGGGGTTCGCGTCGGCGATGCAGAATATGCCGCCGCAGCACCCGACGACCGTCAGCCGGAATTGCAGGGGATACGAAAAAGACTTGGAGTTGGAGGGCGCGCAGGGCAGGTCTCCCTCGGAGATGAGGCCGAGGGTGTCGTAAGAGTATAAGGAGTAGTGAACGACCGCGGTGGTCTCAGGGGCGTCCGGTCCGCCGGTGAATAGGATCTGGAGGGATTCTAGGTCGTCGGATTTTTGGAAGAAGAGAAACCGGCGGATGAATTGGGGATCAGACAGGAGAATCCTCCACGATCTGCAGACGCATCGGAATCGGGCGATGCAGATAGCGGCCCGCAATCTGAGAAGGATATTGATCAGTATATCCTCCGTCAAGAAGACCCGAGTCTGAGAAGAAGCGCCGCTGCCGTCTCCGTTCATGCCGCTATCTGAAAGGGAAACCCTATCTTTTTTCCGGAGAAAGGAGAAACCCTATCTATCTATGTAAGTAGGTAGGTGGGATCGGAGTATCGGACAAATCACTTCATATAATACTCGGTATTTGACTGCTTGTTGCACCGGTGCTTCTGTTTGCTTACCCAACCGAAACAGCTGGACCAACCGGGCTAGATAATGAGCCTGCTCAGCCCGTCTTGTCTTTCCCATCCGTCTTTTGTCGTTTTGAGCTCGGTGGCTAGCAAAGGTACGGTTTGAAAGTTTGGTACCGATAATGGGGATAATCGAATACAGTATCGAATCTATCACTATTTTGTAGGGTAAATTGCAAGTTTGGTTACTAGAATTACTATAAATTTTTACGTTTGTCACTAAAATTAGTTTATTCCATTTAAGGTCACTAAAATTAGTTCAACAGTTCAAGTTTGTGTAATCAGAGAACGATTGAATGAAGAGGAAAGATGAAAATGACGATTGAGGGAAATGAACAGGCAATTAGGGATTTTGACTTGAAAGTCTCTTTTAGCAATTGAACCGGTTTGAACCTATCGGTCAGAACCCATAACTCGCTTTAGTAACTGGACAGAAGTCTGGTCGAATGGGCTTTACTGAATCAAGTCCAAGGATCATAGAGACTGATCCAGAACTTGAAACAGTCAAGCTCGGAGAAGAAGGGACTGAATAGATCGTCTTCTTCACCAAGCCAGAGTACTGTCAAGCTAGAGGATTGTAGAACAGAGTGTTGAGAGGAGGAGATGAGAAGCAAAGCAGAATGTAAAGTGCACAGCGAGTTTTTAATGAGGTTCGCCACAGGGCTACTCCTCGTCCCAGGATAGTACCACTATCCTGAGAGACACTTTGATTTTCGTTTTATGACTCAAGAACGAACAAACAAATGACAATACAGACTCTGGTGCGAAAATCAAAATGTCACAAGACTTAGACCAGAATTCGCGCAGGAATTCTTTACACCCTTTGATCAAGCTGAACCTGTTCCTCAGCTTGATTCAAAGCCACTGATTCCAAACACAATCCCTAGCCCTTTGCCACAAAGGAATCCCTATTTGCTTCAGTGCCGAGACCTTCCCCTGCTGCTCCTTTAAGTAGTCGTTGTAAGAGCCGTTGCTGTTTGAAATTGTGCAGAAAGGGTAAGTCGAGCAGCTGGCCCTTGAATCGTGGTTGATTGATCCGCTCCCCCTTGATTGGTGATCTGGCAATCTTCCAACTTGATTCTTACCACCTCAACAATCTCCCCCTAAGTTGGAGATTGCCAATTGTCCGCTTGAAACCTGCAAAACTGAACCCACCTTTCCATGCAAGCAAAAACTATACAGCCTAAACAGTTCAAGCATTCTCAGCAAATTTGAAAGAAAATTCACCAAGCATACAACTATCCAAAACTAGATAGTTCAGAACCCCAGCAAGTGTTTTACCAAGCATTCAGCAATCCAAAACCAGATAGTTTAAACACTAAGCAAGTGTTCAGCAGAGTAAACTAGAAATGTCAACCAACCAGCTGGGAAAAGACACATCCAGCCGCCATTAAACCGTTTAAAAACCGTTTGAGAACCTGTACATTATAAACAATATAATATCATAGTAGAACACACATAAAGTAATAATTCAATGATTTAATGAGTAAAAATGATAATTACAGGTACCATTTAATAATTCTACACAACATATATATACCGCAACTAAAAAAAACCCTAACCTAATCCTAAGCGACAACGCCGCTTCCCCACCCATCACTCTCCTTCCTTCCGCTTCCCCATCCCCCTCCCTCTCTCCTTCGTCCTCTCCCACCGCCGCACCTATTTTCATTTTTCAGCCACTTTAGCCTTCTGCAATTCCTCAAAAATCCATCACCACATTCAATTCTTCCTCATCCTTTCTTAACCCGTAAATGCTCTTCCTCGTCCCAATCCGCGAAATGGCTTGGATTCAATCCAAGCCTCTGGTGAGACAGGGCAGCTTAGCGGGGAGCTGCTTGCGACGGTGGCGACGGGATGGAAGCGCCGGGAGCGGGGAGCTGCTTGCTACAACAAGGACTGGGGATGGCGATGCGATGGCGACTGGGGATGGCGATGTCGTCGGGAAGCGCCGTTGCCGGGACAAGAGGTGTTGACGGCCGATTCCACGATTGGCCTTTTTTTTTCTTAGGGTGAACCAAACGGCCGAACCGCGCGACCGGCTTGAGCGGCTCGAGCGGTTAACCGCTTCGGCCGCTCGCCGGCCACTGTATAAAACCATGGCGGTTAAATAGCTGATCCGAGCCGGTTTTACGGCCGGGTGGCGGCTTTGCCGGTCCGGCCGGCCGGCTCGGTTGGCTTTGACAGCACTGCTTAAATCAATAGTCATTGAATTATCAGAATCAGTTGAAACAGTTTCATTGAATTTGACATGAACTGATTCCTCTACTATTCTAGTTCGTTTATTATAGACTCTATATGCTTGTCCTTTTGTTGAATAGCCAAGAAAGGTGGCAGGATCAGATTTATCATCAAATTTGCCTAGAGTATCTCTTGTATTTAGAGTGTAACAGGGACATCCAAAGGGGTGGAAGTAAGATATTTTAGGAGTTTTACCTTTTAGAATTTCGTAGGGAGTTTTGTTTAATTGTTTTCTGATTAGAACTCGATTTATAACATAACAAGCAGTATTAACTGATTCAGCCCAAAAGAATTTAGGTAGTTGATAATCTAAGAGCATTGTTCTAGCACATTCTATCAGAGTTCTATTTTTACGCTCAACAACCCCATTCTGTTGAGGTGAGCGAGGAGCAGAAAAGGTATGGACAATTCCAATTTCGTCACAAAAATCTGCAAATTCATCAGAAATAAATTTTCAAGGATTGTTTATGTCTAGTGACAAATGAACGAAATTTCTCAAAAGTCTCATCCTTGTGAGTTAAGAAGAATACCCAGGTGTACCTAGAGTAGTCATCAACCAGGACAAATACATAATTTTTACCTCCTAGGCTAGTGACATTACAAGGACCAAACAGGTCCATGTGAATTAATTCAAAAGTTTCAGTGGTAGTGATGTCAGGTTTTGGTTTAAAACTCTTTCTTTTGTGTTTTCCAGCAGCACATGCGTTGCAGAAAAATTCTGCTTTGTCTTTTAGCTTAGGTAACCCTCTAGCCAGATTGAATTTAGATAGAGTAGACAACTTAGCCAAACTAATGTGTCCTAGTCTTTTATGCCACTAGAATTCGGATGATTGAGAAGATACTTGAAGGCATTTAGCATTAAGCATGCTTGAGTCAGTCAAGTCAACAACATACATGTTATTGACTCTTTTTCCTATCAAAATAATCTTATTTTTATTAATTTGTTCCACAGAGCACTTATTGTTTTCAAACGTGACACGATTTCCATTGCTACAGAGTTGGCTTATGGACAGAAGATTATGTTTTAATCCATCTACCAGAAGAACATTATTTATCACAGTTAAGGAACTGTTTCCTATGCATCCAGAGCCAATAATTTCACCCTGACTGTCATCCCCAAAGGTAACTTTTCCTCCACGTTTCATTGTTAAAGAGCTAAATAGATGTTTCTTTCCAGACATATGATGAGAACATCCACTGTCAAGGTACCATTTTGATTCAGCTATGGAGAGAGAAGAATTCTGACCTGATTTGAAGTTTAGTTCTGGATCATTTATCTTACCAAAGGCCATGAAAGCTTCTTCTTCTCCTTGATCTTCTTCTTATTCAGATTCATAATCACTCCAGGTGGTGGCGTTCATTGCCCGTTCTTTTGCCTTTAAGGTGAGTGGGCAGTTGGCCCTGATATGGCCAGGCTTCCCACATTTGTAACAGTCTTGAGATTCCTTTTCTTGACTGCCTGATTCAAAAGATCTGGCCTGCGGGGCTCGCAGCCTATTTTGAGAAAAGCTTTTGACTTTGTCAAAAGGGTTAGAACGATTATAAGAGTTCCTTTCATTTCCCTTTTGTTTTTGCTCTTGTTTATACTTTAACATCCTATGAAATTTGCTACTGACTAGAGCAAATTTCTTCTCAAAATCTTCTCCTAATTCAGAATCAGACTCATATTCTATAACTTGAGACTTGAAGGCTAATGATTTCTTTCTTTTTTCATCATCTTTGTTAACCTGTTTAAGGGCATGTTCATGACTTAGCAGAGATCCTACAAGTTCATCTATGGACAAGGTGTTCAAATTTCGAGCTTCCTCTATGGCTGTTCTCTTAGGAAGCCATTCTTTAGGAAGTGATCTTAGAATTTTCCTATTTAGGTCTTTAGCAAGATAGGTTTTTCCTAGACCTTTCAGTTTGTTAATCAGAAGAGTAAATCGAGAGTACATCTCATGAATTCCCTCACATGGAGCCATGTCGAAACATTCATACTCGTGGACCAGGAGATCGATTCTGGTTTCCCTGATATTTGATGACCCTTCGTAGGTGCTCTCCAGCGAGCTCCAGATTCCTTGAGCAGTTTCGCAGTGTTCCACCTTATCTGCCTCTTCGGGTGACATGGCCGTTTGCAGGATGTGCATCGCCCTTTGATTCAGTTGAGCGCTCTTCTTTTGAGCCGCTGACCAGAAGTTCTGTTGATCCGCATCCATCTCGAGCGGTCCATTGCGCACAACGATCCATAGTTCTTCGTCAACTCCCCAGAGAAAAGTCTTCATTCTCTTTTTTCAGGCGGTGTAGTTTGATCCTGTGAAGACCGGTGGATGATTGTACGAAGCATGACCGAAATTAGTAGATGCCATTGCGCTGGATCTTCCCTTGGCAGTAGCAAGCTCCGATCAAGGACCTGCTCTGATACCACTTGTAATCAGAGAACGATTGAATGAAGAGGAAAGATGAAAATAACGATTGAGGGAAATGAACAGGCAATTAGGGATTTTGACTTGAAAGTCTCTTTTAGCAATTGAACCGGTTTGAACCTATTGGTCAGAACCCACAACTCGCTTTAGTAACTGGACAGAAGTCTGGTCGAATGGGCTTTACTGAATCAAGCCCAAGGATCATAGAGACTAATCCAGAACTTGAAACAGTCTCGGCCCAAGCTCGGAGAAGAAGGGACTGAATAGATCGTCTTCTTCACCAAGCCAGAGCACTGTCAAGCCAGAGGATTGTAGAACAGAGTGTTGAGAGGAGGAGATGAGAAGCAAAGCAGAATGTAAAGTGCACAACGAGTTGTTAACGAGGTTCGCCACAGGGCTACTCCTCGTCCCAGGATAGTACCACTATCCTGAGAGACACTTTGATTTTCGTTTTATGACTCAAGAACGAACAAACAAAAGACAATACAGACTCTGGTGCGGAAATCAAAATGTCACAAGACTTAGACCAGAATTCGCGCAGGAATTCTTTACACCCTTTGATCAAGCTGAACCTGTTCCTCAGCTTGATTCAAAGCCACTGATTCCAAACCCAATCCCTAACCCTTTGCCACAAAGGAATCCCTGTTTGCTTCAGCGTCGAGACCTTCCCCTGCTGCTCCTTTAAGTAGTCATTGTAAGAGCCGTTGCTGTTTGAAATTGTGCAGAAAGGGTAAGTCGAGCAGCTGGCCCTTGAATCGTGGTTGATTGATCCGCTCCCCCTTGATTGGTGATCTGGCAATCTTCCAACTTGATTCTTACCACCTCAACAGTTTGGTCACTCTCCGTTAGTCTCCGTTAACTTTAGCTGATGTGACAGTCAACTCTAATCATTGACCGTTAAATAAGTGATGTGACAATTAAAAAAAATTTAAAAAATTAAAAGTAATTTTTTTTCTAATTTCCTCAGTATAAAAATACATAAAACAGAAAATATAATTGTAATTATCAAAATTATACCCACCATCATCTTGTTCCCTGCTGCTACTGCTCATCAATGAGTATTTGCTTCTTCCGCAGCCATGAAAAGGGGTTCTTCCTCTCATCCCGTTCGACGCCACTTCTGTCTCTGCTCAGATCTGGCGTGGGTCGGAGGACAAGGACGAGCAGATCTGGCGGGAGTTGAACGACGACGAGCTGGTACTGGATTCGGGGGAAGATTACGATGTTGAATTCTGGATTTCGGATTCTGGATGTTGAATTCGTTGGCTTCTTCGTCAAGCTGCCGCACTTTTGATTTTGTTATTGGAGCCTTGTAGCTCTCTCTCTCTCTCTCGCTGCGGGCCACCAGAGCAAACCTCTCCAAAAAGAAGAAGAAAAAAACAAAGGCGAAACTGATGAAGCGTCGAGTTTTGGGTTCATGCTTTAAGCATAAGGGCTCGGATTTGGCCGTTTGATGGAGGAATGAAGCTGCGGGGTTTCGGTTCATTATTATGATCTTGGCGTTTTCGTTTTGGGATAGGATTTGAATTGTGCATTTTGTGTTCGACGATTTGCACGTTCGAATATTCGGTTGCGTTCTGCTAAAGCAAGCAAGAGGAGGGCTAGCGGTAAGTGAAATCAGCGTGGAAAGTGGAAACACAGAGATGCAGACGGAGGCAAGAGTTGGAGTGGTGGTTGAAGGAGGAGGGCCAATGTCTCTGAATTTGAATAAGCAGCCGCCTATTCATCAACAGCAACGACATCAACATTCGCAGATCGGAACTGTTTCTCAGCTTCTCGCCGGTGGGTTGGCCGGGGCTACTCCCCAGTGAGAAGATTATATTTATCGGAGATGTCCAGACCGGAGAGATTCCTGCACGCGCGTGGAGTGGTCCCCAGAGGTTTGTTCTGGGAATCGAATGAACCCTAAGTTTGATACCCTCCGTCTCCGCCACAACTCCTCCGGCCTGTTTCCTCCTGACTGATCGACACACTTGGGTTGGACTCCGGTAGAAATTTAATTTTAATTTTTAGATTTTAATAGTTTGGAAAATGATGTGGGAATTGAAAAAAAATCATTTTTAATTTTTTAATTGACAAATCACTTATTTAACGGTTAATTATTATAGTTGACTGCCACATCACCCAAACTTAACGGAGACTAACAGAGAGTGACCAAACTTGAACTGTTGAACTAATTTTAGTGACCTCAAATGGAATAAACTAATTTTAGTGACAAACGTGAAAGTTTATAGTAATTCCAGTGACCAAACTTGTAATTTAGCCCTATTTTGTATTATCGAATACCGATTAGGGATTGTGATTGATATTCATTTTCGAGTATTATTTGGTATCGGGATTACGGAATTGAGATCAGTATATGTCAAAATACCAAGAAACAACGAAAATTGAAAATCAATGAAATATAGCTTATGGCCCTTGATATGATCCAAATTGGCTACTTCTACAAGTCACAATTACTTGCCAAAGAAGCTATCAAGGTTGGAAAGAAGAAAGTCAGAATTTGGCTAAGTCAAAATCCGTGTTCAGGGTACATACTTTGGAGGCATGGTTCTCTCAATTGGCTTGGTGGAAATTCCAGTTCAAGGGCTTGTTTTACACAAAAAGTTGTCATGTTTCCAATGGTATGCTTTATGGATCCAGAAGATGTGTTTAAGGTTGTTTTCCAAGGCCTCAAAGTTGCTATCTCAAAACTGGAAAACTGCCAGAAAATGGCTAAGGCAGAAAACTGTTTTGTGAAGCCTACTTTGGAGCTCAATTCGAGGAGTATCGAACTGATTCAAGTCCAAAGTCTTCCACAAAATGAAACTAGGTATGTTTATGTACAAAGGGAAGGAATTGGATGAAAGATTGGAGTTCGGGAAGGTCTCGAACGAAAGGCGCGAAGTTAGTACGAAAGCTGCCTTTTGACTGTTTTGCGGGAAGCTTACTTGTGCTTCAAGAAAGGAAGTTTGTGTCCGAATTTTGAGTCCTTTTCAGTGTAGAATTTTACCTTAATTGTTTCCTTGTTCATCTAGATTTGTATTAGGTTTTATTGGCTATAAATAGCCCTCCATTTACGTTGTAAAAATAGAAGACTTTGATTAATCGAATTGAGAACCTTTTGGTTTTTGTGCAAGTTGCGACTTGTGTTGAGTTTGGTGGATTCCAAGCTCGTGAGCTCTTGTATCGATTGAATAGTCACTTCAATCGTGGTCGGGCATCTACCTTTCAATCCAATTGAGCGTTCCCCAGGTGTGGAATCGTCCTTTTGGTTCCGTTTTATCCAAGTTCGTATTAAGAGCGCTTCGTTCTTGATTCGAGCTCAATCGATTCTTCGATTGAGTCGTTTGCTGCGTTACTTTGATAACATACACCCCCCCAGGGGCGTATTAAGTGGTATCAGAGCCTCCGGTTCAAAATCAGAGGCGAAGGAGTCAGTTGAAGAAGACTTCTTGTGCAAGAACAGTTTCGTTGAAGAAACAGGGAAAGCAGCCCCTGTTTGTGCAAATTGATTCTGTTTCGTGCTTTAATTACAATGGAGATTCAGCAATTTAATGAGGACGACGTTAAGCAGATAATGGCAGCCCTTACCGCGGTGTTTCTACCCCAATTCGAGCGAATACAACGCGGAATCGATAAGTTGGAGTCTGCCATTGATAGACGTCTCTGTTCTGCTCCGCGGAAACAGAGTTCATGTTTTGGAGAAACCGTCGTGGCCTTGGAGGCTGATTCAAGCGAAGTAACTGCTCAGAATACATTGCTGGATGTTCATGGGATGATTTACCTAACACAAGGTCGTCCAGAACCGAGCCTGAAGAGATTCAGTTCATCCGGAACCTCCAGAGTTTTCGAACACTGTTTTTCTCAGACGAAACAGAGTTCGACGGCGGCCGAGTCTGTTGTGGCGATTGAGAGTGGCCTGCCTCCAGTCACCACCGCAGAAACATTCAAAACGATCTCAAGAGTGAATTCTAAAACAAGATTCCGACCAAAGCAGCTTCAAATGATGACGCCCAAATCTTCGGAATGGTCTCCGACAATGCAGGAACGTGACTCCAAAAACGAGTATCTCGTCGGAGCGATTCAGAGCGAATCGAGCACAACGGGAACCATGGGTAAGTTTCTAGAGGTCCAAGGAATGTGTGGAGCTCCAGAGATCGACCAAAACGGCGGAGAATCAAAAACGCCCAAATTTGATTATGGGTTTCTCGATACGCAGGAATTTGAAAGCGACGACGCCGGGAAAACTGCAGATGATGATTCCTCACTTACCAGGGGTAATCGAAGTGAGAAATCGGACGGGGAATTCAATTCTCTGTTGGAGAAAGCTTCCTCGAGCATTGAATTGAAGAATGGCAGCTTGGATATTCCGAACTCGGATTCAGAGCAACGGACGATGTTCGTCGCGAATTTGAACGGTCCTGGGAAATTGCTAGCTCACTGTTCGTTGATGATTGATGCTGATACTGGTGAGACATTGCTAGGAGATGAAGGGAAGGCTGTGATAGTAGAGAAAGGCGCCATCGAATTGGACAAGATGTGCAGGGAAGCTGAAATTTTTGTGTCCAAGAACATGTTTAAGCAGCCTACTTTCGATCCAATTTGGGATCAATTCTGCGAAGTTTTTGACAAGGGGAAAGAACAAGCTTTGAGGGCAAAGCTTTTTGAAGAGGGGGAGCCTGATATGATCCAAATTGGCTACTTCTACAAGTCACAATTACTTGCCAAAGAAGCTATCAAGGTTGGAAAGAAGAAAGGCAGAATTTGGCTAAGTCAAAATCCGTGTTCAGGGTACATACTTTGGAGGCATGGTTCTCTCAATTGGCTTGGTGGAAATTCCAGTTCAAGGGCTTGTTTTACACACAAAGTTGTCATGTTTCCAATGGTATGCTTTGTGGATCCAGAAGATGTGTTTAAGGTTGTTTTCCAAGGCCTCAAAGTTGCTATCTCAAAAATGGAAAACTGCCAGAAAATGGCTAAGGCAGAAAACTGTTTTGTGAAGCCTACTTTGGAGCTCAATTCGAGGAGTATGGAACTGATTCAAGTCCAAAGTCTTCCACAAAATGAAACTAGGTATGTTTATGTACAAAGGGAAGGAATTGGATGAAAGATTGGAGTTCGGGAAGGTCTCGAACGAAAGGCGCGAAGTTAGTACGAAAGCTGCCTTTTGACTGTTTTGCGGGCAGCTTACTTGTGCTTCAAGAAAGGAAGTTTGTGTCCGAATTTTGAGTCCTTTTCAGTGTAGAATTTTACCTTAATTGTTTCCTTGTTATTCTAGATTTGTATTAGGTTTTATTGGCTATAAATAGCCCTCCATTTACGTTGTAAAAATAGAAGACTTTGATTAATCGAATTGAGAACCTTTTGGTTTTTGTGCAAGTTGCGACTTGTGTTGAGTTTGGTGGATTCCAAGCTCGTGAGCTCTTGTATCGATTGAATAGTCACTTCAATCGTGGTCGGGCATCTACCTTTCAATCCAATTGAGCGTTCCCCAGGTGTGGAATCGTCCTTTTGGTTCCGTTTTATCCAAGTTCGTATTAAGAGCGCTTCGTTCTTGATTCGAGCTCAATCGATTCTTCGATTGAGTCGTTTGCTGCGTTACTTTGATAACATACACCCCCCCAGGGGCGTATTAGCCCTTGCATTTTTCACTCTTTGACAACTCACATGCACCCAACTTAAGCAATTTCGGTCAGCTTAAGTCACATTTGTCTCTCACTTAATTTCTTGTTATTTTCATAACATAAAAAAAAACTCTCATTAGTCATCTCCCAGCCTCCAATTCGTCGAATTAAAGGTTACTAATGACAAAAAATTAAGATGTCACCATCTCCTCCCTTCTCTTTATCCATGTCCATGTCCTACCTCTAGACGAACTCAATACTCTTTTTTAAGTCTCTTTGTCCTAAATTATTACAAACTCTCATTTATATATTTAATTATTAATTGCAAAGGTAATTAATTTTGTATTCTGTGATACTAATTGGGATACCAAAATATTTAGCAATTGGAATTGGAATACCAAAATATCCAGACCCTTCCCTCACCTTTATCTTCAGCAAGGTCTCCCTCCCTCCCTTGGAACAGCAAGCTATCTGCAAGCCTTTTTTGGAGATGGAAATATGGGCAAGCATTGTCGACAGTGATGGTGGGAAGGCTCCGGGCCCGGATGGATTCTCTTGGGAGTTCTATAAGAAGTGTTGGCCTTGGCTTAAGTCTGAAATCCTGCTCGCTTTTAATGATTTCAACAGCTCTGGATTTCTCCCTGACTATATTACTCATTCTTTCATTTGTTTGACTCCAAAGAAGGATGTTGTTGAGGACATTCGCGATCTTCGACCGATCAGCTTGATAGGGAGCTTTAATAAACTGGTTAGCAAAGTCTTGGCTTGCAGGTTGAGGGATGTTCTTTCCTGTCTTGTGTCTCATCAGCAAATGGCCTCGATGAAGGGAAGACAAATTGGGGATGCTGGGCTTATTGCGTTTGAACTAGTGAATAGTCGTAAGAAGAGCAGGAAACCGGGTCTCATGCTTAAGCTAGATATGGAAAAAGCCTTTGATAATGTGAATTGGAATTGTATGTTTCAGATCCTTAATAGGCTGGGTTTTCCTGAGCAGTGGAGGAGGTGGATTAAAGGCACTATGTGCTCCCCAAAACTCTCGGTCCTGATCAACGGGGAATCTCAAGGTTTCTTTGGGGCTCAAAAAGGATTGAGGCAGGGTGATCCGTTGTCGCCTGGTTTGTTCGTGTTGGTGATGGATATGATGTCCTTTATGCTGTCTAAGCTTAGTGAAAATGGCAAGATCAAGGGGTTTTGTATGGATGAAGACACTGGTGAAGGGGAAGTTACCCACTTGCTCTTTGCGGACGATACTCTTATCTTCTGTGGTGCCGAGTTTGAACAGGTGAATAATATCTTGGCAACTCTTGTGTGCTTCCAAGCTGTCACTGGGTTCGGATAAATTTGGAGAAATATGTTACGGTCGGGGATGTACCAAACCCGAACTTCTTTGCCTCCATTTTGGGTTGCAATTGGAGCAGTGAGGCTTCTAAATATCTCGATTTTCCTTTAGGGGCCAAACCGAATGTCGTTTCTGTTTGGGATCCTGTCATTGACAAGGTCCAGAAGAGGCTCCAAGGGTGGAAAGGGAAGTATTTGTCCCTTGGGGGGAGATTGGTACTCAATAAAGCGGTTCTTTCCAACCAGCCGATCTATTTCTTCTCCCTTCTGAGAGCTCCTGGGGTGGTGATAAAAAAAATGGAAAGCATCCAGAAGAACTTTGTGTGGGGAGGCACGAATGAAACCCGAAAGATGGCTCTTATCAGCTGGGATATCTGCAAAGCAACTCGATCTAGAGGTGGGCTTGGCGTCTTGGATCTTGCCTCTTTTAATCAGGCAATGATGGGTAAGTGGTTATGGCGGTTCGCTACTGAGAAGGGGAGCTGGTGGTGGGATCTCATTGATATAAAGTACCCTAACTCCTCCTCAGGTTGGTGTACGGCGAGGAGCACTTGTGGCTTTGCCGGATCACCTTGGGCTAATATCTCAAAAGGGTATGACTCCTTTTGGATGATGGCCAATATTGACCCTGGTAATAGGGCGTGGGTTTCCTTTTGGCGCGACAGCTGGATCCCGAAGATGGTGCTCGCGGACATTTTCCCTCGAGTGGCAGCTGCATCGTCTCTACCCAATGCCCGGATTGCAGATGTTCTGTCCCCTTCTGGTGAGTGTTTTGATTGGCAGCTTTCTCTTTTTACGAATCTTAGGGGTGGGGCTGAAAGGGAGCGAATTAATTTACTTAATTGTCTTAATTCGGTTGGTATTAGCAGGGTAACCAGCGGGCCTCCCTGTCCTGTTTGGTTACCCAATCCAGATGCCTCTTTCTCTATTCATTCCATGTACAGGTGCTTGGTGAATGAGGCGTTTGCGGGGGTCCCTAACTTTCCCTCGGATGTCTCGAGCCTCGTGCGGGGGAAAGACATGTAAGGGGGCTGGAGGTAGTAGGTGGAAATTGGGAACGGATTCCCGTCTCCCCTTACACACTTTCGCCCTATTCGCACGGGAGACGTTATTTTAAAGCACATTTTCGAGCACCTGTTATTTTCAAAACATGATACAAGAGTCCATGACAAGCAGAGAGTCCACAACACCACACAATTCAAGGGGTCCTATGATCACTAATTCACTCAATCAATCAACACAATATGAAGAAGAAATGAGACTTCTTAAATGCATCAACATCCTCCATAGTGCTACACTACCTCCCTAGGTTGCACATTACTAAAGAGACTGTCAATTCAAAGCCTACTGAGCAGGCAATTGCAAGGAACACATACTTAGAGCCCTCAAATTTAAAAATTTGAATAGTGGACTAGGCTCCAAGCACACAAACAGATCTAATGCAGTCAAAAGATAATCCCCCCCACACTTAAGATCGACATTGCCCTCAATGGAGAAGAGGGAAGGAAAGGGGGAACGATGTTACCGATGGGCACGGACTGCAGGAGACTGGAAGTGGACCAGTCGGAATGAAGCGGATTGGAGAGAGGACCAGTCAGGCATAAGCACAGCTAAAGGAAACCAAAAAGCTCAAACACAATACGTTAGGTCCAATGGTCAGCCCAATAGTACAACATCCAAAATAAAAAGAAAGAAACTAAACCGACACAAGACAGTTGGCATGCTGACAAAAACAAAAACACGCAAAACATGCCACTAGGGCCCTCCGAGACCGGTGAAGTAGATCTGGTTCATAAGGTCGTCGTCTCCATCCTCCGGCGGTGGTGGTGGTGGTGAATGATCCCACCAGGTGGTCCAGTGGTGCTCCTCCGGTGGGTGACAAGCCTGGAGCAGGTGCTCCGTGTACTCCATCAATCGCGGCCGCGATCCCTCTCTCGTTCGATGAGAGCACCAGTGACTCCCATCTGGGTCTCCATGCGGTCGAGGCGCTCGTCAACAACCGCCAGCCTGGACTGGTACTCGGCCTGGTGGGCCGAATACTGCTGATAGAACTGGACCTAATGGTCCATGAGCTGCTGGTTCTGAAGACCGAGCTGCTGGAACTGGAGCCCCATCTGCTCGAACTGCTCCGTGAAGAAATCCATCGACAGGACAGAGGCCATCGACGGACCAGAAGGACCAGAGGAAGACTCGCCTCTCTCTGATCTCCGTCGAGGCTGAAGGTCCCTTGGTGAAGAGAGCGGGGGCTCCGGCTCATCGGCATCCATGGCCCCGCCATCATCATCCTCATCTTCCTCCTCACCGGAGTAGTCAGCGTCCTCCTCGTCTTCATCGAGATCCACAGCCTCCTCCATCGACCCAGGTGCGGGTGCCATTAGTGACCAAGAGGAGTGCATTGTGGAGCACGTCCCGGCTGAGGGGGGTGGAGCCGCCCCGCGCAGAAGAATCCTGGAGTCCCTGGAAGCTGATGTCGAAATGGTGCGCCAGACGGGTGATCAGGGGACCACAGTAGAGATGGTTGGGCTTCCCGTGGCACCGGGAGAAAGTGGTGGCCACGAAAGAACCCAAGTGCAGCATATGCTCCGGGTCCCTCATCGAGTACATGGCATAGAGCACCCGCTTCGGAATCTTGTGCGAGCCGGTGACGTTGGGGACGATAGAGCGGGTGATGAGCAGGTTCAGGATGTGCCACGTCGGCTTGAGGGAGCGGACGTATGTCTGGCCAGGGTCTAAGAAGTCCTGTGCATAGTCGAGTCGGGCTATCCGGCGGTAGAACTCATCCTGGTTCCAGTCCGTCGGGTGTGGAACCTCCACCTCGTGGCGGTCGAACGGGTGGTACTCGATCCCCAAAGCGTAGGCCAGCCCGTCAATGGTCAGCTCCCGGGGGTAGCCACCCAGCCTGAATGTCACTGCATAGGAGTCCCGGGCTGCTTTGCTGTCGTACTTGAATGTGGTGTAGAACTCCCACACCAGCTCAGTGTAGGTGGGCTCATCGATAGTCAGCAGCGTCCGCCAATCACGATGACTGATGGCGGCGGTGAGCTCCTGCATGCAGTGGAGCTGCTCGAACACTGCCCACTCGATGTGGTGGTGGCGCTCCAATTACCCCCGAATCACCGCGCGGAACTGATCCGCGTACTCCGGGTGCATGCGCAGGCCCTGCACAAACGGATGGTCTAGGGACATGTTCCTGCAAAATCAACAAACCAAAGGTGGAGCCAAGAAAAAACTTGTCAAGACCAACAACATGGGTTCATCACTTCCCCCACACTTAAGGACCACCTAGGCTAACAGTTTTAAGAGCAGTCGGTTGAATCGCAAGCAACTCAACCGGAATCAAGGCAAGAACCACGGAACCAACCACATTAATTACACGGGCAACACATA